GTCCAAACCCGAGCCATGTCCGACAGCTGTCCCTTGGTCACCGGACACCAGGAACAGCGTGTGGCCGGTCAGGATTTGGCCGGAGCCTGAGCCGGGAAGGGGGGGGGAGAGGAAAGGCCAGGGAGTGCAGGAGTCCCCATTTCGCAACCCTTTCCCGGTTCTTAGAATTGTAGGGTTGGGAGGGACCCCCGAAGGACATCAAGTCCAACCCTGTGCAAGACCTGCCGAGGAAAATAAAGAATTTATTTATGTACACGACAACGGCGGCAAGAGTCTTGATAGCACAAGGATGGAAGAACGAGGAAATCCCGACAAAAGAACAGTGGCAAGTGAAACTGATGGACTATGCAGAATTGGCTAAACTGACATACAAACTGTGAGACAAGGACAACTGTGACTTCAAAGAAGAATGGGAACTTTTTTACAAACTACTTAAAATGAATTGAAATTAAGTTAAAATGAATTAAAATGAAAACAACAAAATGAATTGGACTCCTGGGCAGGTTTTGAATGAACATACACAAATTTATTTATTGTTAACATAATAGACAGATACTTTAAGGATCTTTACAAGTTTACAATATGCAGAGAACAACATGTGTTGAAAAAACCAGAGAGAGGAGCTGAGGGAAGTATTGGGGGGAGGGAGGGAGTTTCTTCTGGGGAGGGAAAAATGGGGGGGTGAAGACGATATGTTTTGATAATTTGTTATGTTGAAATTCTTAATATTTTTTTTTAAGTGCAATCTAGGGATCCCAGCTGAAGCATCCCTGACAAGTGGCAATTAGGTTTATAACTTTGTTACAACCTCACGTTCCTGTAGCTTAGTTAGATGAACTTTTGCCTAAAAGCAAAATCTTTTGCAAAAAACAAAGTCACCGCAAAAACAATAAATCAAATTTTGTCTATGTAACTGTATAACATATTACGTCATGTGCATAACATGTATTATGACGCAGGAAAAATTGAGATTGCAAACTTTCCAGTGCTTGTACACCGCACATCTCTTCTTATTGCTTAGAATAAATCGAGGTTGCAGTTGGTCTTGGTTTCTGCTGCAAGCACCAAAATGTTCCCGCATCACTTTGGTTGCGCGTTCTGCGCATGGAACACATGCTGGGACCTGGAGTTCAGAGGGCTCATGCTCAGTGCTGGATTTACGTATAAGCTAAACAAGCTATAGCTTAGGGCCCCACTCTCTTGGGGGCCCCCAAAAAAATTAAAGGGGAAAAAACTGGATGTCCATTTCCAAAATATAAGATAAAAAACAAATTAAATAAAACCTACATACAGCAACTGTGGCAAATGGCTTTAGATACCTATTAGGTCCATAAATTACCATATAGCATATAAAAAGGTAAAGGTACCCCTGCCCGTACGGGCCAGTCTTGACAGACTCTAGGGTTGTGCGCCCATCTCACTCAAGAGGCCGGGGGCCAGCGCTGTCCGGAGACACTTCCGGGTCACGTGGCCAGCGTGACAAGCTGCATCTGGCAAGCCAGCACAGCGCACGGAACGCCGCTTACCTTCCCGCTAGTAAGCGGTCCCTATTTATCTACTTGCACCCGGGGGTGCTTTCGAACTGCTAGGTTGGCAGGCGCTGGGACCGAACAACGGGAGCGCACCCCGCCGCGGGGATTCAAACCGCCGACCTTTCGATCGGCAAGCCCTAGGCACTGAGGCTTTTACCCACAGCGCCACCCGTGTCCCTTATATAGCATATATTCAACACAAAAAACAGCGACAATTTGTTGTTGACAAAGGACAGCTGGACATAGAAAGGGCCCCATTACCTTCAGTAGCTTAGGGCCTTATCAAACCTAAATCCAGCCCTGCTCCTACTTCCAGATGTTAAGAGGGATTCTCCAATACTTTTGAATGTTCTCCTACGGCTGTAAAAGTTCTAAACAGTTCCATCAAGTTTTCAAAAATACTGATACTTTATGAGTAGTAATGCGACATTTATGGTGATTCCAATTTTTCATTTCAGGGTGACCTTGTTTCACAACTGAGAAGAACCAGTCCCTGTTTGAGTGCATCTCAGCAAAAGTTTATCCCCTTAGGATACAGGAAATCAGTTTTTTGGGAAAAGGAAAAAAAGTTCTAACCCTAATCCCTACTTGTTCAACGTGACTGTTTTATAGTTTTGTTTCTCTTTAATTTTTCTCCTGATGTTAGGTCTTCTCTGTTTTATACATACAACGAAATGAGTTTAAAAATCTTAAACCCCCCCCAAAAAAACCCCAAGCAAAAACAAACGTGATAATTATTCTGTTGACAAATATGCTTAACTCTGACCCTGAAGAGGAAGAAGAGAACTTCTTCTTCCTATTGGTGCAAAGCGGTGGGACGAGATGACAAATCGCTTCCCATAATTGGTGCCAGTTTGCTCCCGCCCACAATGCTTGAAAAACAAAATAATGCACAACTTTGGAGCACTGCCTTGTTACTGGGCGTCTTTTCTCCCTGCTCCACCCCCCTTTGGCAGGCCTGCCAGGGGTGTGGGGTGGGGCATGTGCCTTGCGCATACCAGCAAGCAAACGCCAGCAATTTCTGCTCCTCTAATCCGAGTGACTTTCGCCCTGCTGAAATTCCCACAAAGGTCACCGCGAAGGCCGGGGAATTTTTTCCTCTCGCATGGCGCATGGGTGCGCATGTCTGCGCATGGTGTGCGTGTGGAAAAAGCACAGAGGAGGCCTGGGGGGCAGCCTAGGGAGCTTAGTGTCCCTCTCCTCCTCCCCCCGCAAGCTGTGGTGTTTCCCTCCAGGACGTTCTGTTTTCCTCCTCGGATCATGTGCTCAGAGCTGCCAGGTTCTTCGCGATTGATGGCTTGTTTGGCCTGGTTCTGGGAGCCGGGCCAAGTCTTGAGGACAGGATCCCTCCCGCGTCTTCGAAAGCTCTGGCTCTCCAACAGTGTGACCTTGGCATGGGAGCCTGGGGGCCTGGCCAAAGACGCAGAAGGCCCCCGCCTCACCCCACCTGCGCACCTGGCCAGCGGTTATGTGGTCCCCTCAGATTTCCTCTGTCCTTTCCCCTCTCTTTTTTACTTATGGGGTAGGTCAGCCCCTTCCCCAGAGCGCTTCTCTTCCACCGCCAAGCAGCCCCCTCAAGCAGGCAGCTGCCCCTTTCGGTTCTGCTCAGTTTCTCATTCCCCCCCCCATCTCAAAAGTTCAGTTTGCCCATTTCCGCACCAGATTGCAATGGTTTTTAATTGCAAGAAGCATCTCCCTCCACATTTCTGCCATTATTATCTCGCCTATAGAAACACAAACGTAATGCTGTCGTCACGCAGCTCCCATGGGAGGGTTTGTAGGGCCTCATCACGGTCCTGGATGGGGGGGGCAAGTCCTGGGGTTGGTGAGAAGAGGTGCAGACTCTAGGATGTGTACATGTGTCTATGAGCTGTGTGTGTTTGCTTATAAAGAGTCAGGGGTTCTTTTCTTGTGATTCCTGCATTGCGGGGGTTAGATTAGATGACCTCTGGAGTTCCTTCCAACTTTACACTTCCATGACTCCTCTCTCTCTCCTGCACTTAAATATTGCATTTTAAAATGTGTATACGACATATACATCTGTATAGCTAATGTAATATATTATCACATTACATACACAGTTCCTATGTAAAACACACACATTTTTTTAGAAGACACTTTCCCCAAATAGGACTATTATTATTTTTAACAAGCAAAGGATGCAGTCTTGTATGTTCCTTTCATTATCTACACATTTTGGTTCACTTTTCGGGGGGGGGGGTTGGAGACCTCCTTTGCAAAATTCAGAAGCGGCACAAATTTGGAAGACTAGCTATGTGTTTCAGTTTTCTATTTGGGGAAATTGGGAATGCAATTTCTAAACGCAAACTGTGCCCAAATTTCGCCCCCTTCCCTGGAACCCCACACAGCTGATCCAAAGGGGAATTCTGCGCCTCCACGGTGGAAAAGCTTGTGTCGAAATTGTCCGGCAATGGCAGAAAACTTTAGAAACAATACTTGGGGTATTCTTTGTGGCTAGTAGTCGTCAAAAGCCTTTTGCTCCTCTGTGTGTTTGTCCGATCCGTTTTTGAAGCTGTCCAAGTTGATGGCCCTGTCTACAGTGGGAGGGAGTTCCGCAGTTTAACTCTGTTGAGAAGAAGTGAAACTCTCAATGTTCAGCTTCACTGCATGCCCACGGTCTAGCGTTATGAGAGAGGGTGGGTGGGAATCTTTTAGGAACGCTGGAAGAATTATTGGGTTAACTCCAGGGGAATAGGCACACACGCACACACAGAGAGAGAAACGTGGTGTGCAACACATATTTGTTTACCCTGAGAGGCCAGTACAGCTGCAGATAAGCAGGGTGGAGCCAGTGTGGATATATGCAGATAATCCAGCCTTGCAATTTGCCCGCTCGCCTCGGGTGAACCGAGGAGGCTGCAGGCCAGGGCTGGAGTCCCAAAAACTTTTCCTGCTTGGGGAGGCTGGGACCTTTTTGCATGCAAAAACAGACACACTCCAGCACAGACCGGCAGCTGCCCTTCCCTTAAAGCCAGATTCTAGTCCTCAACGGCTCAAAATCAAAAGGTTTAAATAAGAGCAAAGGAAGGGTTGCGGGTTTGAACCCCATGTGGGGCAAAAGGGTGCTGCCTTGCAGGGGGGTGGACGAGATGACCTCAGGGTCCCTTCCAGCTCCTACAATTCTAGGCTCCTACAGAGACACAGAAGGCAGATTTCTTTGGCATTCTCTTCAAGGCCAGCCTGCCTAGCTAGCTAGCAAGCGAGGGTCTCATTTTTTCAGGCGATCTTCCAGCGGTTTTTAAGAAGGTCAGACCCATTCCAGGCCTCCAGAGTTTTCTCGGAAACCTGGGACGGTCTCCCGGCCTGCGTAGCAGACAGATTCCGGAGGAAAACATGTTTTGCTGGGCTGGAAGGGGATTGTCCAGTGGGCTGGGAGGGGAGGAAACCAATGAGGGAGAGAGGGAGGGAGGCGTCAGCAATTTGCTTGGGCTCATAAACGCTTGGGGTCCCTCCCCTGGAAACTCACCCCTGGGAGAGGACATTTGGAGGAGAAACCTCTCCAGATTTGCATCCTGCTCCATTTCTGGATATTGCACAACCGGCGTCTTGTGCAACCAGGCCTGCAAGTGTGCGTAGTTGCCAGCTGCTTCTCCCTGGCAGGGCTCTTCTGCCTTTAAGAGCCCCAGGCGAGACTTTCCGCCAGGTGCTGTTTCCTTGCCTCTGATCCATTCCGCAACCGGCTGGATCCCGAAGCTGTTATGGGTGCAGCAACCATAATATTGGGTGGGTGCAGAATTTGTGCATTCTGTTTGCAGGCCCTGCCAGTATCCCTATTTTCCTGGGTTGTCAGAAGCCCGGTCCCAGTTTCTGATTTGATCCCAGAATGTTGCACTTTTTGTTAAGGTAAAGGTAAAGGGACCCCTGACCATGAGGTCCAGTCGTGGCCGACTCTGGGGTTGTGGCGCTCATCTCACTTTATTGGTCGAGGGAGCCTGTGTACAGCTTCTGGGTCATGTGGCCAGCATGACTAAGCTGCTTCTGGCGAACCAGAGCAGCGCACGGAAACGCCGTTTACCTTCCCGCCGGAGTGGTACCTATTTATCTACTTGCACTTTGATGTGCTTTCGAACTGCTAGGTGGGCAGGAGCAGGGACCGAGCAACGGGAGCTCACCCCGTCGCGGGGATTCAAACCGCCGACCTTCTGATCGGCAAGCCCTAGGCTCTGTGGTTTAACCCACAGTGCCACCCGCGTCCCTATTTCCATCAGAGAAATGTTGGAGGGCATGTGGTTGGAGGCTGGAGACTGCACCTGCCTCGTGATCGGCTTTTGAGCTGGTTCCTATTTTTAAAAAATGGATAGGGTCTCACAAGAAGCAGAAAATTTGCAGGTGAAACTGCCTCTCCCCTCTTTGCAGGAACGAAGGAGGTTTGCAAGGCAGACCTGGACTGCAAGAAAACAACAGCCGCCTGCCCCTTGGGGAGCGACAGAGCCCATTGCAACCAAGAGTGCATCTGCCCATGTGCAGAAAGCCGAGGGCTACACGTAAGGGGTCTCTTTTGACCCTAACTGGGGATCCTGGGGATTGGCCCCAGAGCTTCCTGCCTCCAAAGCAGCTGCTCTACTGTTGAGTTATATTATCATTTCCCTAAAGGCGACGCAAGGTTGTAGTCCTCATGATTGTGAACAAAGCTCTGATTTCCATAGGAACCTACGAAGCTGAGACCTTTTGTGGCCTGGGATTATCTACACCGTCGAGGGCATTTTGGGAGATGATATATGATGAGATAAAAAAAGATGTTTAAGATTACTATACCAAAAAAACAACAATCCCTGGAGCTTTTCTTTTAGGGATTATAGGGACAGAAATTACCCCAAAAAGACAATTAAGACGATTAAGTTGTTTACAACTGCAGCTAAGATTCTCTACACACACAAAAATGGGAAGAAGCAGAAATGCTCACCATTTCTGGATAAGGAAGGTGGTGGATTATGCCAAATGGGCAAATTTAGCAGCTAAAATAAGGTTTTTGTGGAAGAGGGGAAACCCTTTTTCGAATTATTTAAAGAAATATTATTACATGACAAACAGGATCAGGATTCGAACCCTGAGCAACAGGTGGGTTTAAAGATTACAGTCGTTTTGTCAAGGTTTGAGAGACAGAAAATAGGGAGCAGCGGAACGAGAGAAACAGGAACTTCGTGGGAAAGGAGGTGGGAAGTTGATTAAAAAGAGCTTTTATTGTGTATTGAAATGTATGTGTGATTTTATCATATGTGGTGGGAATGTAAGAAAACAAAGAACTTCTGGGAAATGATATATAATGAGATGAAAAGCTGTTGAAATATACATTCTTAAAAAAACCAGAGGCATTTCTACTTTATATTATAGGTTAGGATATTAATAGGCAAGATGTTAAATTGTTTTTATATGCAACAACAGTGGCAAGAGTATTGTTAGCCCAGAAATGGAAGCAAGAAGAAATTCCGACGAAAGAAGAATGGCAGACGAAATTAATGGACTACGCAGAATTGGACAAAATGACAGAAAGGATTCGAAACCTGCGGGACCAGAGATTTACAGAAGATTGGAAGAAATATACGAACTATTTGAAGAGCAACTGTAATCAACAAATTACGCTAGTAGGACTACAATAAGTTTTGTAGGTGGAAATATATGAAGTGCTACAAAGTAGAAAAAGAATAGAGATATTGGTTATGAGTTTGAAATGTAACAGGGAAAATAAGAAATGTATACTAAGAGATTAGATTGGAAAATTTTAAGACTGGACTGATGGAAGTCAAAATATTGAATAAGATGTGAAAATTACTGTTGGAAATGGTATGTTAAAAAAACTAATAAAAATTTATATATACCTATAAGAAATGTACGTGTGAAATTTTGGGAAATTTAATAGAAGAAACTTGGGGTGGGGGGGGAGGGGGAGGGCTGCCTGCATTTATTGACAAGAGGCTCTTGTCAATCAATCAAGGAGCCAGCTCCTTCTGCAAGCCAAGCAGCTGTTCTGCTTATCGGGGTTATTAGGGAGTCAAGCACACCTCGTCTCATGGTAACCTTGTGGTTATGTAATCCCTGGCAGGAGCTCTGCAACTGTTTTTCTGTGCTGATAACGCCCTTCCCCTTCGCTCCGTAGAGTCCAGGGACCTGTCTTACCCTTCAGGGGAGGAGGAGCGACCTGCCCGGGCAGCAGCAAAGGGGGACTCCGGTTTCTAGTCCTCTCTGTTTCTCGCCCGGCTGTCTCTTTAAACTGCAGCTTAATGCAGGAAAGTAGGGTCCCTAATGCACTAGGGAGTGGCTGTGGGGTTAGGGTCCAGGGTTGGGCACCCGGGGAAAGACTCGCTGTCCGAAACCCCACAAAGCTGCTGCCGGCCTGTGCACGCAAAACTATTACTACTACTACTACTAATAATAATTTATTGTTTATACCATGCCCATCTGGCTGGGCTTCCCCAGCCACTCTGGGCGGCTTCCCACAAAATATTAAAATGCAGTAATGCATCTGATATTAAAAGCTTCCCTAAACAGGGCTGCCTTCAGATGTCGTCTAAAAGTCTGGTTCAGTGGTACCTCTGGATGCGAACGGGATCCGTTCCCGAGCCCTGTTCGTATCCTGAGTAGAACGTAGCACATGACTGCACATCTGTGCATGCCGCGTTTCACCGCTTCCGCGCATCCACATGACATCATTTTGAGCATTGCGCATGCGGCGAAACCTGGAAGTAACACGTTTCGTTACTTCCGGGTCGCCGTGGAACGTAACCTGAAAATGCTCAACCTGAAGCATACTTAACCCGAGTTATGACTGTAGTTGTTCTCTTTTACATCTGGTGGGAGGGTGTTCCACAGGGCGGGTGCCACCACCGAGAAGGCCCTCTGCCTGGTTCCCTGTAACTTGGCTTCTCGCAGTGAGGGAATGGCCAGAAGGCCCTCGGAGCTGGACCTCAGTGTCCAGGCAGAACAATGGAGGTGGAGATGCTCCTTCAGGTATACTGGGCCTTTGAGGCCATTTAGGGCTTTAAAGGTCAGCACCAACACTTTGAATTGTGCTCGGAAACGTACTGGGAGCCAATGCCAGTCTTTCAAGACTGGTGTTATGTGGCCTTGGTGGCCGCCCCCAGTAGAAGCATGAATGGTCTCCCTTGGGAGGCAGCGGACTCTCCTCCTTGGAGGTTTTGAAGCAGAGGTTGGGTGGCATTATCTGTCCCAGATGCTTTAGCTGAAATTCCTGCCTTGCAGGGGGTTGGGCTGGATGACCTTTGAGGGTCCCTTCCAATGCTACGATTCTGTTATTGTATGAAAAATTATATCTATCTATATGTAATAAAGATAAGGTCTGCAAGAACACCTGGGAATGTTATTTAGGTCACTCTGCCAAGCAGAGGGCAATTTAGGCAGCAATAAAACTCAAGAGAGCTATGGGGAGTCAGCCTGCTCTGCCACACCTCAGCATGGGTGCTGCTGCCAAGGCGGCCCCGTTCACCTCCGATCTGCAACCGCACTCCACATTAACAATCGCCGAACCTTGGCACATGAGAAGGAGGCAGGGAGCAGGGCAGCCAATTAGAGAGGAGCTGGGGCTGGGGAGGCGAAAGAAGAGGCCTCCCGTTGCTTCCCTGCACGATGCCCCGTTCTGGGCGCTCAGTGAGATGATGCTGAGAGAGAGAGACAGCCCACTCAGCCCTTTGCAGGCTCATCTTCTTATTTAGGTTTGCATCCCCATCATGGAATGATGCCTAACTATTTTTATAATTTAAAATTTAAATTATAATTAAATATATAATTTAAATATAATTTAAAATTTAAAATTTAAAAATATTTGGAATAAGTTTCTACAAAATTTAGTAGGTTAGTCATATTTACATACATATTAGGATAATAATAGGGACGTGGGTGGCGCTGTGGGTTAAACCACAGAGCCTAGGGCTTGCCGATCAGAAGGTCGGCGGTTCGAATCCCCGCAACAGGGTGAGCTCCCATCACTTGGTCCCTGCTCCTGCCAACCTAGCAGTTTGAAAGCATGTCAAGTGCAAGTAGATAAATAGGTACGGCTCCGGTGGGAAGGTAAACGGCGTTTCCGTGCGCTGCTCTGGTTCGCCAGAAGCGGCTTAGTCCTGCTGGGCACGTGACCCGGAAGCTGTACGCCGGCTCCCTTGGCCAGTAAAGCGAGATGAGCGCCGCAACTCCAGAGTCGGTCATGACTGGACTTAATGGTCAGGGGTCCCTTTACCTTTACCTAAATTAAAATATATCTAATTGCTGTAGACTTCTCTTTGCTGTATATAAATACAACGCAATTAGAAATTTTATATTAAAAATTTTATATTATAAATAATATTATAAATTCCCCTATACTCCCCACTCCCCTTCACCCATGTATGATATCAGTTTTTTGGTTTTTGTTTAACTTCTTGCATCTTGTTGTGTTTTTCTCGCAGGTAAACTTCTTAAGGGCTTCATATACTAATAGGAACACTGCAAACTTGACCTGGTAGCTAATCGGCAACTGGTTATGGCTCCTGAAGGCCAGGGCGTCAGGAACCACCACCACGGTGAATTTCCTTACCAAAACCCGCTTTTAACAAAGCTCCCTGTCTGCGGAATTAAACAACGATGGTGCCATTCAGAGTCCGTGCTTCTGAACGTTGTGTTGAATCCTAGAATTGCAGAGTTGGGGCCCCAGGGGTCATCTAGTCCAACCCGCTGCAAGGCAAGAATTTCAACTAAAGCATCTGTGACAGATGGCCGTCCAACCGCCATCTGCTTAAAAACCTCCCAGGAAGGAGCGTCCACCACCTTCCATCCCACGATCAAATAGCTCTCACTGTCAGATAGTTTTTCTTGACGTTGAGTCGGAATCTCCTTTCTCGTCGCTTGAAGCCATGGGTTCGGGGTTCGAGTCCTACCCTCCAGAGGAGGAGAAAGCAAGCTTCTCTCTTGACTTTCTTTTTCTTTCTCTATCCCCCTCTCCCTTTTTTGTTCTTTTAAAGTCTTTGTTTGGTTAAAAACGCGGGAGAAAGATATAAAGCTTTGTATTTTCCTCTATAAGCCTCAATGATATTTATTTATTTTTAAACCAAGCGTGTCTCTTTAAGAATCTTTTTGGGGTGAGGGGGTGGCCCTTAAAAACAGAAACCTCTCTGGTCTTACAAAGCCAAGCCCTGCTCTCCCCAGGAAAGGATTTGGAAAGTCACCTGATGGCAGAAGGGACAGACAATGCTTTGCCACTCGAGACACAGGAATGAGTCTGTACGTGATTACAGACAGGGAGCGAAATTACACTGGAGGGGAGGCAAATTGCTTGCACAATCTTAGCAGGCCTTGCAGCAGGTCGGAGCTGCTTGGAACTGCTTCGGGTGTCCATGACGCGCTGTTTGTCGCTTTCCAAGCTTTTGCTTGTGTGTTGAAACTGGAAGGAGTTGCACGAAGAACAGGGACTCGGGCAGGGGGGCAACAGGGAGGCATCTCCCTGGGGATACGGCTTAGCTCCCTGTTGGGACCGGCTGACTCAATCCAAATATGTAGTCTGGTGGGCAAACTATTGTGTGTGCATGTGTGCTGAATCATATAATGGCAGAGTTGGAAGGACCCCTCAGGGTCATCCAGTCTAACCCCTGCGATGCAGGAAGTGGGGGGGGGGAGTTTAATGAAGTTATAAGCCCCACCTCCCAATCTCCCTGCCCAGTTACCACACTCCACCTAGCCTGCTAAAGTTGCTTGCTAAGAGAGTTACCCCCAAAATAAGCAAGAGAGTTACCCCCAAGTTTAGGCAAGACCAGAGCAGTGACTCGCGCAGAGAGAGAACGGGCTGCCTCATCCGTCCTGCACATCTCTGCATTTGGAGCAGTTTGGAACATTCAATTGCGCCCGGTGCAAAAGCGTGGCAAAACCGGTTCTCCCACTCCGACGAATGATTCCAAGGATGCACACGAGCGCATCGTGCAGAGAAGCAACAGGCAAATTCACTTTCCAGAGACAGAGAGGCGCATGTGAAGATGCTTTGCATACCTACAGGGAGAAGAATGGGATGCGGGTGGCGCTGTGGGTTAAACCACAGAGCCTAGGACTTGCCGATCAGAAGGTTGGTGGTTCGAATCCCCGCAACGGGGTGAGCTCCCGTTGCTCGGTCCCTGCTCCTGCCCACCTAGCAGTTTGAAAGCATGAAGTGCAAGTAGATAAATAGGTACCACTCTGGTGGGAAGGTAAATGGCATTTCCATGCGCTGCTCTGGTTTGCCAGAAGCCAGAAGCAGCTCAGTCATGCTGGCCACATGACCCAGAAGCTGTACGCCGGCTCCCTCGGCCAATAAAGCGAGATGAGCGCCGCAACCCCAGAGTCGGCCACGACTGGACCTAACGGTCAGGGGTCCCTTTACCTTTACCTAGGGAGAAGAATCAGGCTATGGATGCACAAGCAGCTTTTGAGTCCAGCCCCTCATTATCGACCCTTGGACTGCTAACTTTCATTTTGTTGCCAGCCGTGGGCTTAACCTCTGAGAATACACAGAGCTCCATACCCTCCAACATTTCTCTGATGATAATAGGGATGTCCTGTTTAATAATAATAATAATAATAATAATAATAATAATAATAATAATAAATGCTCCAGGCACTCTGACAATAAAAATGTAACATTATAAAACTTCCCTATGCAGGGCTGCCTTTAGAGAACATCTTCTAAAAGGGTGTATATTCCTCCAATGAAAACAGGAACGTCCTAAGGAAAATCCGAAACCGGGATGGCTTCTGAAAACCTGGGACTGTCCCTGGAAAATAGGGACACTTGGAGGGTCTGTCAACCCCTTCTTGATAGGCATGGGCCTTTTAAAATGACAACAATGTGAAGTTTAAGGGGAAATAATAGTCTCTGAGCATGCACAGAGTGATGCCCATTTGCAGAAAGACACTGGTTTTTAGAAGCTGTCTTTACTGATCACGGAGGAACGGCTGGTGGGGCTTGACAGAGCCTTTTCTGTGGTGGCTCCCATATTGCGGATTCCCTCTCCGGAGAGGTTAAACTGGCTCCCTCTTCGTTCTCTTTCCAACGACAGGCCAAGACCTTGCTTGGAGAGGCCTTTGGACAATGGCGATTACTGGGCTGCCTGGCAGGGCAAACGGGATTTTAATTTCTGGTTTCAAATGCGCTGCGCTGCGCTTTATGTTTTTCATTAACCTGCCCTTGTCACTTTGCATTTCCGAACGTTGCTTTTCAAACGCTGCAAGCCTCCTCGAATCCCAAGGTGGGAGAGAGAGGGAGGCGTTACAGATCCCGGGAAGGGACCCCAGGGGTCATCCAAGACTGACCCGCCGCAATCCAGGAATGCCGTGGGATAAGAACTGAGGTCGCATCTGTCTTTGGCGAACGTGGTAGACGAATCGTGGCGTATTTCGCACCCTCTACACTCCTGGGTTGTTTTGGAGGCTGGATTGGGTGGTCTGGTCATGCAATAAATTATTATTATTATTATTATTATTATTATTATTAACAATGGGCATGTGAAATTGCACATACGCATTTGTCTGCTTGCATGCCCACTGTCACAACTGGCAGTGTGGGAAAATTGAAGGAAGCCGGATGGGGTTGGGCAGGGGGACGGATCCTGCAATGTGGGCTCTGGTCTCCAGGAGGGGGAAAAGGGGGTTAGGCTTTGCAGATGTCACCCATAAAAGAAGGAGGTTTGCAGGTTGTGGATTTGTGCATGTTTAGAAATACCCACTGAAAAGATGGTCAAAGTTGGGGGTGGGGAAGGCAGCAGGGAGTCGGTCGCAGGAGGTGAGGGAGTAATCCAGGCACTGCTTTCCTGGAGGAGACGGCTGGAGCAGAAAACACTCTGCACATGTTTAGAAGTGCACTCTGCCCTCTCTCTCCTGCCGCAGAGGCATTCTGCACATGCCCAGAGGCACTCCCTTCCTAAGGGAGACGACAGGAGCGGAAAGCACTCTGCACATGCTTTCAGGTCTCTTTACCCTCTTTCTCCTGCTGCAGAAGCACTCTGCCCATGCCTAGAGGCGACAGCAGGGGCAGAAAACTCTCTGCCCATGTCGAGAGGCACGTACTGTCTTCTCTCTCCTGTCGCAGAGGCACTCTGCCCATGCCCAGAGGCAGCAGGAGGAGAAAACTCTCTGCACATGCTTTTAGGTACTCTTTACCCTCTCTCTTCTGCCGCAGAGGCACTCTGCCCATGCCCAGAGGCACTCCCTTCCTAGAGGAGACGGCAGGAGCAGAAAACTCTCTGCACATGTTTAGAGGCGCGCTCTACCTTCTCTCTCCTGCCGCAGAGGCACTCTGCCCATGCCCAGAGGCAGCAGTAGGAGAAAACTCTCTGCCCATGTTGAGAGGCGCGCTCTACCTTCTCTCTCCTGCCGCAGAGGCACTCTGCCCATGCCCAGAGGCGACAGCAGGGGCAGAAAACTCTCTGCCCATGTCAAGAGGCATGCACTGTCTTCTCTCTCCTGTCACAGAAGCACTCTGCCCATGCCCAGAGGCAGCAGGAGGAGAAAACTCTCTGCACATGCTTTCAGGTACTCTTTACCCTCTCTCTCCTGCCACAGAGGCACTCTGCCCATGCCCAGAGGCACCCCTTTCTTAGAGGAGACGGCAGCAGCAGAAAACACTCTGCCCATGTTTAGAGGCATGCATTGCCTTCTCTCTCCTGTTGCAGGGGCACTCTGCCCATGCCCAGAGGCAGCAGGAGGAGAAAACTCTCTGCACATGCTTTCAGGTACTCTTTACCCTCTCTCTCCTGCCGCAGAGGCACTCTGCCCATGCCCAGAGGCAGCAGGAGCAGAAAACTCTCTGCACACGCTTTCAGGTACCCTTTACCCTCTCTCTCCTGCCGCAGAGGCACTCTTCACATGCCCAGAGGTACTCCCTTCCTGGAGGAGACGGCAGGAGCAGAAAACACTCTGCACGTTTTCAGGTACTCTTTACCCTCTCTCTCTTGCCGCAGAGGCACTCTGCCCATGCCCAGAGGCAGCAGGAGGAGCAAACTCTCTGCCCATGTTGAGAGGCACGCACTGTCTTCTCTCTCTTGCCGCAGCGGCACTCTGCCCATGTGCAGAGGCCCTCTCTGCCTCTCCCCGCTGGCCTCTGCCGGCTGCTGCTGCCCTCCCCTTCCCGGCCCGGCAGGCGGAGGCGGAGGCGGAGGCGGGCCGGTGGGGCTCAGCTGATGCAAGCGGGGGCCTCTGCCGCCTATATAAGTCTCCGCGCGGCGCCTGCTCGGCACCTCCCTTCCCGAGCCCGGCTGTGCCTTTTCCATCTACAGTGGCGCCAGCACTGCGGAGCCCGAGCCTCGGTAAGGGGGACCGGCCGCGGGCCGCGGGGAGGGCTGCCGAGGGCCGGATCCGATCCCCGGGCGCTTTTGCAAAGCCGCGTCCCTTGCATTTGCAAAAAGCGATTTGCAAAAACCAGAGGCGACTGGATCTTCGTAGTTTTGCAATGGAAATGGGGGGGGGGGGAGAGAGAGAGAGAGAATGGTTGGGAAGAAGACTTAAGATGGGGGTGTTTGAATGCCCCCCCCAGCAAATAAATAAAGCAGGCCGGGAGTATTGCATCCCCCCCCCTTGTTTGCAAACTCATTGCATGGCGCGCGCAGCTGAATCTGTCTTGTGTGTGTGTTTTTAAGGGGGGGGAGGGGTTTTGCAGTGGGGAAGGAAGGGGGAGGGGCTGGGGAGGCAGCCCTTCACCCCCCCCCCGCTATTCCCCTTTCTCTCCCCTTTTTACCCTGTTTTGGTGCCCCCACTTATTTTTTTGCAAATGGGGGGAGGGTGCAATTCTATGTTTTTCCTTTTGCAAACCTGGTAGCATTGAAAAGGGCCGGATTGTGGTGTTGTTGTTGCTGTTGTGTTGCAAGCCTGGGGAGGTGTGTTTGCGGGGGGGGGGGAGAGGAAGCTTTGCGGGGGCGTATCCGTTTCACGCCCCCCCCCAAAATAGTGAGCGATTCTTTTTCTCCTCCCCCATTTTACCTTCTTCCTTAATGCAAATAATAGAAAATGAACTCACGCGAATGATCACGCCCCCCTCCCTTGCTATGCAGGATGTAGGGTTTTTTTTGGGGGGGTGACTTAGGAAATAGTCCACCCCTCCTGGAAAAAAGGGGTGTGTATTTTTGCTGTGTTATTCCACCCCCCCCATTGCAGATTTTCAGAATAAAGTCCAGAGAGCGTTGGGTTTATTATGATTTTACTGCAAATCTGCGAGTTTCAAAGTCTCTTCCATCTGCCCCACAAGATCAGCTGCAAAATATTATATATGGGTTTTTGTGGGTGGACGCGGTGGGGGGGGGGAGGAAATATTAAAATTTTGTGTTGCTGGGGGGGGATATAACATTCCTCTCCTGCCAGTTCTCAGCTGCATCTAACTGCAACCACTGTTTAAATCTATGGGCAATGACCACTGATTTCAGTGGGTCTACTTGTGAGTAGGGCTTGAGTTGGCTGCACAATCCCTGCTTTGCAAAAGGCCTGTGTGTGTGTGTGTGTGTGTGTGTGTGTGTGTGGTTCCCCACCCCCTTTGTACACACCCCCTTTCCCCTTCCTTCCCCGGGGCCTGTACTTCCAACATCTGCCTTCGCTCCAAGAATTTTGTTTCCCCCCCCTTCCTTTGAAAAATAAAATAAAATAAAGCAAAACCTCTTTCAAATAATGAACAAGGAATGTTCTTCCTAAGCTTTGCATTGCATCACAAAGGGACGAAAATCTGGTGCAACACAGAGAGAGAGAGGGAGATGGAGATATTTTTGTAAGAAAGGCCTTGTGTCGGAGAGGTTGGGAGCTGAATCTTAAATGCACAAACAATTATTACTGTGATTACGACGATGATTATGATTATTAAATACGAGGGTTTCTGTGCAAAAGGGCCTCTTGTCAGAGAAAAATACTTGCTCCCCCCCCCAAGCCCCCACTTCTTTGTGTGTTTGCAAATCTCTGCATGCCATTTTCTATATTTCGGGACGCACTCTGTTCCTGTGTTGTGTGTCATTTGCAAACCGTCGTTCTCATTTGTCTATCCTTTTCCCAGGAGTCTGGTGCTTTGCTTTTAAATTTCCTTTGTCAGAAATGAGACCCCCCCCCCCAAAAAAAAAACCCAACAGCTATTTTATGGTTATGCACCCAGTGGCTGAGTCTTGAACTTTTTTAAAAAATTAAAATAAAACCTTTCTCTTCTTTTCTCTCTTTTTACAGGGTCTCCATCGGCAGACCCGGACTAGCTTCACCCCAGTTTTTTTTCCTTCTCCGCCCCCCTTTTCTTTTCTTTACTCCCCCCTCTTCATTTGCATCTTCAAAACCTCCAAAATGGTGCAGAAAAAAACAGAACTCAAAGGTTTCCACCGCTCCTTTAAGGTAAGAAAGATTAAAACTATTATTATTTAGCGGAAGTCGGATTGCGGAGTTAATGTGTCTGGGTTTTTTTAATGCCTTCTGAAAGTTGCTTCCGTTTTTCTGTTTTCCCCTTTAAAAAAAAAAAGTTGTGTTTTTGCAATGCAGTCCCAGGCATATGTAGGTATAAAGAAGCCCCATTGAATTCAATAGGGCTTACTCCCAGGTAAGTGGGCTTGCAATGCCTTTGTTGCTCATTGGTAAAAAGAATTGTAGAGAGACTTATGTTGGGAATCAAAATATGTGCTGTGAAACTGTTTGCACTGAAACTTTTGCAGCACGTATATCTATTATAAAAAGCCTTAATTTTTATTTTAAGCTGCATGCAGGTTTCTGAGCTACACAGGACTCCTAGTCAGGAGAGCTGACTCGGGATCCTGTGTGGCACAGGTGGTCTTCCTCAGAGTAGTGGAAAATACTTCCTTAGTAGGTCTAACCCCGAAACTTTTGCTGCTGCAGATGTAATACTAGCATATATAAAAATATAATATAATTATAATATAATATAATTATAATATAATATATTAATAATCCTACTCACCCCTACTTAGAGATGCTGAGGACTGGACCACCTTCTCCCTTCCCTTCGCCCCACCAAAAAGCGAGTTTTTGACCTTGTCCATCAAATTATAGAGCAGTATCAGGACTTGAGGGTCTCTGCCCCGAGGAGATTACAGTCGAAGGGGGGAAATCCGCCTGGGGACGTAGCAGGTGGTTGGAGCCAGAGAGGAATAATAATACCTTTATTGTCAACGTACAACCTGAAATCAACCAACATAATAATGATTAAAAGGAACCCGACATAATAACGATTAAAAATAATAATTATAATGATTTACGACACCTTAAGTTGTAGGATTTGTCTTGGTGGGTGTGCGTTGTCAGAAGCAATGCTTTAGCGTCAAGTTGTGTTGCAGTTTCGGGCGTCTGCATGGAGCGCCGTACATTTTTACTTTTCTGAGTTGTGTGTGAGATTAATTTCTGCTTCCTAAGAGGAATTAATTTGCTGCTGGGTCGGCCTCTTAGAGGAGAAGCCTTTGGGGCTTGCAAGCTCTTTTGAAAGAGCGAGCCGGGTGCTTGCATTTAATGAAGGCTTGCTTGCCGTTTCGCTGGCGCCCTGACATGCAATGGTGCTGGGGTTTTTGTGTCTGTTTTGCTGAATGAGCAAAAAGAGGCTTGTGTCTGTTCCTTTGGCCGGAACGTGTGTTTGGGGAGACGGCCAGGGCCCGACTTCTGTGTTGTGCAAGTGCGTCAGGGAATCCTGTCCTTCCAAACTGGTTGCCTGAAATGTTTGGGGAGTGATGCAAGTCGTGTGTAGGCGCCGCCTCAACTTCCGTGATTTATGAGCCGATGGCAGTTCCCCAAAACCCTTTGGCAGGCTGGCTTGGTGGCGATGTGACCTCTCTGCGTCTCTCTGCTCTCCATAGGCAGGTTTCTAGTCCCCATGGAGGCAGCGATATCGCCTGCAAGCTTTCTGCAATTCCTGTTGATCCTCAGGTTTCTAGCCCTCATGGAGGCCCAGATGTTGTTGCTACAGGTGTGTGCATTTGTGTAGCAGTGGTTGCTTGTGCCTTCCTCCTCTGAGTAGAACCTGGTTGGACGCCTCCCAGGTTGAATAAAGGAGGCCAAATTGGATAATGCCGAACAAGTGTTTTGTTTTTGTCATTTGCACGAAGCAGGGTTATGGCTGGTGTGAGTCAGGATCCCGCAATGTGGCTCCAATTGTCTGAACTGCTGAGTGGCAGGTGACCTTTAGCTTGTGAGATGACGGGTTCCTGCCACTCCAAAGTTTCAACACGGGACCCTGCATTGGTTAGAGCCTAGTGCTGATATTGCCAAGGTTGTGCGTTCAGTCCCTGTCAGGGACAACTGCAGGGCTGCACTCAACTTCAAGCAAAACACCCGGAAAACGCTCCCAATATTTTTGCCTTTCTTGAACAGGCAAAAGGAGGGAGGAGTCCTGGGGCCAGACAGGCTTCCACGCCTGTCTCTACTGTCCTGTACCCATTTCACAGGCGGGATAGCCGAGTCCTGGTTGGTCGTTTGGCCCTGCAGATTAATTCCTCCCTGCAGGGCTGCCAACCCTGCGCTCAGAGTCATGGGGTTTGTCCCGTGATGTGCCGCCTCCCTCCCTCCCTGTCTGGTTGCCGAGGGCTCTCCCTAATTATGGGATGCCGGCGTCCTGGTTGGCAGAGGCTGGGAGCCACGCGGGAGGGCTGGTCCTCTGCGGCTGGGAGCCAGACCGGTTGGGCAAGTCGGAAGAGAAGCTGGGAACAGAATCATAAGAGTTGGATTGGGAGTCCCTGAGGGTCATCCAGTCCAACCCTCTGCAATGCAGGAATCTTTTGCCCAGCGTGGACCTCGAACCCGTGACCCTGGGGTTTCATTGCAGTTCAGGCCTGGGCTGGATTTGCCAGGAGAACATTGGAAAGACTGCAGGATGAGACCTGGCCTAGCAGCATCCTGTTCTCCCAGTGGCCAAATTACCCCCAAGAACCTAGGGATCCAGATAGACTGCCGCTGGACAGGGAGGTTCCATAGGAACGTAAGAGGAGCTTTGCTGCAGGATCAGGCCAGTGACCCACCTAGCCCAGCTTCTGTTCTCACTGCGGCTCACCGGATGCCCCCATGGATCTGAGCAAAAGAGCAACTCTCCTGCAGAACGGTCTCCTTTTGGAGGTTGTCGCCTCTCCTTCCTTGGAGGTCTTCAAGCCGAGGTCGGGTGGCCATCTGTCCTGGGCGCTTGAGCTGAGATCCCTGCTTTGCAGCGGGTTGGGCTGGATGACCTTGAGGGGTCCCCTTCCACCTCACCGATTCCATGCTTTCCAGCAACTGGTCTTCAGAAGCACTTCTAGCCTTCCTGGCTAGTAGCCCTGCCTGCCGTGAAGTTGCCTCATCCTGTTTTTTTAACCCTTCTGGGTTGGTGGGCATGGCTGTTTCCTGCAGCAAGGAGTTCCATAGTTTTAACGGTGCACAAGAAGGGCTTTCCTCTGTCCGTCCCAGATCTCCCGACTGTCCGCAAGCGTTTGTGAGAGAGGGAGAAAAGCTTTTCACTCTTTTCCCACGGCGGACGTAATCCTGCAAACGTATGCTTGCTTCCCTCGTCTCCAAATTAAAAGGCCCAAAGGTTGCACGGTTTTTTGGAATAATCCTGCAAACGTTGCAGACGGGTAGCTGTGTGGGTCAAGACAACACAGCCATGGGGGTCCTCTGGTTCTCCGGTCATCGTTGGCTGGGCTCCAGCTCCCGGTCGCCACCATAGCCCAATGGTCAGGGATGATGGGATATGTAGTTCTGCAAAACCCAGCGGTTCCCTTGGCCTAGAGCTGTTTCTGTCTTGGGATGGCGAGGCTCCCTATTATTTACTTCGTTTGTAGGCCGCCTCCTTTGCCCACTGAGCTCAAGGTGGCGCCGTTCCTGGTTCTGTTCAATTAATCACCCCAGCAACCTTGCAGGGTAGGGCAGCCTAGCCAGAGCGGCGATTCCGACTAGAAAAGTGACCTTCCCAAAGGATTTTGCTCTGTCCTTTCTCTTGCAAGAGGCCTGCCTTCTTCAGTCCTCTGCAGGTTTCAGAGTCGGGAGAGTTGAGTTTGTGGCTCGATGGGGATTCGAACTCAGGTCTCGCCTGTTCCAGCTGTGAGATGCCGGTTTTGAAACGGTGCTCAGACTTCCAAAGTGAATCTGTGTGGCGTCAAGGAGTCTGCGACTCCAAACCCTCACTGGCTGATCTCTGGAATATCTCTCGCTCAACTTCAGACTGCCTCGCAAGGTTGTTGTGACGATTAAACAGGAAGCTTCCTTGCTGGTCCATGTAGCTCAGTATTAACGGCAACCAACTGGCAGCGCCTATCCGGGGCTTCCTAGTCAGAGATGCTGAGGATCAGACCTAGGCTTTCTGCGTGCAAATCTTCCCTGAATCGCAGCGGGTTGGGATAGATGACCCCCTGGTGTCCTCAAAAATCTACGCTTCTAGGATAACTATGGGGTTGAGAGAGGGAACCTTTTTGTAGGCTGCCTCCATCCATGCCTCCAAATCCCCTATGTTCTTAACCCCATTCCCTGCCCTACAGCCAACCTCATGGGGTTTTCCGCCTGCAGATAACAGCTGCTCTTAGAAATAATCTTATTTTCGTTTCCCTCTCCAGCGCATGCTGAGATCCCGTACTCCATTCCTCCTTATGTAATGCAAAACCTTTTCCTTTTTTTTTTTTTTTTTTTTTGCAACTTAGAATGCGGGTGTGTGCCTCAAACGCCCAATTTTGCACGGGGCTCGACATGCCCCCCCCCCCCCGTTGCGTTTCCTGCCAGTATTTTTCCAAGACATTTCTTGCAAGACGCCTTTCGGGTTGGCGATGGTCGAAGCCTCCCGGCCACCCTGTGACTTTGCTGCCTAATCTCAAATTAATGCCCTTGCGCTTATTTTTAAACATGCCGACACACACACACACACACACACACACACACACACACACAAGCCCACACAATAGATTCCCTTGCATTTATTGCTTGTCGTGAAAAGCCTGGGTCCTTAAGTCGATTGCTGCGCAACTCTCCAGTTTTGAAAGAGAGCAATGCAGGGACAGTGTGCAGCCTCAGACCTGGGTTTGTGTGTGCGCACAAGTGTGTGTTGCAGTTCCCCCCCCCCTTCTTGCACTCTCCGTTTTGCAAAACTCGCTTGCGGCCGGGTGATGTAACTTCTCCCCGGCTGGGAGGCCCCATGGAGGGATATTTGGCGCAGCGCGGGCATGGGTTATGTAAGCGCATCTTGGGCTACGCAGTCTGTGCGTTTGGTGCGCAGAGGCGCAAGGGAGTCGCATACGGGGAATTTGCAGACCCGGGTTTTGCAAAATCCACAGTGGCAGGAGCAGAGAGGTTGAAAGGGGTCTGTGGGTTTTCGTGTTGTTTTTTTGCATTTTTTGAGGGATGGGTGGAAATTAAGCAGGCAGAAAGGGGATCTGGGGTTGGCGCAAGCAGAGCGGAAAATAGTAAGTAATAATAATAATAATAATTTATACTCCCCCACTCCAGTCTGGCTGGGTTTCCCCAGCCACACTGGGTGGCTCCCGACACTTAGAAAAACACAATAAAATGTCAAACATTAATAGCCGCAATCTTTTTTTAAAAAAATGTTTTTATTAACAATTTCAACATATCAAAACATATCACATTCATTATTTTCTCTCCTTTCCCCCCCTCCTCTCTCCCAGAGATTTCTGAGCAAATATTATTCTCCGCATGTTGTAAAATTATAGGAATCCTTACACTATATTTCTACCATGTTATCAATCAGTAAATTTTTGTATGTTTATTCAGAACCTGCCAAGGAGTCCAACTCATTTTTTAAAGTAATTTGTAAAAAGTTCCCATTCTTCTTTAAAGTCACAGTTGTCTCGCAGTTTGTATGTCAGTTTAGCCAATTCTGCGTAGTTCGTCAATTTCTCTTGCCGCTGTTCTTTATTAATAGCCGCAATCTAATACTAAAAAGTCACAATGTGCCCAGCCTTGTATACTGTGAATGGATTAAAGGGATGTGGGAGAAGATTGGCTTTCAGAAGAGGGTCTGGAGCTGAAGGCTGTGGATAGAATCATCGAATCGTGAGCTGGAAGGGGAACCCCAGGGGTCATCCATCCCAACCCGCTGCAATGCAGGAATCTCAGGCCGAGCATCCATGACAGGTGGCCGCCACACCTTTGCTTCAAACACCTGCAAGGAAGGAGAGTCTGCAACCTGTCGAACGGCGCTTACTGTCAGAAAGTTCTTCCTGAGGTTGAGTTGGAATCTCGTTTCTGGTCACTAGAAGCCACGGGTTCGAGTCTTACCCAGGAGCTTGTTCTCTGCTAGGGACCAGTGCAACAGAGGGGTGTGTTTGTCTTCAGAGAGCTTGAACAAAATATTTCTCTCTACTGTGGGAAGCGCCTGCCTCCATCACCTGAGTAGATTTCATAACAGCCTGTCTATCCAGGCTGCGGGTTCAAAAGGCGCCGCTTGTGGCAAGGCTGCCGCTCCCTCCCTTTTTTTTGGCCTGGAATGAGATGGGGGTAGATTTGGTTTGCGGTCAGGGGGTGCTAATGGGTTTGGAAGGGGGGGCTTAATCCTTGGAGGCTAGTTTCCCCCAAGGGAAGAGTTGCTTGAGCATGTGCAGAGAGCATTCAAGGAGCAGGCTTGGAAACTCAGATATGGAAGCCAGGCACCAAATCTTAAACTAGGGTTTCCTTTTGGGTGAAAGGAATTCCAGGTCGCCTTGTTGGGGCCAGAGGACTCGGGAAATTGCGCCAGACTCGGAATTTCAAACACTGGTTTTGCTACTGGCGCTGGTCCGGCTGCGACAACGTGGAGATATCTGTGCACCATTTGGAAACCTCTGCTTTAAGAATCTTAAGAGATTCTTAGAAGACTGGAGTACTTGAACTATTTGAAAAGCAATTGGTAATAAACAGATTACGCTAGCAGGACTGCAAGAAGTTCTGTAAGGAGGGTTATGTGAAATATTGCAAGTTAATGATAATTAAAAGTAATAGAGAAATTAAGAAATGCAGAATAATAATAATAATAATTTATTATTTATACCTTGCCCATCTGGCTGAGTTTCCCCAAGTGATGAAGAACGGAAAATCTTCAGAGGTTGTTGACGGAAGTCTAAAATATTGTATAAGATAAGAACTTGTGTTAAATGACACAAATGGAAATGATATGTTAAGAAATTAATAAAAATGTATATAAAAGGAAAGAAAACCTCTGCTTTAGTCCACACTCAATGCCGTCTTCATTTCCGCTGTGCGTGTTTCTCTCCTTACGAGAGAAGCTGCGGGCAAGCAATGTAGCTGAGATCGTTGAATTGTCGCGTCGGAAGGGACCCAGCGGTCATCTAGTCCAACCCCCCCCCGGCGAATAGACATTCTGTTGCGGTGACCACAACCTAGGTTTAAGGTGCCCAGCTTAGATAGCTGAGTTTCTAACACGTGGGGGGGGGCTCCTGCAAAGAGATGTTAAGGATTGAGGGGTGACTAGATGACTCTTGGGGTCCCTTCCAGCCATTCCCCGATTCTGCGACAGTCGCTGCTCCCTGAGCTGCTCCTCTTCTACCTTCAAGGTACTGAATATAGAATGTGGACTTGAGGAGCCTGGGTGAGAGCTCTGTTGGTTAGAGCGTGGTGCTTGATAATAATGCCAAGGTTGCGGGTTCGATTGTCGTATGGGACAGCATTGTAGCGGGTCAGACTAGATGATCCTCAGGGTGCCTCCCAACACTTAATATTCTACGATTCTATTCCTTAATATAAATGCTGGGGGTGTATTCAAAGTCCATTTGCCACCCCCACACCACCCCTGTGGCGCAGCCCAGAAAGGAATCTGCCACATGCTTTTTTATAATAATAATAATAATAATAATAACAATAATAAAATAAATAATAATAAATTTCCCCAGCCACTCTGGGCGGCTTCCAACAAAGTATTAAAATTCAGTGGTCTGTTAAACATTAAAAGCTTCCCTAAACAGGGCTGCCTTCAGATATCTTCTAAAAGTCTGGTAGTTGTTGTTCTCTTTGAAATCTGGTGGGAGGGAGTTCCACAGTGCAGGTGCCACCACCGAGAAGGCCCTCTGCCTGGTTCCCTGTAGCTTTGCTTCTCTCAGGGAGGGAACCACCAGAAGGCCCTTGGCGCTGGACCTCAGCGTCCGGGCAGAACGATGGGGGTGGAGACGCTCCTTCCGATATATAAATGCGCAGCTCAGGTCCAGGAGAGGCTTAGTGCGCAGCTCAGGTCTAGCAGACGCCTCCTGTGTTTTCTGCTTCGGAGCACCTGGTGTCTCTGCAAGCTTCTTGCCTCACCCTGCCCTGCCGTTCCCAAACAAGCTGTCTCCTCCCTGCTCACTATGGGCTGGATCCCCAGCCACAGCCGGTGGGGCAGCGTTCCGGCCAGGTCTGGTTAGGCTACCCTGCGGTTCTCCTCCCCGTTGGCCTCCTTTTGCGGCCTCCACCAGTCACACCTGTCCACGGAGACTGTGTACTGGGGAAGAGTCAGTTTTCTGGTTTTGTTCTCCCTCGCCAGGCTGTCGCGCAGCAGGGAAGGAACCGGTTTGAGCGCTTTCAAGGGAGTCGTCTCCCGCAAAGCTGCAATTGCAGGTTGCTAAGTTTCTAGTCCACAAGAAAAGTTCAAATTACTTTTTATTTTTTGAATCGACCGGTTCCGTCCAGGTTGAACGACACACAGAAGCTGCCTCTGGAAAAGCAAAACCAGCCCCAAAGTGGCAAAGTGTTTTTTCAAAATGTGCAAAATTTGGGCTGGCTGCACCCATTAAATATCGTTGACCTAAAGGGAGCAGGCAAGAGAGCATCTCTGAAGGTTTTCTGCGCTTGGGTAGCTGGCCAGAAAAAGTTGGCGGCAATGGCGGCTTTTAAGAAGCTGGCAGCTCAGGTCTAGCTGAGGCCAAATGTGCCACTCATGTCTAGCACTGCTTTTTGCTGAACGTGTAGCTCAGGTCTAGGAGAAATTGAATGTGCAGCTCAGGTCTAGCAAATGCTTTTTACTGAATATGCACCTCAGGTCTAGGAGAGGCTAAATGTGTAGCTCAGGTCTAGCAGACCCCTAGAATCCCCCGGAAACTTCTTACCAGCAATTCCCCCCTTTAATTCTGGCTTGGATGTGACTTTTCCTCTCCCTTGCCCCTTTCCTTCTCTACTCCCAGGGCCAGAACCCGTTTGACATCGAATTCTCCCAGTCCACTCACCTGGACTCTGTCTTCAACTTCGAATGCCCCTCTCGGCCCGGTGAGCACTGCCGTTTTATTTCCGTTTTGCTTTCCGAAAGGGGGTCAGGCGGAAGAAAAGCAGTTCCTGAACTGGAATTGTCCTAGGTTTACGCCTCTTGAGATTCAGACAAATTGATGGAGGGTATCTCTATTCCGGGTGGCACTGTGGGTTAAACCACAGAGCCTAGGACTTGCCGATCAGAAGGTCGGCGGTTCGAATCCCCGCGACGGGGTGAGCTCCCGTTGCTCAGTCCCAGCTCCTCCCAACCTAGCAGTTCAAAAGCACATCAAAGTCCAAGTAGATAAATAGGTACCACTCTGGCGGGAAGGTAAACGGCGTTTCCGTGCGCTGCTCTGGTTTGCCAGAAGCGGCTCAGTCATTTGCCCCTTAGCCCCGCCCACAGCTGTCATGTGGCACAGCCTCCCCACCCTGGTCTTAATTGCTGTAATGGAGCCTCCATTTTCAAAGAGAGTCTACCTTGAAATATAAGCCACTAGCTGTTTCATGCAAAATGCAAAGTTTAAGGGCGACCTCGGAACCCAGCATGCCTCTGGCTTTTGGGATTGTTGCTTGCCTGGTCCTGGGTTCAAATGCTGCTTTTAACTGTGATTCTCCCCCCCCCCTCAAATCTCGTGGAACAGACATGCCTTCAAGTCAGCCCATCGACATCCCCAACGCGAAGAAACGGAACAAAAAGAAAAAACGCTGTCGGGCCACGGATAGCTTTTCCGGAAGGTTTGAAGGTGAGCCGCTCAAGTTGCTAGTCCTGAGCGTTTATTCTCGAAATCCTTCCCTTTGCAGCAAAACGTTTTCCGCTCAGTCCTTGTGGCTTCGTGAGAGGGGCTGTGTCTGCAGAAACCTGCAGCAAAAGTGTTGCAGGAGAGAGGTGTGTTTATTTATCCAAATTTGCAAACTTTGAAAAAGAAAATAAAGCCCACCCTGCAATCTGAACAGACCAGGAAACGCTACAAATGCACAAAATCTGCTCCAAAGGCTGGGAAAGGTAGTGGTGCTTTTTCAAAGGCTTCTTGGAGATGGATTAGACCAGGAGAACTTGGTTCTCAAGCAGTTGTTGGACTACAACTCCCATCCTCTCAAACTAGCAGGACTGGCAGTCAGGCATTATGGGAACTGTAGTCCAAAAACAGCTGGAGACCCAAGTTTGGGAAACTCTGGATTAGACCCTTGCATTTAGGGAAAGGTTGGTGTAGACTGCACTGGGCTGGATGAGACCCAAAGGTGGGACGCTGTTTGAAGGAGAGCTTCCTTTTTAAACCAGCCTGTTGGTTCAGAATCATGAGGTCTAGCACCTTGTTTTATTTTTGCAGGAACGGTGAGAGGCAATGAGGGCTAGAACTTTAAACCAGCAGGGACTGCAGCTACTGGCTATTTTACTATTAGGCGGTCTGTCAGTATGCTTTTTTTTTGTTGTCGTTGATGTTCTGTAATGTGTTTTGAATGATAAAGGGTGGCATGTAAGTTGAAATAATAATAACAGCAACAACGACGATGGTGATGATGATCTGTAATTTGAGGCGCAGCAGGGAGAGGCATCTGCAAAATTCAGGCAAAGATGGACGATGTCAAATCAACAAAGCCATCAGTTAAAATAAGATTATTCTGGTGCTTGGGGTTTGTTTTTTTTGAAGAATGGAAGCCTTTTCCGGATCGTTTGGAGAAATACGGCAGCACGAAGAATCCCTGAGCAGGATTCGAACTCTGAGCAGCAGAAAGAACGAAAGATTATTTTGCTACGACTGTGTTAAAAAAGAGGGGAGACAGGCAAAGGGAGCAGGGAGATCAGAAAAACGTCACGGAAAATGAGATGGGAAGTTGGCGATACAAAAAGAACATTTTTAAAATATATATATCGGACTTTTATGTGGAATTTTTGGAATATAAACACAGTTTTTGGAATAAACAAAGTTCAGGCAACGAGGCAGGGAATTGCACTTTGATTCCCCCCATAATTCTCTTGTTTCCTTGTCTTTCTCTCTCCTCCGTCCACTGCAAACCTTCAGACGTTTACCAGCTCCAGGAAGAGGTTCTTGGGGAAGGGGCTCATGCAAAAGTCCAGGCCTGTGTTAACCTCATTACCAACAAAGAGTATGCAGTGAAGGTAAGGGAGCTTGGGGACTTTGGAGTTTGAGCCCCGGGTCGGGCAAGAGATTTCTGCATGGTAGCGGGTTGGGATGGATGACCCTCGGGGTCCCTCGCAGCTCCACAAATCTGTGGTTCTTACAAAGGCCGGCCGGATGCCCCAGGGAGAAGCCTGCAAGCGGGAGTCTCTCCCCTCCTGCAACTGCATTGCGGTTTGGGTGTGAGATGGTTGTGTTGCGCTTTTACTGTTGCGGAGGCAGAGCGTAGCCAAATGTGGCTGCCGGCCATTGATGACCCTCTCCTCCAAACCCTCTTTCGAAGCCGTCCACGATGGTGGCCCTGGCCGTCTCCTGTGCCAGGGAGTTCCACTGGCCCTGCGTGAAGGTCTTCCCTGGGCCAAAATTGGAGGGTGTGTGTGTCAGGAATATCCAGCATGAAACGTCTGCGGTGGTGTTTTCCTGGTTGGTGTGGGTGGCTGGGATTTGGAGGAGGGAGAGAGAGAGAGAGAGAGAATTAAAGAAACTCTTCACAGACAGGTAGGTCTTCACGACAGGTAGGTCTTCGTGCTGTTGGAATAGGAGCAAGGACAGTTGCTCCTATGTGTGAAAAGGATCTAGGAGTCTTGGTTGACCACAAACTTGACAGGAGCCAACAGTGTGACGCGGCAGCTAAAAAAGCCAATGCAATTCTGGGCTGCATCAATAGGAGTATAGCATCTAGATCAAGGGAAGTAATAGTGCCACTGTATTCTGCTCTGGTCAGACCTCACCTGGAGTACTGTGTCCAGTTCTGGGCACCACAGTTCAAGAAGGACACTGACAAACTGGAACGTGTCCAGAGGAGGGCAACCAAAATGGTCAAAGGCCTGGAAACGATGCCTTATGAGGAATGGCTAAGGGAGCGGGGCATGTTTAGCCTGGAGAAGAGGAGGTTAAGGGGTGATATGATAGCCATGTTCAAATATATAAAGGGATGTCACATAGAGGAGGGAGAAAGGTTGTTTTCTGCTGCTCCAGAGAAGCGGACACGGAGCAATGGATCCAAACTACAAGAAAGAAGATTCCACCTAAACATTAGGAAGAACTTCCTGACAGTAAGAGCTGTTTGACAGTGGAATTTGCTGCCAAGGAGTGTGGTGGAGTCTCCTTCTTTGGAGGTCTTTAAGCAGAGGCTTGACAACCATATGTCAGGAGTGCTCTGATGGTGTTTCCTGCTTGGCAGGGGGTTGGACTCGATGGCCCTTGTGGTCTCTTCCAACTCTAGGATTCTATGATTCTATGACAGTTGGTGCTTTCCTCCACATGTGGTGGGATTGTCCCAAAATCCAACTATTCTGGGCAACAACCATACGAGAAATATGTAAAATAAGCAAGCAAATATTGGAAATCACCCCAGAATTGGTCTTACTAAACATCTTCCAAGACAACAATGCCCATTTACACCGCAGAGAACTCATAACCCGCCTACTTTCAGCAGCCAGAAATGCCATAGCCAGACACTGGAGAGACCTGTCAGGAGTAAGCATGGACCCAAATAGTATGGGAATCAGCCCTACTAGAAAAATTAACCAATAAACTGAAACTGACACGGGGACAAACAGAAGAAGACGCCTTCACCCCGGTATGGCTCCCCTTTATCACATTCACAGCCCAACAGGACAATGACAATAATCCACCAACAGCATACAAATCAGTATGGCTAACCTGAACCAAAACACCCACCCGCCCCACTCACACACGAAAACAAAGACCCCCACAGCCAACCACAAAGGAACAGCCACACCCTAGACCCAGGCACCCCAAAACTTGGCCCCCCAGATGTTTTGGGGACTACAATTCCCATCATCCCTGACCACTGGTCCTGTTAGCTAGGGATGATGGGAGTTGTAGTCCCAAAACATCTGGAGGGCCGAGTTTGGGGGGTGCGTGCCCTTAGGCCAACCCCAACCTCTCTCGCCACCAAAGGAACACAAAGTGAACAGCAGAGAACCTGCACAAGCGACGCTGACACCAAACCCTACAATATATTAAGTAAAATAGAAACATCGCCCCCAACCCCCCCATCTTCCCCACTTTTCTTCCTAATGTCTCAACGAATGAAACTGATTTGTAAAAATGTTACATGGGGAAAATACGAGAGAGAGAGGCATTGCACACACTTTTGTAAATCAAGAAAATCTTTAATAAAAATACATTTTTTAAAAATTCAGGCGTTTTCCCAGCTCTTAGCATTCGGCTTTAAGGAACGCCCACGGATTTGAGTCTCGTGTGAGAGGAAGGCAAGTTTTTCTCTATCGGCTGGCACCGTGTCTGCCACCCTGTTGCAATCGCTTCCTTATTTTCCTCTGCGGACCCCTGCCTCTTTTTTCACCACCCACCCCAAAGAAGAAATTCCTCTCTGCAGTCTTGCAGGAGGCTGTTTTTTTCCAGCGCTTGGGAGATGCAGAGCGAGGGAAGGAGGGCGGTGGTGGCAAAACTGGCGTTGTTTTGTGGCGGCAGAAGTTGGGGAGGGCCGAGGTTGTGACCTGCCTGGGCCGGAGGGGAGGAGAACAGCTGCTGGTCTGGCGCTGGCATCCCGCCCCCCCCTCGCCCCCTTCCCTTTCATGCGCAGGAGGGAGAGGAACAAGTAGGCCTTTTCATCGGGCTTTGACTGCAAAGCGGCATCTCGGGGCGAGGAGAAAAGTTTAGAGCTCCGTAAATAATCCGATTCTCGCTCCTTATGACTGGGGGGTTTGGGGCTGCAGCAGTGATGGCAGCTCCCAAAAGGAACCCCCTCGCCCCTTTCTGGAGCCAGATTTTGGGTGCAGATGGTGATATAATAATAATAAGAATAATAATAATTAATTAATTCAATTTGATTCCCTCCCCCTCTTTCTTTTTTCCCCTTTCTCCTCCTGTGATGAGGCTGTATTTTAATGTTTTAATGTTGTATTTTAATCTTGTTTTTAAGTTGTATTCATTCAACTTGTTTTTATTATTGGTTGTTAGCTGCCCTGAGCCCGGCCTTGGCTGGGGAGGGATTATTATTATTATTATTATTATTATTATTATGTATTACAGTAGTACCTCGTTGTGAGTCTGCCCTGTTTAGCGTCCATTTCGTAGAACGTCCGCGGCAAACCCAGAAGTACCGGAGGTTTGCCGCTCGCACACGCGTGCTAAATCATGCTTCATGTATTCTCAGAAGCGCGAAACCGCTCACACGCGTGCGCAAAGCTTTTGTAGCGACAGATGAAAATTAAAAGATGGGAAACTAAATGCCTCGCCCCCCAAAAAAGGCATGTAGAACAAGTACCTACAGGTGAAATAACAAAGCCCAGTTCATGAAAGAAAGAAAGAAATACCGAGAATAAAAGTCTTTGCATTAAGAGAGAATATTGGTGTTTCAACCGCTGTTTCCTGTTTCCCAGGCTTGTCTCAAAAATGATGGCTTCTCTGTACATATGTAATGAAGGAATTTCAAATTATATGTAAAGTGTCTGGAAGTTCTAGTCCTCATTAAAATCTCAAAAGATGCTTAATTTTCTCCATTATCACTGTATTCCAGAGTGGTGGGACCGAGTGCCCGGTGCAAGATTTTGGGCTGTTTTCCATGGAGTTGCAATTCCTATTTGAGCTGCTTAGATTTTAAGGACATGTTCTTGATCTGCGATTGTAGGCGTGAAAAGCAAAATAGGGGGGGGGTTTTGAGGCTGGAGCAAAAGAAGGAAAGTCCCTGGATGAGCCCAAGAATGTCTTCGTAAAATGCTTTTTTGAAAAGGAAACAGCTGCAAAAGGAACAGCTGTGTTTTGCAAAAAATAAAAAAATTAAGGAAGTGGTGATTGGGGGCTGGTGTGTTTATGGTGCCTAACTGGGAGCAATTCCTTTGCTGCGGGGAATTTTCTGTTGCTTCGTGGTATGACCTTAGCTTGAGAGAGGCTGAACTTGCACAGAAATCCCTGCACGTAAAAACAAAGCCTCTCAGGGTCTACATTTCTTCTTGATATTCTTGCTTTCTAGTTGTGGAGAAACTTGCATTTATGGGCGGGTGGGTGAGCATTTGCGTGCAAGCAGATGAATCGTGATGCCGTTTTTAAAAAGCTGTTCTCCAGCAAGATGCTTGGGAGAACTCACGCGCGAGAACGGTCTTCTGTGCCAAACGGCACCCTTGCAGCTAGAGAGCTAGCCTTTCAAGGTGGGCGGGGAGTTGCGACAGGACATGGGTGGCCGTGAATGGTGCCTGCTATGCACACAGACTCCCGCAGAGACGAGGGAACATGAGTTCATGTTAAAAGGGCGCGAAACTCTTGATTGCACCCAACTCGCCGCTTTCAAATCCCTGACGCGACTCTGCGCTGATGTTCGCTCCTTTGTGTGTGTTTCTCTTTAAAGATTATCGAAAAGCGTCTCGGACACATCCGGAGCAGGGTCTTCCGGGAAGTTGAGATGCTGTATCAGTGCCAAGGACATAGGTATTTTTAATTTTATTTTTTGGTGGCTTAAGCTGTAGGGTTTTTTAAGGGGTAACTCGGACTGGCAGTGCCCATGATAGTGGCTCAGATAAACCTGATGTTCTGCCAGCACCTGGTTCGCCCCCGTGAAACCCCCATGCTCAAGAGCAGTCTATCTGCAGCCTTGCCTTTGCAGGTTTCCTGGAGACGCATCCTGTTTGGGGGAAGAAAATGTGGGGAGGCGGGGTGTGGACCTTTCTTGGACTGACCTGGCAAGGCTGTGCAGTGGGGAGGGGGGCGAGAGAGAAAGAGAGACGTCCTCATTCTAGGTGAAAACCATGCAAAGTGGAGATCTCCTCTTTCTCCCGTTTTTAAATGCCCTCCTTATCTTGCTTGCGGCAGGAACATCTTGGAGCTGATTGAGTTCTTTGAGGAGGAAGACCGGTTCTATCTTGTGTTCGAGAAGATGCGAGGAGGCAAGTAGCGACGCTCGTGTCTGGCACGTTGCAGGTCGGGAACGTTTGGCCCGTGGGCCTAACCTGGCCAGCTTGTTTTGGCCCTTCTGGTAGTTTTGGCTGAGCCGTGCCCGCCTGTCCTGGGTGTTGGTCACCCAGGTGATCGGCTCCACTTGCCTGTCCAACTTTGCCTGCAGGTGGGTGAAGAAAGGGAATCCAACTCGCAGGCCGGATTAAATTATTGAACTGGAACCTGTGAAAAGATTTTATTCTTGGGTGAAGGGTGGCTGCTTGTCCTCTGAAAAAGCCTGGCGCCTGTGTTTCTGCAGGAGTTGTTGCTACCATCATTTATTAAATTGGTATACTGCCCTTCATCCGGAAAATTATGAGATCAAAAACACAAAATGCATAATAAAAACAAAAGCAAAGGCAAACCGATAACCTACCCCTGCAAAGGGCATCAGAGGAAGGTTTTTCCAAGCGCCTAAAAGTTTATAATGAAGGCACCAGGCAGGCCTCCCTAGGGAGAGCATTCCACAAATGGGGAGCCACCACAGAAAAGGCCCTGTACTTGTGTTGCCACTCTCCGGATCTCTTGAGGAGGAGGCATACAAAGGGCGTGGAGGATGATCTCAGGATCCGGGCAGGTTCATAGGGGGAGAGGCAGTCCTTAAGGGATTGTGGTCCTGAGCCGTTTAAGGTCAAAACCAGTAATATCTGTCTCTCCCGGAGTAGGCAGCCCTGCGTGGGGAGCGAATTTCCTGCAGATTTACCTGCCGTAGTTGCAAAGAATGGAGCTGCTTCTCAGAGACTACTCAGCTAAATTAACAGATGGTTAATGGAGCCATTCTACTGCAGAGCAACAACCTTCCTCCTAAAAAGTTAGGTTTCTAGTCCTCTTGGCTCCAAATCGAGAACTGATTCGAGTCAGACCATCAGGTTTGGCATTGTCTGCTGCGCTGATTGTTCCCCAGGCCTGCAAACTTTTAATTTTTTGCTGCCTGAGATTGCTAACATTGCTGTGCCCTCTTTTCTCTCTCTGCCCCGATCTTTTCCAGGTTCCATCCTGACTCACATCCATCGCCGCCGCCATTTCAACGAGCTGGAGGCCAGTATGGTTGTGAACGACATCGCCAGCGCCCTCAATTTCTTGCACAACAAAGGTCAGCAAATCCTTTGCGAGTCTGCAAATACCACGGGCCTGTTGGGTCTTATCACTGTTATTTTGTCTGGCGATGCAAACGAGAGGAGGGAAAGTTTGGAAGAGGGCAGTCTGAACTCTCAAGGGGACTCCCCCTAGGAGGAAGGTTTGCAGCGTTTGGAGCCTTTCATTTTAGAGAAAAGGCGAGCGAGAAAAGAGTCGACACGGGAGAAGTTTTATGAAATTATGGAGGAAGCAGAAAGAGTTTTTCATAGAATCATAGAGTTGGAAGAGACCACAAGGGCCATCGAGTCCAACCCCCTGCCAAGCAGGAAACACCATCAGAGCACTCCTGACATATGGTTGTCAAGCCTCTGCTTAAAGACCTCCAAAGAAGGAGACTCCACCACACTCCTTGGCAGCCAATTCCACTGTCAAACAGCTCTTACTGTCAGGAAGTTCTTCCTAATGTTTAGGTGGAATCTTCTTTCTTGTAGTTTGGATCCATTGCTCCGTGTCCGCTTCTCTGGAGCAGCAGAAAACAGCCTTTCTCCCTCCTCTATGTGACATCCTTTTATATATTTGAACATGGCTATCCTATCACCCCTTAACCTCCTCTTCTCCAGGCTAAACATGCCCAGCTCCCTTAGCCGTTCCTCATAAGGCATCGTTTCCAGGCCTTTGACCATTTTGGTTGCCCTCCTCTGGACACGTTCCAGTTTGTCAGTGTCCTTCTTGAACTGTGGTGCCCAGAACTGGACACAGTACTCCAGGTGAGGTCTGACCAGAGCAGAATACAGTGGCACTATTACTTCCCTTGATCTAGATGCTATGCTCCTATTGATGCAGCCCAGAATTTTCCTTCCTCCTAACAACTGCAAATTGTGGAAGTGTGGCGAAGGTAGAAAGGCAGGGCTTCTTCAGTGTTGAAAACCGTGGAGCTCCCTCCTGCAGGAGAGAGGGATCTTAGAATGGTAGAGTTGGAAGGGACCCTGCAATAAACGTAAATCTGCCCTTATTCCCTTATGGGGGACACAAGAGCCCTTCTAGAGTCCTTTGAAGGTTCTCCATCGGTCGGAGAAAATAACAGAGGCCAACCAGAGAATATTGAGAAGCAAAGCGGCTAGTAAGCCTAGTCTTTATTGATCTGTTGCAACAGGGTGCTCCCCTCACACGCAGGAAACGAAGAGGACCCAGAACCAAGGTGTGCCTGCCCTTATATAGACTTTTAAATTGCCCGCCCTGGAGTCCAAGACCACCCCCCAGACACGTCATACCAACATCACAGAAAAGGTGGTCTACAACAGAAATCTGAGTGCGTTGTTTACCTCCTGTCTGGCAGGATACCTGTTAACGCTCACTGGATTGGATACCCTGGGGAACCTGGCCAGTCTTTTGTAATGATAAATACTTAGTCCCAGGCTCACACAGACAGTTTGGGAATCAAAATGGTTCCAGGGCTGTTTTCCTGTGCTGCTTCAGACATGTGGTTTATATATTTATGTATGTGTTTGCTTGGTACATTTATGAACATTTATTATATATATAATCCTTAATTTTTTTATTTCGACCTCGAGGGTCATCTAGTCCAACCCTCCCCTGCCATGCAACCCGGTGTTAGAAGCGGAGAGATTTAGGGCAGGAACCAGGTGGCTCCTTAAGCTTGAGTTGCAGCTGCCCAAACGGAAGGCCTCATGGCCATTTTTGAAGGCAACACTTCGGTCCTGAAATTCCTCTGTGCAGATAAAATATAACGAATAGGATTTTGCAGGATGGGGGATTGGTGTGCGAAAAGGTCCAGATCCGAGGATCCCCAGGCATGCACCTCCAGAGGGTGGGACGTCAGACGCCATCCTGGCTCCCGGGAATCTTCAGTTTGGCGCAAGCGGCCGATAGCCAATTGCAAAACGCTTCTGGTGCCTTTTGAGCTCTGCATCTGAAGGGAGGGTGTTCCACAGGGTGGGAGCTGGTTTTCTTAGGGACTAGCGCCTTTGCTTTCTCCTTCCGTAACCTATATTTATACGCCAGCCCAGTGGCTGCTTTCATTTCCTCGCTGTGCAACAAAGGTTTCTTTGATCTTGCAAGAAGTTTAGCCTCTGCGCTTTCGTTTGCTGACGCAACCTCTCTCTTTCCTTTTCAGGAATAGCACATAGAGATTTAAAACCAGAAAATATCCTTTGTGAAAGCTCCAATCAGGTAAGGAGTGGCTTCAAACACATCAGCAGGGTGCTCCCTCCTGTCTTGTCTAAAGAGAAAGTTGCCATTTGGTATGCGATCTGTGGAACTGCCATCTGCAGGGTCTTGGAATAAAGGGCTTGCAGACGAACATGCAGCTGTCCCTTGCAATTTGTTCTTCTCCAGATTTTGCGATGTGTTTCTCCAACGAAACAAGAGACTCTTAATCTCAGGGTTCTGGGTTCGAGATACACACTGGGCAAAAGATTCCTGCATTGCGGGGAGTTGGTCTAGATGACCCCCGTGGTCCCTTCCAACTTTACCATTCTAGGATATTGGATGCAAAATGGCTCTGTGAATAATGTCCAATAATAATGTCTAACAACAACTTATTATTTGTACCCTGCCCATCTGGCTGGGTTTCCCCAGCCACTCTGAGCGGCTTCCAACAAAAAATAAAAATACATTAATGCTTTGAATTGGAGAAAACCCCTTGCAGAATTGTGCATATTCGTTAAAAGGGTGAGTTAAGATAAATGCATGTGAAAACGTGTAGGAATTTTTCATGTGGACTTCGAAAATTTTCACGGTGATGTGGAAAGCAGAGGGAGGAAAATGAACTGAATTTGGGAGGGGGAAATAAGAAACTGAAATTCACAGGTTTGTCTGATTAATTCTTTCTGGAGCTATGGATTATTTTTTTTAAAAAAACAACTGTCAACTTCTTTGTCTTTCCTGCAATGCAGGTTTCGCCCGTGAAAATCTGCGATTTCGATCTGGGAAGCGGGATCAAGCTGAACGGCGATTGCTCACCCATCTCCACTCCAGAGTTGCTCACCCCGGTAAGTTCCCCCAAGCGTGGAAAAACCCAATTTATATAAAACGCTTTAGAAGTGGTGCTTGGAAGGAGAATCTGAACTGGGGCTCAACCAACAAAAGTGGCAGCCAGCAGGTTTTGAATGAGGAGGAAGGCTTTTATATATATATATATATATAATCCATGGAATTCAAAGGCATGAGATGTGCTGAATGGTGCTGAGGTTTAGTAGGCTTTAAAAATGGAAAATCCTCCAGGAATTTCAGCGTCCGTTCACTGTGATGGCTCAGATGGAAGCCTGCATGCTTGGGTGCAGTGTACCTGTCTGCGGACAAACGCCGGCTCCCTTGGCCTGAAAGCGAGATGAGCGCCGCAACCCCAGAGTTGGATTCCCAGAGGTGTCTGGCTGTCCACTGTTGGAATCAGAATACTGGGGATGGATGGATTCCTGCCCCGCCAATCCATATACCCTTCTCTGTGTGTTTTGCTGATGTTTTGGCATTGATGGAAAGAGGTTTTCGGCTTTGTATGGCTTGTCCGTGTGGGTGTTCGGTCATAATTTGCTGCAAGCCGGCCTTCCAAAATTCCTCTCTGTAATTTCTATAATTTTATTTTTCAAGCCGGCCTGTATTGTGAGGTTCATTCCCAGATCCAGCCTGGACAAAACGGTGATTTGGGGTGTGTGTGTTCCTTTAACTGGCTTGTCAAGAACGTGGTGGCTTATGGCGAGTCAAGGATCCCCCTAGGAGACCAGGAAGGGAGATGTTTGCAAAATGGGAGGACGTTGCTTTTTTCCGACCAGTCCCTGACCAATGCAGATCGGTCTTGTGTGGTCGTGTTTCTCCAAGCTTATTGGTGTGCCTTCTATATTTAGGGTGTTGCCATAGTCAGATTTGATTTCTGGCTCCATCTGGCTTATTTATTAATGTTTTTATTTATTGTGTTCGTTTTTCCCAAGGATGGCTGACGTGGTTTTCCCCTGTGATGTAGATTAGGCCTGGCCCCCAACATCACCCCCAGTGAGTTTCATGGTCGGGTGGGGCGATTTGAACCCTGCATAGCTTAGTCCAAGAGTCAGCAAACTTACAACGCCTCGGGCCGGTGTCTCCAGGGCCACAGGGCAGGGGAGCGCATGCCCATACGCGTGCGCACACACTATTTCTGGCGCACTTCCAGGTCGAAGGAGCACCGGAAATAGCTTGTGCGCACGTGCACAATCCTGCTCCGAGCCGGATGTGCGCTGGAAATAACGTTTGCGCATGCGCAAATAACGCTTGCACATGTGCACAAGGAATGTGCGCCGGAAATAACGTTTGCGCATGCGCAAATAATGCTTGCACATGCGCACAAGGTATTTCTGGTGCTCCTCCGACCCACAAGCAGCCACGCAGCGCGTGTAAGAGTGGGCAGCGGGGGTCACCGCGGGCCAGATAAACGAGTCCCTCGGGCCTTATCTGGCCCGCAAGCCTTAGTTTGGGGACCCCTGACTTAGTCGGTAGAGCACGAAACTCTTAATCCCAGAGTTTTGGGTTCAAGCAAAAGATTCCGGCATTGAGGGGCTTGGACTAGGTGACCTGCGTGGTCGACTTCCAAATTTCACAGTCCGTTCCTGGGGCGCTGAGATTATTAACTTGTGGCGTAGAATTGTGTCACGAATGTGAACACCGCATCTTGTTCTGTATCTCGGCTGTGCAGAGGCCTCGGCTAGTTTCCGCTTCCTGAGAGGTTGTGCAGAATCGAGAAAGGAAGGTCACATTGCGTTGGCTGTGGCTCAGTCTTTTGAATGAAAGAAACAGGCTTGGGGTGTGTTTTTTTTTGGGGGGGGGGAGGCAAAGACCTGTGAAATGCAAATCTGCATGTGCCCTGAAGCAGCCAAAGGGCTCCCATTTGCAGTCTGCAAACAAAGTTTTGCAAAAATTAAGTGTTGCGGGGAGGGGAGGAAGTGCACGAAATTGGGGCACGTTGGAAAGACACAGCCGCCCCCCCAATCCCAGGTTTCGGGTTCCATAGTGCTCTTAATTTATTCCCCTTCCTTTCGAAAGCTTTTTAAAACTCTGCTGTTTTCCCACCCTAAGCAGAGAGAGGGGCCACCTGCCTCTGGTCTCTCTTGCTCCCCCCCCCCTCCAAACCACTGCTGAGATGCTGTAAAATTTGCCCCTAGCAACAGCTTGGCTGATTGGCTGTCAGGCTTGAGGTTTGGGGATTTCCTCTCTCTCCCCCCTCCTTCCATCTGTTTCTCTCTCTCTTCTCCTCCCCTTGCTTTGTAGAGGCTGCTCTGACCCATTTATGCGGTGGGGGGGTGGGGCAAGGAGACAGCCGACAGATTTAAAAAAAAATAAAACTCTTGGACATAGAGTTTTAGGTAAGATCAGATCCCAGCCATGTGTGTCAAAAGGGTTATAAATATTGCTATGATTAAAAACGAAAACGAAACGCCCTTTGCTTTTTTTGCAAAAAAACTTTGCCTTTTTGCAATTTTTTTTAAAACCCCCCACACCCTTTGCTATTTTTGCAGCAGCAACAAAAACAATCTTTGTTCTGCAGCCCAGGGTTGTATTCGGCGTTACTCAAGAGTTAAGACTCATTGGAATTGATGGAAGTGATTCACGTTAATGCGTTCTGTTGATTATTATTATTATTATTATTATTATTATTATTATTCATTGATCTGTACGCTGGCCTTCATCTTTAGATATCGGGGCGCATCTGCTCTCAGATCGTATGAACACCCTAGATTTAAAGCTCTGTGACGCCGCTTTGAACGGTCATGGCTTCGTCCCTCACAAAGGACACCCCCCCCCCTGGGGAAGCGCAAGTTGTTCAGGGTGCTGGGCATAGTTTGGAGAATCCCTGCGCTACAGTTCCCAGAATGCTCTATCGCACCATCCCTCCTCCCAGGGAATTGTAGCTCTGGGAAAAGGGGGGGCACAACTCTTAGCACCTTTTTAAAAAAATATTTTTATTAGGAATTTAAACAGAACATATTATCTTATAGCATATCATCCTTAATCCCCCCCCATAGAACAACCCCCCCCCCGCCTTCCCTCAGTTCCCATCTCTGGTTTCTCTGTAAATGCTATTCTCTGCGTGTTACAAAATTGTATAGATCCTTAATTTATCTAACTGAATATTATCAATAAAAAGTTTGCGAGTGTTTATTCAAAACCTGCCAAGGAGTCCAGTTCACTTTGTTGCGTCTTCAGATACTTTGCAAAAGGTTCCCATTCATCTTTAAAGTCACAGTTATCCTTGTCCCGTAGTTTATGCGTCAGTTTTGCCAATTCTGCATAGTCCATCAGTTTCTCTTGCCATAATTCTTTAGTCGGGGTTTCTTCGAACTCTCAGCACTTTTAAAGCTCCCAGAATTCTCTGCAGGGAGCGCCGGCTGTTTTAAAGTATGGTATCCTAGTGATTCGAACTCAGAACCGGTTCTCCGTGCTTTCAGACAGGCAGTCTTTTCCCCACCCTTACCTGGAGACACACCTGAGGCCTTCTGAATGCCAGGCAGGTGCCCTGCCAATGAACTCCCCTGAAAGCCATTGAAACGGTTCCTGCATTAGCTGGGGTTCCTGCGCCGCAGCGGGTTGGACTGGATGACCTCGTGGGTTCCCTCTGTGATCCCTAAGCGTGCATCCTTCCCCCGCCCTCTTTACGTGCCCCCGAGGCAGATCGGCTCCAGAGCAGCTCTTCCCTCCTCCCTTCTTGTAAACCGGCCGGTTGGGCAAGTTACCCGGACTCTGCGCCCTGCCCCTTTCTGGAGGATTTGCCCAAGTCCGGATAATGTGGATTTGCGTATGTATTAATTCGAGGAAGGGCAGAGTTAGGCAGCTGACGCGGCGCCGCCGGGCGGATTGCGCCTCGGCTGGTTTGATCCGGTCTCGTTCGGGGAAGGGAGGATGTGGTGAAAAAGAAGAGCGAACTCTGTTTGCCTCGGTTGGTTGGCGACAGCGAAGGGTTTTTGGTGCCGTGTGGTTTTTCGCTGGTCTCGTTTTGCAGCTGCAGTCAAGGGTTCCTCTGAGCATGTGCAGAGTGCGCTTTCCGTCACAGAACCCTTTCCTCCTCCTCCTCCTTCCTTTGCTGCGTATCTGGGATTAAGGGACAGGGTTTAGCAGGCAGTAAGCAGGGGTTCGCTGCTTCCCTAATTGATTTTTAAAGATTTCTGTATGTATACAGAAGAGTTCAGGCAGGTGTGTTCTATTTGAACCAGTTTCACTTTCCACTTCTCTGTGCTGCGCAGACGAACCAAGCACACTGTCCCCCCCCTTTTTTTTAAATCTGCAAATGACAGATTGATAATCCCGAAGCGTATAAACTGACCATCGTTTTGGAATTAAAATTAATTTAGCGTGGAATAACTTCAAGCTCAAGGGACGCGGGTGGCGCTGTGGGTTAAAAGCCTCAGCGCCTAGGGCTTGCCGATCGAAAGGTCGGCGGTTCGAATCCCCGCGGCGGGGTACGCTCCCGTCGTTCGGTCCCAGCGCCCGCCAACCTAGCAGTTCGAAAGCACCTTCAGGTGCAAGTAGATAAATAGGGACCGCTTACCAGCGGGAAGGTAAACGGCGTTCCGTGTGCGGCTCTGGCTCGCCAGATGCAGCTTTGTCACGCTGGCCACGTGACCCGGAAGTGTCTCCGGACAGCGCTGGCCCCCGGCCTCTTGAGTGAGATGGGCGCACAACCCCAGAGTCTGGCAAGACTGGCCCGTACGGGCAGGGGTACCTTTACCTTTACCTTTAACTTCAAGCTCAGGTTTTTCCCTCTCTCGATAACGCACCTGTGTTTTTTTTTTAAGAGCCAAGAAGGGTGTCTTTAAGTTTGCTGAGGTTACTAAAATAGAAACACAAAAACCTGGTATAGTCAATGTCACCAACTGGCTCCTATCAGGGCCATTGGCATTTTAAATCTTCCTCCCCATGTGTTTTATTGTCTTTTGACTATTACTTTTAGCTGATTTGTTTCAATTGATTGGTATTTTAAAATGGATCTTTTTTTAAAACGTTGTAAGCTGCCAACTTGGGAGAAGTGGCTGGGGCAACGCAGTCCGGTGGGTGGGGTACAAATAATAAAATTTGGCTATTACTATAAATACATCAAATGAATGTCAGCTTGGATAGCTCTATTGGCCCTCCAGCTGTTTTGGGACTACAATTCCCATCATCCCTGACCACTGGGCCTGTTAGCTAGGGATGATGGGAGTTGTAGTCCCAAAACAGCTGGAGGGCCGAGTTTGGCCATGACTGGGTTAGATCGTGGTCTGATAATGCCAAGGTTGCAAGTTCAGGACAGCTGCGTATTCCTACATTGCCTGGGGTTGGACTGGATGACCCTCAGGGTCCCTTCCAACTCTACAATGCTGTGATTTATTTTTTTTAATGAATGAACTTCGAGGCTCCGATCTCCAAATCTGCCCCCGCCATTTTTTGTTCTCTCCAGGCGCTACTAACTAGATGGATTTATTTTCTTCTTCCATGCAAGAACTGTCCCAGCGGATTGTTTCAAAGGTCTGGGGGGGGGGGTGTTGCCCCAAAATTACAGCTCTCTTCCCAAGCCCTTAACCGAACCCCCAATCTTATTCCAGAAAAACTCATCTCTCGTGGGGGATAAATTCTGGGGATACAGCATGAAGCCAAAATTGTGTAGAGTCAAAACATGTTGGGTGAGATTCCCACTGGAAGTTTCCCCCCATTCTTAATTATTCTTAATTATTATTTTTTAATTGCCAGGCGTATATTAAGCAGAAATGTGCACAAGTAAAATGCACAAAAGTTCCTCTTTAACCAGTCCTTGGGCTGATTGACACCCATCGCCCTTTGAAAATCTGGGGGGGTGTTGTTGGTTTGTTTTTATTTTTATTATGTGTTTTGAGGGGTTTTTTAATTGTGATTTTATCTTGTGAAGCGCCCTGAGACCTGTGGGCGTAGGTCAGTACACAAATTTAATAAATAAAAATAATAATGATATCTGTGCCGATATCCAAAGTCTGGGAAACACCAGCAATGTGTTCTCCCCAACAACCTGAGGTCTAGCAGCTTGGTTTGCACTTTTCAAGACAACGGACTTCCACTTTTTCAAACCCTTGAGCCTTTTTGTCGTGAGGCAATTCTGTGCTCCAGAAATTTTTGCTTTATTTTTTAGCTAGTGTGAGAAAAATGCATTTGCTCACAAAGGACTTTGGGACAAATATTTGCACATATATTTGCACCAAGTTCCTTTGCAAGTGCAATTGGATTCATTTATTTTTAAAAGGGGTGGGGAGAACAGAATTCCTGCAGTTTGTGTATTCGGGGAGATCCCAGCTCCCTTCCCCTTCTTCATCGGACAGAACTATTCTGGCAGGTTTATAGCGGAGCCCTGAACATTGCAAACCCTTTTTCCAGGAAACGCTGCCTGGCTTTTTATAGACCTTGGATGGTCTCCCTCTTGGCCCTGAGGGCTTCTGGGAAAGAATGTCCCCGTTTGGGGGGGGGCTTTATTTATGAGGGGTGAAATGTGGGGCGGAGGCATGGTGATCACGTGCCCCCCAGCTGAAGCAAAACTCAGCTGGCGCCGTCCAGAGAGCATGGCTACTTGGGGAAAGAGAAAATGCTTCCTGGTCTGATGGGACCCCCAGAGCCCATCTAGACCAACCCGCTGCAATGAAGATGTCTCAACTGAAGTATCCAGGACAGATCACCTTCCAACCTCTGCTTAAAAACCTCCAAGGAAGGATGCCCCCCCCAAACAGGGTTAGAAATTCAAAATATACAAGCTGATCGCCAAATGGCACCTTAAACCTCGGTTGCGGTCACCATGATGGAATGTCCAGGCGCCATTTTTTCCTTGGTGAATTTTATTATTATTCATTTCCGCGCCTCTTTATGTTTTAAAAAAGAAGAAAATCTATCTTTCTAATAATCTATCTAATAACATTTTATCCTTTACTCCACATAGAATGTTACATTTGCTACTCAACAGCTATATTCAATTTGACCAAACTACGATTGCGTTTTAAGGTTCCGGTCCTCAGTGTCTTATCCAATTTCATCCTTTCTAACATGATTTGTAATACGTTCTGCTGTCTTCTTACACTCCAAACCCCACTGGGGTCGTCCCGTATGGGGAAAATACTTTTTTATAAATAGAATAGGAGTGGGTCCCAGCCTTCTTTAAAAGACTCTAAATTTGTGTCTCTTATCAGTGCTGTCAGTTTTGCCATCTCCGCGTATTCAAGGTTTTTCATCTGCCATTCTTCCTTTTTGGCTGTTCCCTCCTCCTTCCATTTCTGAGCGTAGGGAAACCATAAAGACCGTTGAGGCTTTTCCCCCCGCCTTGCCAATCCAGATCTGTTGCTAAATAATTTCATTCTGGGAGCCAGAGATCTTAGACAGTAAAACAACTTTCCATTTGTGTAAAATGTGTTTGTTTCTGAAAGAGCAAACTGGAGTTTCTTTCCTGCAAAGTTAGTGGTTTCAAATCACATGCCATTTCTTCTGCATGTGAAATCCGGAACCTTTTCGTTTGCGGTGGGGGAATTTTGAAAAGCAAAAGTGTGACCCTGCGGCTTTTAACCCTTTCTCTGCCTGATTCCTTTTTTTAAAAAAAATTGTCTTTATTGATTTAAAATATCATCTTACATATATATTACAAATAGTTACACCAAAATTAAACACAAAAATATAATAGAAAGACGATAAAGAAAATAAAAATAAGCAAAAAAGAGTTAACAATCAGAAATGAATATTGGTTATAACATCCTGTCTTTTCTAATAAAGTCTTCTGAAATAAACTTCCAATCTTCTCGTTGTACTTTTTCTATTGTCTTAATTTTATCACAGTTTGTTTTATAACTTTTCCTGTATATTCATCAAGTATATTTGTTCCATTTGTTTATTATATACAAGTATCATTCAGTTCTGCTAGGATAACATCATTATTATACTATAATCTTATATATTCTGTGAATAGTCTCCATTCTCTGAATTTTATTTGATTCGGGGCTCCTCTGCCTTTTCCGGTCAGCTTTGCTAATTGAAAGTACTCTAGCATGAGTGATTGCCAATCTATTATAGGTGTTGTTTAACATTTCCAACTTCTGTCCTCTGCCCGATTCCAGTGCGGCTCGGCTGAATACATGGCCCCGGAGGTTGTGGAAGCCTTCAACGAGGAAGCCTCGATCTACGACAAGCGCTGCGACTTGTGGAGTTTGGGGGTCATTCTCTACATTATGCTGAGCGGCTACCCGCCTTTCGTGGGCCACTGCGGGACCGACTGCGGCTGGGACCGCGGCGAATCGTGTCCCGCTTGCCAGGTGAGCAGGCCTCGGGCTCCTCTTCTTTTGTTCCTTGCACAGAGGTCAGGTTCTGCACTTGGGCAAGAAGAACCAGCTGCACCAATATAAGATTTTTTTGGTGGGGGGGCACACATAGTACAGTGGTACCTCTGGATGCGAACGGGATCTGTTCCGGAGCCCCATTCGCATCCTGAAGCAGGTGTACTGTATTTTTCGCCCTATAGGGCACACTGGCCCATAGGGCACACCTCGTTTTTTGGGGGGAAATAAAAAATATATATCCCCCCCCCAGCCGCGGGGCTGGGGCGGAGGAAGCCTGAGCTTTCCCTGACCCCATCCCCCAGAACAGGTTGCTATCCGCAAGCCTTGCGAGCCCGGCGGGAACTCCTGCAGGCTCGCAAGGCTTGCGGACATCTGCACGAAGCACGGGGTGCGCTCCGGAGGGCGCCCCCTGCTTCGGGCTGCAGGCTGCTGCCCGCAAGACTTGGGAGCCCGGCGGGCACTCCCGCCAGGCTCCCAACGCTTACAGATAGCTTCCTGAAGCCTGGACAGCGAGAGGGGTCGGTGCGCACCGACCCCTCTCGCTCTCCAGGCTTCAGCGAAAGCCTGCACTCGCCCCATAGGACGCACACACATTTCCCCTTCATTTTTGGAGGGGGAAAAGTGTGTCCTATAGGGCAAAAAATACGGTAACCCATGTCTGCATGGGTCGCGATTTGTCGCTTCCTCGCATGCACATGACATCATTTTGAGCATCTGCGCATGTGTGAACGGCGAAACCCGGAAGTAACGGGCCCCGTTACTTTCAGTTTCCTGCGGAGTGCAACCCAAAAAGGCTTAACCTGAAGCGACTTCAACCCGAGGTATAACTGTATATGTGGAAAGGATCTAGGGGTCCTAGCAGAGCACATGAGTGAACAGTGTAAAAGGTAAAGGGACCCCTGACCATTAGGTCCAGTCGTGGCCGACTCTGGGGTTGCGGCGCTCATCTCGCTTTATTGGCCAAGGGAGCCGGCGTACAGCTTCCGGGTCATGTGGCCAGCATGACTAAGCCGCTTCTGGCGAACCAGAGCAGCGCACGGAAACGCCGTTTACCTTCCTGCTGGAGTGGTACCTATTTATCTACATGCACTTGATGTGCTTACGAACTGCTAGGTTGGCGGGAGCAGGGACTGAGCAACAGGAGTCCACCCCGTCACGGGGATTCGAACTGCCGACCTTCTGATCGGCAGCTCTGTGGTTTAACCCACAGCACCACCAGTGTCCCTTTTGTGAACAGTGTAATGCAGCAGTAAAACAGAAAAGGTGATTTTGTATGGTTCCGTGACGCTTCCTTCCTTCCTTCCTTCCAGAACATGTTATTTGAAAGCATCCAGGAGGGGAAGTATGAATTCCCCGACAAGGATTGGGCTCACATCTCTTTCGGAGCCAAAGACCTCATTTCCAAGCTGCTGGTCAGGGATGCCAAGAAGCGCCTCAGCGCAGCCGAAGTTCTCAAGCACTCGTGGGTGCAAGGGGTGAGCACAGTGGGGGGGAAAGGCCGGAGGGGTTCCTTGGTTTGGGGTTAGGGTGTTTTTCTGGGTTTTTTGCAGCCCCCAATAAACCTGTCCCGCTTTCTCTCTGCATGAAATGAGACAAGCCTTTGGTTCATCTAGTTCAGTATTGCGTGCACTGACTGGCAGCATCTCCCACAGAGATTCAGGCAGGCCCCCTCTGGAGAGGGACTTAACCCAGGACTCTTTCCCCTGTAAAGATTCCCTTGGCTACTAAGCAAGCCTGCACTTAACCAAGATTGCAGTTGGAGCAGAGGTCCTTTGATGTCTCTGTGGGCAATTGGGAACTATGCATAAAGAGCCTAGTTCTCAACAGTTCTGCGTTTAACAAGTTAGCCTCTGTGAGAAAACCATCACAACGTAGATGCATAATAATAATAATTTATTATTTATACCCCGCCCATCTGGCTGGGCTTCCCCAGCCACTCTGGCGGCTTCCAACAAAATATTAAAATACCGTAATACATCAAACATTAAAAGCTTCCCTAAATAGGTCTGCTAATCAGAAGCAAAACAGAGGATACCTGTCTGATCAGGATTCACAGTGTGGGTTTGAAATCCCTGGTGCTCTAGGTGGCGCTGTGGAGCTATCCTCTGAAGGTTCCTCAAACCCTGCCTTTAAAAAAATTTTTTTTTATTAATTTTCCATTTAAACATATAGAATCACATCCTTATTATCCAATTTCCCTCTTTGGCTCTTTTAGAGCCTATCAACTTCCTTCCCTCCCACCTCTTGGCTTTCAAAGTTAACCTTTATATCATAGCATTGTATATATTTTCCAATTCTAAAAAGACTCATCACAAAATACCTCAAAGTTTAAATAGATATAGAAAGGTAAAATAAAAATAAAAATCTCATTACAGATCTTCAGATAACCCTACTAGTGGTGTTAATTGCATACAGTGAGCTTTCAGATGTTGTATAAATTGACTCCAGTCCTTTTGGAATACTTGATTGTGCTGGTTTCTGATTTTGCCAGTTCCGCAAAGTCCATCATTTTCATCTGTCATTCTTCTTTCGTTGGTACTTCTTCTTGTTTCCATTTTTGGGCTAAAAGGGTTCTTTCCGCTGTTGTTGCATACATGAAGTCTTTTATCTTTTCTTGGTATCTCTTCATCTACTATACCCAGTAAAAAGGCTTCTGCGAAAGACTACAAAAGACTTTGGATATAATATTCACTTAGAATCATGAGAAAGGCTGTGGAATGAAGGTATTAAATTTACTGCACGCAGTGCACTTAAAGAAAATGTGATGAAAATGATGTATAGATGGTATTTAACACCATCAAAACTTGCTAAAATGTATAGGACAAGATCTAACGAGTGTTGGAAAGGTAAAGAGAAGGAAGGTATCTTTCACCATTTGTGCTGGACTTGTAAAAGAGGTGTCTGGGAAATGATATATAATGAGTTAAAGAAAATGTTTAAAAACACTTCTGATAAAAACCCTGCCTTTCAGATAAAATTTAGCAGTGTGAGAAAGTTGTACCTTAGTAAATTTGTGTGTTCCCCCTCCCTGCTTTTGGGTGTGGGAAGTCGTAGACCAGAGTTCCCCAAACTTGGGTCTTCAGCTGTTTTTGCACTACAACTCCCATGATCCCTAGCTAGCAGGACCAGCGGCCAGGGATGGTGGGAATTGTAGTCTGAAAACAGCTGGAGGCACAAGTTTGGGAAACCCAGTTGTAGACAGAAAAGAATATTATATAATATTAGCTCTCACTCTCATTCCTTTTTTTCTTTTCAGTGTGCTCCGGATAACACTCTCCCAACCCCAATCATTCTTCAAAGGTAAGAGGAAACCCCTGAACCTCCACCCCATAATTTTGAGCCGCTGTGGGGAAAATCAGGGCCCCTTCCAAGTCTATAAGACTGTTCTGCCTCCACAGTAGGGATGGGCAATACCTGGTTTTCAACATCGCGATATATCGCCAGCTAAATGTCATGACGCAGGTGGGGCTGTGGGTTAAACCACAGAGGCTAGGACTTGCCAATCAGAAGGTCGGTGGTTCGAATCCCTGCAGCGGAGTGAGCTCCCATTGCTTGGTCCCTGCTCCTGCCCACCTAGCAGTTCGAAAGCACGTCAAAGTGCAAGTAGATAAATAGGTACCGCTCTGGCGGGAAGGTAAACGGCGTTTCCGTGCGCTGCTCTGGTTCGCCAGAAGTGGCTTAGCCATGCTGGCCACATGACCTGGAAGCTGCACGCCGGCTCCCTCGGCCAGTAAAGCGAGATGAGCGCCGCAACCCCAGAGTTCTCTGTGACCGACCTAATGGTCAGGGGTCCCTTTACCTTTACATGTCATGATATACCGATACAGCGGCATGTCTGAAATAAGGATGGAGCTATGTAGAAGCCTTGGCTAGCTTCAGAGTTTCCCCCATGTTGTGATTTTTGCATAGCACACACATGCGCCCATGATAAAGAAGACATTGCCAGGTCAAAAATTATGAAACCAATTATCACGATATGGGCTTGAAACTGGTTTTGGGCGATATATTGCCCATCCCTACTTCGCAGTCGGAGGCAGCAGTGTTTCTGAAACCCAGGTGCTGGAATGGAAGCCGGGGGAGCTGCTCTTGTGTTCGGATCCTGCTTGCGGTCTTTGCATCTGGTTGGGCCCATGAGAATAGAATAGAATAGAATTTATTATTTATACCCCTCCCATCTGGCTGGGTTTCTCCAGCCACTCTGGGCGGCTTCCAACTAAGTATTAAAATATAATGGTCTTTTAAACATTAAAAGCTTCCCTAAAGAGGGCTGCCTTCAGATGTCTTCTAAAAGTCTGGTAGTTGTTTTTCTCTTTGACATCTGGTGGGAGGGTGCCACCACTGAGAAGGCCCTCTGCCTGGTTCCCTGTAACCTTGCTTATCACAGCGAGGGAACCACCAGAAAGCCCTCGGCGCTGGACCTCTCTGAACAATGGAGGTGGAGACGCTCCTTCAGGTATACTGGGCCTTGAGGCCGTTTAGGGCTTTCAAGGTCAGCACCAACACTTTGAATTGTGCTCGGAAACGTACTGGGAGAAGATGTTAGGTTTTGCGGGGGCTGTTGGCCCGATCCGGCAGGTCTCTTCTTCTTTTCCTAAACCCGCCACCCCTTCTCTCCGCAGGAACAGCTGTGCCAAAGAGCTGACGTCCTTTGCGGCCGAAGCCATCGCCGTCAACCGCCAGCTGATGCAGGACGAGGAGGAGGACGAGGCTGCCGTGGAGTCGCACTCCCCCATCATCATCAAAGCTACCTCACGCTCCATGCAGCTCTCCCCGCCTTCGGAGTCCAAGCTGGCCAAGCGGCGGCAGAAAACCAGCATGGCAAAATTGGACGCCAGCCAGCATATGGTCACCCCCTTGGTCCTGGTGGGAGATCACATGTGAACGCTCCTCCCCCCGGCTGCGTGTACATCCCCCCCTTCCCCAATTTCGGACAATATATCTATATATGTATACTGTTTTTGATAGCTAGGGGGGGAAAGGAAAACAAGATCAGACCCCCCTCTCTTTCAAGTTGGCTGGATTCCAAGGATCTATTATCTTCTTCTTTTTTCTTTTCGTTTTATATTGTTTCCTGGTCTTGTTTGAACACTGGTTCCTCTCGACTCCCCCCCCCCCCAAACAATTCTCCCCCTTTTTCCCCCTTTATAAATCTCTCTTAAAGGAAAAAAGGAAAAACCAACTTCCATATTAACTCGCCTATAGTTTTTTTTTTATTAACCCCCCCCCCACAAATGTTGCATTTTGACACACATGTAATATATTTTCGCTTTTTTTAATACAAAAAAATAAATGGATTTCCCCGCCCCCAACTCCCTCCTGCTTCTTTGGAAATAACAGGTTGACACCGCCCCACCGCCCCCGGAAAAGCTTAAAAAAACCCCACCAGGCTACTGTTAACTCTGTTTTCTGTTGCCTCTTTTTATACTGTGAAAATATTGGGGGGTTGGTGGGGAGGCGCACCCCTAAAAGTCCTCAACTTTTTAAAGGTAGCATTTTAAGTATTTGGGTGTATTATTCCTTTTTTCTCTCCCCGTTTCCTTTTTTTTTTTATGTGGCTTTGCTGTTTCTCTTCCTCCCTCCCTATTTCTAAAAAATGTTTTGTTTCGGAATTCTAGAACTGAAAACAGCAGCTGCGCTTTGAGGGGGGGGTGTTGTGTAGATTTAGGTTTTGCCCCAGAAGGCATTGTGGGCGCTTGGGGGGGGGGTCGGGTGATCGTGGGCAGAGTCCCCCCCCCAATACACCCCCCTGCCGATTCTGTAAGATTTGGGGTGGGAGTGTTTTGGGCTCTCCTGTGATTGTCCCGAGAGAGCTGGCCCAGAGTATCAATGGGGCCGTTCTTGTCCACCCCCCACCCCTGCCCCCCCAAATAACACATCCCATTTTGTTTCAAGCCCAGGTTCCCCCTATTTCTGTGGGGAGGAATGAGATTGGCTTGACCAAGATGGTTTTGTCGCTGCCACCCCCATCCCAAAATGGGTTTGTTTTGTTTAACGGAAAAGTCACTGCAAAAAAAACAAAACAGCCCCGAAATTTGCACAACCGCGTGCTCCCACCCCCGGCGTCGCTGGACTCCAGCTCCTGTCCGTGCTAAGTCAGCTCAGCTGACGGTCAGGAGGAAGATGGGCATTGTGTATCTGGGGCAACAACTTCTAGAGCCACTTTTCCCAAACTCCAGCTGTTCTTGGACAACGACTCCCATGATCCCTGTCTAGCAGGACCATTGGTCAGGGATGATGGGAACTGTAGTCCCCAAAACAGCCAGAGACCCAAGTTTGGGGCACATTGTTCTAGAGGGTCTCTTTCGGGGGGGGTTCTGGGTGGGGGCTGTCTCTTGCTGCAGCTGTTTCCCGTCCGTTTTGCGGCTGTCCCTCTCCCAGTGAAAAGTTCGGTCTGGTTCAGAGGGGGGTCTTTGCTTGGGGTGGGTGGTCTTGCCTGTCGTTCCTCCATCCGAGGGGGTCTGTGGGGAGACCCTCTTTCCAGCGTTGCTTGCAAGGTGATGGCATAGCTGTGCCCAAACTCCAGGCCCTATAAATGGGGCTGGGGGGGGGTTTCCACCCCCTTCCCTCCTTGCTGGGTGGGTGACGGGCGATGGGACTCTCTGCATCACCCTCTTTGCATTGTGCAAAGCAACGTTCCTCTGTCCTGCCATGGGACGAGGCAAAGCTCCATCTCAAGGACTCTCTTCAATAGTTTTCAAACTATTTCTAGACCCCTTTGGAGGTTGTAGCCACAGACAAGTGGTTTCAAAGTAAATTTAAAGAATTGCCCAGTAGGCCCAGGAATGACAAACCAGCACTGGCGGATTCTCCCTGGTTTTTGTTGTTGTTTTAAGTTTGCTTTATTTCAATGTGGCAGCTCCCCCCCCCCCCCCGCCGGCTGTTAAACTTGCTTAAAACTCCTGTCCGGATGTGCATATCTGGAATTTTGATAGGATTGTGTTACCAGAGTGATAATTTCTTCTCTTATTCTCCCCCCCCCACTGACTTAAGAAATACTATGCAATAGTTGTCTAAGGTAGAGATAGATGATAGCAAAAAAATCTCTTTTTTTATTTTTAATTCTTCAGGTAACCCTAGCTTCCAGCTGTGGGTGAGAAGGCGTAATTGGGTTGTGAAATAGTTTGGCTTGACTGGTCTTCTACTCCCCTCCCACTTTGGCTCCCCGCCCCCAAAGAAAACCACAAAGAGTGAATATGGTATCTGGGGTTGTGTCCAAAGTCATTCATACTTAACAGTTAGACCGATTGGCATTGATTGACCTATGTAAGTGCTGTCCATCAATTTCAGTGGTTCTGCTCAGAGTATGATTCCACTCCCACCCCCTCTGGCTGTGAAAATTATTGTTGCTTTTCTTTTCACGAACATTCAGCATCTAGCAAATGTCCTTTCAAGGGGGATGGGGGGGTCAGATTGGGATGTGAGGTTCACTGTGTAAAGTTAGTGAGAGGTTTTCTTTCTTTTTTAAGGGGTGGGGAACCCCTTTATCTTTCTTTTTAAACTTTGTTTTACATCACATTTTGTTATTTGGTTGTAGAGCTTCATCTTAGGGTAAGAAATACTTGAACATCGGACGGCTGTTGCACCAATGCCTTCTTTTGGTCAGGAAAGCTGTCTCAAGGCTGCAGGTGATGGCTGGGAAATTGTTTTGGGATAGTGTGTTTCACCTTTCCAGGGCAAGAAGCGAAGGCAACTCTTTGTCTCTGGGACTGAGAGTCGCGGTTTCTACGCTGCTTTTGCTTGCCAGAGCATTCGCAAAAGATCTTGCAAGGTTAGCTTCAGTTCCTTGGGTGGAAAGAGGGGAGATTCTCTCCCCCTTTCTCAGCTATTATCTAAGCAGATTTTCTGATCTGTTTGGGAACCGCTTCCCTCTTTAGGATTATTTTACCTGTCCTAAAAAATTCTGGGAATTGCCGACTTCTGAGGGCATAGAGTCCTCTTGAATGTCCCTGAGATCCTGCACAGTTGTACAGTTCCCAGCAATTGGGAGCCAAAGTAGATGTGCAGTTCCCAGGATGCCCAGCATTGGGACCCATGGTAGATGCACAGTTCCCAGTGTCCGCAGTACTGGGAGCTACAATGGTTCAGAAACGGGTTTTAACGTTTGCAGTGGCAACGTTAAAATGATAGCTGATTTCTCCCTGGGGTGGGTTGTTGTTTTTTTGCGGCAGGGGCAGGGTGCCGGGCGTACCTTTGAAAAACAGCATACCCTTGTTTTTAAAAGCAGATCTTTTGAGCACAGGAACGCTACCTGTGACTTTTTTGGGGTTTTGTCTAATCCCACTTATTCAGTACTACACCAGTACTACGCATGTAATATCTCAGAAACACATAGTGGTTTCTGCAGTAGAAGTTGCAGATAGGTAAGTTGGTCTGCAGCCGTGTCGGTTCCTCCAGGAACAGCGTGGTCCTCGTATTCCACTGACCCTGTTCAGGCGGCGGCGGCCGTAAGGTCCGCGAGTGATCCTCGTTGCCTCTGCGAGGGCCAGATAATTTGTATGGGATCATGTTCTTCTTCTGCGTTAGTGATCCTGTTTTGGGGAAGGTGGGTGGACGAGCGCAACCACCCACCCCACCCGGTTCATTACTGAAGGGCCAAAATTCAGGAGTGCTGGAAACTCCCTCAACAACAAGCCCATGTTGAGTTGTCGACTCGCAGGGTTGTGGTTAAGCTTGTGTGGTTTGGCTTTCGAACCAAAGTTCTTTGGCGAGAACCACTCCCGTCTCTTTCTCTCTTCCTCTCTTCAAATAAAGGGGACTTCTCAGGATAATTTCAGCGTGTGAAGGACTGCTCAAAGGTTTCCTTTCCCAACTTCAGTCTTTTTGACTTTTGCCCGACGTTTAATGAAAACAAAACGCCAGAGCGTGTGCTTCATTGCGCACTGTTGCAGAATAAAATGATTTGGAGCGCTTTAGCGTGGCTGTTGCGGTTCTTCGCTCCCCCTTTGTGCTTAGATACCTTCATATGCATACCCTCTCTGGGCAAAGCTGTGCATTATTTTGTGTGGGCAAGCGGGCAATGTGCTAGGATCGCGCCACCACAAAGTACCTGGATTTGGTAGCATTAGAAATCATTCAGCGTAATGGAATCAAATCCCATAATGGAAGTTTAATCAAGTCCACCTCTTCTCTTCTGAGTGGTGACTGACTTGAATCTTTGTGTTTGGGTTTGAGCGTCGCTGAAAGTCGACTCTTCCCGCTCCCCCAATTTCTGATCGGATGATTGTTTTGTGGCTTGAAAACGCCAGGCGATTGTGATGGTTTGGCACGTGGTCATTTTCGTTTCTTTAAAGAACGGCTGTTGTGAAGACACAGTCTTGCCTTCCCTTTCTTGCATTGCCAAGTCAGACCAGGAACCCAGCCTTGCTGGGTTGGGGTTGGCTTTTGCCAACATAGTGATGAGCTCCCCCCCCCACTCCCCAGCTTGCTTAAATTGGGGAGGTAAGAAGTCCGCTTGAGTCCTAGCGGGGGCACACAATAAATTGCATTGAAAACAAGAGTTACGGCTAACTTGTCTAGTTCCCATTTCAATGGGGCGAGTCACGATTAGCAAGTGAGCTGGATTTTCTCCCCATGCCCCCCCCTTAAATATATTTAGGCTTTTCATATGTGTGTGTTGAAATTTTGTTTGTTTAATGGTTATTCTCAGGACGTGAGCAAAATCCTGATCCTTCTTCCTTACTCCCGCGATCGTGCACCTTTTCGTTTGTGTGACCAAAACTGGTGGTGCTTTGATTTCTTTTTTTCCACCGCTCAATTCAGAGATAAAACGTGTGTTTTCTTCCTCTTCTTTTTAAGGCTCCCTCCCTTACTTCAATAAGTCTTCCTACCACGTCTCACACACTACAATACACACCAAAGCTCAGATCTTTTAACGTGCAAGGAATTCTGGACTTTGGAAACGGGGTCAGGCGAACCTGTGTCCTTCCACAGCCACAGGTTCCCCTCACCCTTGGCTTTAAGAATACCCTTTATTGGATCGCCTTGAAGTAGTCGCCCACAACCCCCCCTGGTTTGGAAGCCGGAAGAGTTTAAACTGAGTTCAAAGTTACTTGCCCCCCCATAGAGATATGAGGGACCTCTTGTCTCTATGATGGGGACTTAATCCAGTGTACCCTTTTGACATCCTCTTAACCAACCTTCTCAAGGTTGCTTTCCAGGTATATTATCTTTGGTTTGTGTTATCCCCCCAATCCCCCAGGTCTTTAAACTGTGCGTGGATTTTTAACCCTTATCTTGCCAAAGTTCTGAGTTTAAACTTCTCTTTCTTCCACCAGTCCTCCCCACCAAAATGTTTTTCTTTGTGAAATTCTTCTATTGGAAAGCATATTTTTTTTCTGTACCTCCTTATTATGAGTTGTATTAACTGCAAATTTGAGGTGGTGGTGGGAATGTCATCGCTTTAAACGACGTCTCCTTCCTCTAGATTTTATGTTTCCTTAGATGTTGGGTAGCAACATTTTACTGTGAAAATCTGTTTCTTTTCACGTCCCTTTTTTTTTTTGCGGGGGTGGCATTCAGTCCAGGAGAAATGTTTTCCTCTGGCTATCAGAAAGACTGCCAAAGGTTTTGTGGAGCTTTTAAATTTAAGTTTATTTTTATTTTTTTTATTTTTTGGACATGCAGTCACCTTAACGTACCGTTGGGGACTCTTATGAGCAGCAAGTCCTTCAGAAAGGGACTGGTTTAAAAAAAAAAAAGGAGAAATTTAAAAAAAGAATAAAAAAAGAGAAAAAAACCATAAAAATATATATATAAAAAATAAAAACTTATAAGACAACAGCAACCAAGCACTTTATTAACTGATACAGCTTGATGGAATTTTTTCCTTCGTAACACCTTGTTGATGCCAGAATTTTTTGTATTCTGTTTTGTAAGAATTTAATAAATGCATTGAAACACATAAACGAATTGAATGTTTTTTTTGAGTTGGGGGTCTGTTTGTTTTTCAAAATAGAAATTTTAAAAATGCTACTTAAGGTCTCCCACACTTCCCAAGATCCTCTTAGAAATGACGGAACAAGAAATGGCATATCGTAATGTCTGCAATAAGGATGGAACTATACAAGGGCATGGAGGGACGCGGGTGGCGCTGTGGGTTAAACCACAGAGCCTAGGCCTTGCCGATCAGAAGGTCAGCAGTTCGAATCCCCACTGCGGGGTGAGCTCCCATTGCTCGGTCCCTGCTCCTGCCAACCTAGCAGTTCGAAAGCACGTCAAAGTGCAAGTAGATAAATAGGTACCACTCTGGCGGGAAGGTAAACAGTGTTTCCGTGCGCTGCTCTGGTTCGCCAGAAGTGGCTTAGTCCTGCTGGCCACATGACCCGGAAGCTGTACGCCGGCTCCCTCGGCCAATAAAGCGAGATGGGCACCCCCAAGTCGGCCATGACTGGACCTAATTGGCCTAATGGTTACCTATACAAGGGCATTGGCTGGCTTCACAGTCTTCCCCACATCGTGATTTTTGTAAAGCACACAGACACATGATTAGCAATACATTGCCAGGTGAAAAAATTATGAAACCGATATCACAATATAGACTTCAAACAGGTATTGGACGATATATCACCCAGTTCTACGGGCAACCAGTACAGCTTTTTTAAAAAATTGGGGCTGATCTATAAATGGAACCCCAGACAGTAATCTGGCTGTTGCATTTTGGACCAAAGCGAAGTTTCTGAGTTGCCTCCAAGGGCAGCCCCACGGACAGTGTGTTGCAGTAGTCCAGTCTGGAAGTTGCCATGGAGTCCAGTCACCAAATCATCTCTCTAGCAACCAGTTCACCATCATTAAAGAGAAGTGTCAGCAAGCATCTGGGACTGGAAGCCCTGTTAATAATAATAATAATAATAATAATAATAATAATAATAATAATAATAATTTATTATTTATACCCCGCCCATCTGGCTGGGCTTCCCCAGCCACTCTGGGCGGCTTCCCAAAAAATATTAAAATACTGTAATACATCAAACATTAAAAGCTTCCCTAAACAGGGCTGCCTTCAGATGTCTTCTAAAAGTCTGGTGGTAGTTCTCTTTGACATCTGGTGGGAGGGCGTTCCACAGGGTGGGTGCCACTACCGAGAAGGCCCTCTGCCTGACTCCCTGTAGCTTGGCTTCTCACAGGGAGGGAACCGCCAGAAGGCCCTCAGCGCTGGACCTCAGTGTCCGGGTAAAATGATGGGGGTGGAGACGCTCCTTCAGATATACTGGACCGAGGCCGTTTAGGGCTTTAAAGGTCAGCACCAACACTTTGAATTGTGCTCGGAAAGTTCAGTGAAGTTTCTTATGTCTGACCTGACGCTTTATTATTTTTAATATTTTGCTGGAAGCCACCCAGAGTGGCTGGAGAAACCCTGCTGGACGGGCGGGGTACAAACAATAAAATGATGGTGATGACAACGACCATATGAGTCGAGAGTGGATGCAGCGGCACATCACGGGTGTGGTTGTTACACAGATCCTCCCCATGTGATGCCAAGCCAAATCATCGCTTAGCCTCGGGTAGCGTGGCAAAAGCAGGACCGGAGACAGGAGCAGTGTGGCTGCAGTCTTTTCCCCAAGGGCATATCTGTTGTTCATGCGAAGCCCGGTGGGTGGGGAACTTCAAGCCTTGGGGGTGGGATGCGGCTCTGGGGGTGAAAAACCGCTGCGTCAGCCATCACTGAATTTTACATGCCGCCCATCTTGACTGGGTTGCCCCTGCCACTCTGGGTGGCCTCATTCCCAGGATTGTGGCCGCTGTCACCTGCTGGCAGCTTCTAGGAGCCGCAGGTGAGAGCAGAGTGCTGGTGGGGACCAAAGGTGGACAAACTGCCCCAGAAGGAGCAGGACGTGTCTCCTCCCACCAGAGGTAAATTACACGTTGTTTAGTCGTGTCCGACGCTTCGTGACCCCCTGGACCAGAGCACACCAGGCACTCCTGTCTTCCACTGCCTCCCGCAGTTTGGTCAAACTCTGTTAGTAGCTTCAAGAACACTGTCCAACCATCTTGTCCTCCATCGTCCCCTTCTTGTGCCCTCCATCTTTCCCAACATCCAGGTCTTTTCCAGGGAGTCTTCTCTTCTCATGAGGTGGCCAAAGTCTTGGAGCCTCAGCTTCAGGATCTGTCCTTCCAGTGAGCACTCAGGGCTGATTTCCTTCAGAATGGAGAGGTTGGATCTTCTTGCAGTCCATGGGACTCTCAAGAGTCTCCTCCAGCACCAGAATTCAAAAGCATCCATTCTTCGGCGATCAGCCTTCTTTATGGTCCAGCTCTCACTTCCATACAGCACTCCATACGCCCTGGTTAAATCATCTCAGGGCCATGAATGAATGTCAAGGTAACCTTGGGACAGTTGCTACCTCTTGGCGCAACCTACCCCACAATGTTGTTGTAGGGGGTAAAATGAATTGTGTTGGTGGTGGCAGCTTTGTACAGCTTGCTGGATAAAGGGTGGTGCAGACAAGCCCTGTAGCAGGATCAGACCAGAGACTCATCTGCTCCAACATCATCGTGGATACAGCAGTTGTCTATATGCTTCTGGGAAACTCAACAGCGGGGCATGATCACCTTGGCAACCTCCCTGTTCCTCCTACCCAGCGACCGTGATTCTCAAGAGCATCCCGCCATCATGACTAGCAGCCTTGGATAGTCAAAGCTTCCATACAGGTGAGCAAGAGGCCCGGGTTATAAATAAGGCGAACGCAGCTATTTCAGGCACATTTCGAAAAGAGTTTTTGCTTTCTGGTTTTTTCTCTGTGACTCACCTCTTTTAAGTCTGACCTTTTGATGTTTGCGCTATAAGTATCTTTTAGGACCCACCCTATTCTTGCAGCTAGTATTTTTTATATTGAATTGTTGAATATATGCAAGCTACCCTGGGACGTTAGAGTGACGGGTGGGTAAGAAACCAAATAAATAAAACAATTATGTGCAATATTAATTCCCCCACCCCAATGTTTTCACAATGACCTTCAAGTCAGATAATTGCATTGTTTCACGAGCTGACTTTCCACCCTCATCCGCAGTGTTTTTACTCAAACCTTTTTTACTGCATTATATCTTTATTATTTATTTAACTTATATGCAGAATTCATCATGCGAAAGGCTGGGCTGGATGAATCCCAAGCCGGAATTAAGATTGCCGGAAGAAATATCAACAACCTCAGATATGCAGATGACACAACATTGATGACAGAAAGTGAGGAGGAATTAAAGAACCTTTTAATGAGGGTGAAAGAGGAGAGCGCAAAATATGGTCTGAAGCTCAACATCAAAAAAACGAAGATCATGGCCAATGGTCCCATCACCTCCTGGCAAATAGAAGGGGAAGAAATGGAGGCAGTGAGAGATTTTACTTTCTTGGGCTCCATGATCACTGCAGATGGTGACAGCAGCCACGAAATTAAAAGACGCCTGCTCCTTGGGAGAAAGGCGATGGCAAACCTGGACAGCATCTTAAAAAGCAGAGACATCACCTAGCCAACAAAGGTCCGCATAGTTAAAGCCATGGTTTTCCCAGTAGTGATGTATGGAAGTGAGATGGTTGGACAGTGTTCTTGAAGCTACAAACATGAGTCTGACCAAACTGCGGGAGACAGTGGAGGACAGAAGTGCCTGGCGTGCTCTGGTCCATGGGGTCACGAAGAGTCGGACACGACTAAACAACTAAACAACAACAACAACATCTTTATTCCAAAAAAAATCCTCTGTTACAATCACTTTGCCATTTTTCTTCCATTGCTTTTCTCGAATCCTGCCCACGATTTCATTTGTCTGTAATGCTTTTCCAAAGTCCATGAAAGGCCTCTATTCTTCTATGAAAAGTTCATTGTTTTCATATCTTAATTTCACTGTCAGCTTTCTGCTTAGTAATAAAACTATTTACCTTATTTTTCTCTCTGCCTTCAAGAGAGATGGGGGGGTGTCTTTAGTACATTTGGAGGGGTTTTTGTTTGTTTGTTTTGTTCGTTACCAGCAAACTTGTGCTCACCAGAGGGTGAATCACAAAGTTTAAAAAGAAACTGTCCAAAGGCACGCTGAGTTGGGAAGAAAGATTAGATGTCACGATGGGTGTTTTACACTTCTCCAAACGGCAAGGAGAGCCTCTGGGACATAGAAGAACTGTTGACAAATCCGCTGAAAATAACCCTCCGTAATCACATAGAAATCTGCATCTTTGTAGAGTTGGCTGCCTTCCTTAACCCTTAAGTCTGATCTATTCCTTCGGGTGCTGGCTTGTTCCATCCCTGGGCTCAGGAGAGGAACACTGCAGAACTGGGAGAAGATTCCCAGCGTTATATTGGAATGATTCACTCTTCCTAAGTCTTGCCCCTTCTTCCACTGTGCCTCCGATGGAAGGGGGCACTTCCTTAAAACGCCCCTTTGCTCCTAAGGTGGCAACCACTCTGGAGGTGGTAGTTCCAGAGCCGACACAGAAGGACAGGTAATCTTATTTATTTCATAATGCTTGGAAAGCGCTCTCGGCGATGCACGCAAACAAAACGGGGGGCAAAGCACCTCCCTTTGGGAGGAGGAGGAACAATGGATGTCAAAATAAGGGGGAGCAGCTACACAAAAACACCGCACGCTGTCTAAAATGCCATAAGAAGCTTTGCTGAATCGTGGCTGAGATTTTGTACATCAAGTAACAGGGAAGTTAACAAGGCTTGCTTCCATGTGAAATGTATGCATAGGGATTGCAACGCAATAGTCCCTCTGTGTATGTGGGGGGTGGGGGACGGGACTCGGCAGGTCCAGATTTATTTTTAGTTATGTTTTTAATCTGCAGGCAAAAGCTAGCTCTCCTTTACCACGTCTGTTCATCCTGTGGTCTGCAGCAACCTCTAGTGTTCATTTGGTGTGTTGCTTTAATGAAGGAAGGATGACGCTCCCATTACATTTCCTTTCCACTGCGGAAATTTCAATGCACTATGCACTGAAAGCTGTATCAAGCTATTTAAAGCGGTCATGGCTTTAAAGAATTCTGGTAAGTGTAATTTTGATGATGGAACAGCCTCCCTTGCATGGTGGAAGTTCAGTGGAAGTTATTAAGCAGAGGTTTGACGGTCACCTGTCAGCATAGGAGCCAACTCCTAGGGATTGAGGTCCCTTTGGTCCCCCCAATAAAATATTTGAGGGATCTGCCCCCCCCCAAAAAAAAGTTGAGGTGAGTTTCCATTCAAAGTATGTGTGTGTGTGTGATGTTATGTGATTATGTGGGGTGGAGCTCATTTTCCCTCCCCAAAAGGACAATATTTTATTCAAGTTGGCACCCCTGCCTATCAGAGGCTCTCTAGCTGAGATCCCTGCTTGGCAGGGGGTTGGACTAGATGATGCTTGGGTGTCCCTTCCAACTCTAAAGAACAGGAAGAACTTTCTGACAGTCCAAGCCGTGGATCGTTCTCCCTTGGGAGGTGGTGGATTCTCCTTCCTTTAAATCGGAACCAGTGAAGGTCCAAATGTCTGGAGGCAGTTGGAGGATGGATGGCGGCTAACGGATTGAGGTTGAATCCTGACAAGACAAATGATATTTTGGGGGAACAAGGGGCGGGTGGGTGGCTGGGACCTCCTGGTCCTGAATGGGGTAACTGTGCCCCTAAAGGCCCAGGTACGCAGCCTGGGGGTCATTTTGGACTCACAGCTGTCCATGGAGGCGCAGGTCAATTCTGCATCCAGGGTGGGTGTCTGCCAGCTCCATCTGAAACCCTCCCGGCCTGCTCTGTGTCTCACCAGAATGGTCCATGCTCTGCTTTTCTCCCGCTTGGACTACTGCCATGTGCTCTCTGTGGGGCTACCGTGGAAGGTGACTCAGAAATGACAACTAATCCAGAATGCAGCAGCTAGACTGGTGACTGCAATAGGCTACTGGGAACATATACCGTATTGGCCTGAATATAAGCCTCACTTTTCCCCCAAATTCTGACTGTGAAAAGTTAAAGTGTGGCTTATATTCATGACCCTATGGGATGCAGCCAGGAGCGCGCAGAAAAGTGGTGCCTGCCCTGTGCATAGTCTCCTGCCCTCTCCCTCAAAGCCGGGTGGGGAGAGCGAGGATGGGGAAAGCCCTGCAGCGGCTTATATTCAGGTGTTTTTTTCTTTTTTCTCCACCCCCCCTCCAATTTTAAAGGTGTGTCTTATATTCGGGCCAATATGGTACCATGGGTCCTAAAGGATCTTCATTGGCTCCCAGTATGTTCCATACGTGGCCTTTAGAGCCCTAAATAACCTCGGTCCAGTATACCTGAAGGAGCGTCTCCACCCCCATCGTCCATCCTGGACACTGAGATCCAGGTCCGAGGGCCTTCTGGTGGTTCCCTCCCTGCGAGAAGTGAGGTTACAGGGAACCAGGCAGAGGGCCTTCTCGGTGGTGGCGCCCGCCCTGTGGAACGCCCTCCCATCAGAAGTCAAGGAGATAAATAACTATATTTCAGAAGACATCTGAAGACAGCCCTGTATCGGGAAGCTTTTTAATGTTTGATGTTTTATTGTGTTTTAATATTCTGTTGGAAGCAGCCCAGAATGGCTGGGACAACCTAGCCCAGGGGTCTGCAACCTTTAAGACAAAAAGAGCCACTTGGACCCGTTTCCGAAGAAAAAAACACCTGGGAGCCGCAAAACCATTGCGACATTTAAAGCATGCACGTCGCTGCCCTCTGATCTGACAGCGGGCGGGAAGGTGACGTCGGGACGGTGCGTGACTAATGCACGCACCGCCCCCATGCGACGTCACAGCCAGTACAGCGCCCGCCACAGTGGGGAGTGTCGGGGCGCACAATGCGCCTCCTCCCCTCGCTAGTATCCGTCCCGGAGCCGTGGCAAAGGTGTAAAAGAGCCACATGCGGCTCCGGAGCCGCGGGTTGCAGACCCCTGACCTAGCCCATGGGTAGGCAAACTAAGGCCCGGGGGCCGGATTCAGCCCAATCGCCTTCTAAATATGGCCCGCGGACAGTCCGGGAATCAGCGTGTTTTTACATGAGTAGAATGTGTGCTTTTATTTAGATGCATCTCTGGGTTATTTGAGGGGCCTGCCTGGTGTTTTTACATAAGTACATAGCTGTCAACCTTCCCTTTTTTTGCGGGAAATTCCCTTATTCCAGTGCTGTTTCCCGCTGCTTCCCGCTGCTATCCCGGATTGTTAGACTAATAGTCTGTAGTCTGTCCCCGGGACAGGTGAGGCTGCTGATCCCTTATTTTCAAATCTGAAAGTTGACAGCTATGCATGAGTAGAATGTGTGCTTTTATTTAAAATGCATCTCTGGGTTATTTGTGGGGCATAGGAATTCTTTCATACAGTCCGGCCCCCCACAAGGTCTGAGGGACAGTGGACCGGCCCCCTGCTGAAAAAGTTTGCCGACCCCTGACCTAGCCAGACAGGCAAGGTACAGGGGTACCTCGGGTTAAGTACTTAATTAATTCCGGAGGTCCGTTCTTAACCTGAAACCGTTCTTAACCTGAGCTGCCACTTTAGCTAATGGGGTCTCCCCCCACCACCGCACAATTTCTGTTCTCATCCTGAAGCAAAGTTCTTAACCTGAAGCACTATTTCTGGGTTAGCAGAGTCTGTAACCTGAAGCGCATGTAACCTGAAGCGCATGTAACCCGAGGTACCACTGTATCAAGAATAATAATAATAATAATAATAATAATAATAATAATAATTTATTATTTATGCCACGCCCACCTATAATAATAATAATTTATTATTTATGCCACGCCCACCTGGCTGAGTCTCCCCAGCCACTCTGGGCGGCTCCCAATCAGTGTTAAAAACAGTACAGCGTTACATATTAAAAACTTAATAATAATAATTTAATAAAGAATAAAGTTGTCATCGTTATCATCCCCATCATTCTTCCCTGGCGGTTTCTAAGCAGAGGTCGGGGATGCTTCAGCTGCATTGCGGGGGGGGGGGGGAGGGGGTCAGACTGGATGACCCTGGGGGGACCCCTTCCAACTCATTCGACGATTCCTGGGGGCGGGGCGGCTTTTTAGGCAGGCCTCCGTCGCTGAGACGGCCCCCCCACCCCCGCACGCATTTCGCCGGAGTCAGACTGGATGACCTTGGGGGGACCCCCTTCCCACCCCCTTGCGCATTTCGCCAGGGTCAGACTGGATGACCTTGGGGGGGACCCCTTCCCACCCCCTTGCGCATTTCGCCGGGGTCAGACTGGATGACCCTGGGGGGACCCCTTCCCACCCCCTTGCGCATTTCGCCGGGGTCAGACTGGATGACCCTGGGGGGACCCCCTTCCCACCCCCTTGCGCATTTCGCTGGGGTCAGACTGGATGACCCTGGGGGGACCCCTTCCCACCCCCTTGCGCATTTCGCCGGGGTCAGACTGGATGACCCTGGGGGGACCCCCTTCCCACCCCCTTGCGCATTTCGCCGGGGTCAGACTGGATGACCCTGGGGGGCCCCTTCCCACCCCCTTGCGCATTTCGCCGGGGTCAGACTGGATGACCCTGGGGGGCCCCTTCCCACCCCCTTGCGCATTTCGCCGGGGTCAGACTGGATGACCCTGGGGGGCCCCTTCCCACCCCCTTGCGCATTTCGCCGGGGTCAGACTGGATGACCCTGGGGTACCCCTCCCTCTCCCCCGCGGGCGCTTGTCTTCGGCGACCCCCCCCCGGCGCCGCGTCTGAACGTTCCCCGCCTCCCTCGCCCTCCTCCTCCTCTTTCCCCGCCTCCTCTTCGCCCTTCTTCCCTCCTCCTCCTCCTCCTCCTCCGCCGGCCGCCGCCCCTCGCAAAATGGCGGCCGGCGCCGGGCCCGTGGCGGGCGGAGGCCTCCCGCCGTCTTTTACCTCAGCCGCGGCGGCGGCGGCGTCGCCTCAGCAGCAGCACCAACCGGCGCCGCCTCCTCCTCCTCCTCCTCCTCCGCCTCAGGCGGCGGCGGCCTCCTCCTCTTCTCCCCTCACGCACAACCACCGCGTCGGGAACCCTCTGCCGGCGGCCTCGTCATCGTCGTGTCCGGCGGCGGCCCCGGCCGCGTCGTCTCCCGCTTCGCCGGCCTCTCCGCCTTCCCCTCCGGCTCCTCTTCCTCCTCCGCCGCCGCCGCCGGCCTCGTCGTGCTCGCTGGGCCCCCGCGAGCCGGCCTACAACTGGCAGGCCACCAAGCCGACGGTGCAGGAGCGCTTCGCCTTCCTCTTCAACAACGAGGTGCTGAGCGACGTCCACTTCTTGGTGGGGAAAGGCCGAGCGGGGGCCCAGCGCCTCCCCGCCCACAGGTAGGAGGAAGGCCAGACCCCCAGACCCCCCCCATGTTGGAGGGGGGCCGGCACACCCCCCCGGCCCAGCGCCTCCCCGCCCACAGGTAGGAGGAAGGCCAGACCCCCCCCCCATGTTGGAGGGCCGGCACCCCCCCCCCGGGCCCAGCGCCTCCCCGCCCACAGGTAGGAGGAAGGCCAGACCCCCCCCATGTTGGAGGGGGGCCGGCACCCCCCCCCGGGCCCAGCGCCTCCCCGCCCACAGGTAGGAGGAAGGCCAGACCCCCCCCATGTTGGAGGGGGGCCGGCACCCCCCCCCGGGCCCAGCGCCTCCCCGCCCACAGGTAGGAGGAAGGCCAGACCCCCCCCCATGTTGGAGGGGGCCGGCACCCCCCCCGGGCCCAGCGCCTCCCCGCCCACAGGTAGGAGGAAGGCCAGACCCCCCCCATGTTGGAGGGGGCCGGCACCCCCCCCCCGGGCCCAGCGCCTCCCCGCCCACAGGTAGGAGGAAGGCCAGACCCCCCCCCATGTTGGAGGGGGGCCGGCACCCCCCCCGGGCCCAGCGCCTCCCCGCCCACAGGTAGGAGGAAGGCCAGACCCCCCCCATGTTGGAGGGGGGCCGGCACCCCCCCCGGGCCCAGCGCCTCCCCGCCCACAGTAGGAGGAAGGCCAGACCCCCCCCCATGTTGGAGGGGGGCCGGCACCCCCCCGGGCCCAGCGCCTCCCCGCCCACAGGTAGGAGGAAGGCCAGACCCCCCCATGTTGGAGGGGGGCCGGCACCCCCCCCCGGGCCCAGCGCCTCCCCGCCCACAGGTAGGAGGAAGGCCAGACCCCCCCCCATGTTGGAGGGGGCGGCACCCCCCCGGCCCAGCGCCTCCCCGCCACAGGTAGGAGGAAGGCAGACCCCCAGACCCATGGTTGGAGGGGGGCCGGCACCCCCCCCCGGGCCCAGCGCCTCCCGCCCACAGGTAGGAGGAAGGCCAGACCCCCCCCCATGTTGGAGGGGGCCGGCACCCCCCCGGGCCCAGCGCCTCCCCGCCACAGGTAGGAGGAAGGCCAGACCCCCAGACCCATGTTGGAGGGGGGCGGCACCCCCCCCGGGCCCAGCGCCTCCCCGCCCACAGGTAGGAGGAAGGCCAGACCCCCCCTGTTGGAGGGGGCCGGCACCCCCCCCCCCGGGCCAGCGCCTCCCCGCCCACAGGTAGGAGGAAGGCCAGACCCCCAGACCCATGTTGGAGGGGGGCCGGCACCCCCCCCCCCGGGCCCAGCGCCTCCCCGCCCACAGGTAGGAGGAAGGCCAGACCCCCCCCCATGTTGGAGGGGGGCCGACACCCCCCCCCGGGCCCAGCGCCTCCCCGCCCACAAGTAGGAGGAAGGCCAGACCCCCCCCATGTTGGAGGGGGGCCGACACCCCCACACACACCTCAAAAAGGGCCCCCCTCCAAACGCGCCCCCCATGTTGGAGGGCCAGCACCCCCCACACACCTCAAAAAGGGCCCCCCTCCAAACGCGCCCCCCATGTTGGAGGGCAGACACCCCCCCACCTCAAAAAGGGCCCCCCTCCAAACGCGCCCCCCATGTTGGAGGGCCGGCACCCCCCACACACCTCAAAAAGGGCCCCCTCCAAACGCGCCCCCCATGTTGGAGGGCAGACACCCCCCCACCTCAAAAAGGGCCCCCCCTCCAAACGCGCCCCCCATGTTGGAGGGCAGACACCCACCACCACCTCAAAAAGGGCCCCCCCTCCAAACGTGCCCCCCATGTTGGAGGGCCGACACCCCCCCACCTTAAAAAGGGCCCCCCTCCAAACGCGCCCCCCTTATGTTGGAGGGCAGCCACCCCCCCCACCTCCAAAAGGGCCACTTGAAAGCACGGCCCCCTGGATTTGAGCCACGTCCATCATGCAGAAACAACCCCCCCCCTAGATTTTATTCACGTCAGAGCCACCCCTGGTTGGGGGCAGAGGAGCGTGGGCGTAGCCAAGGGCCCCCCCCCACTGAATCAATAGAAATCTATAGAAATGCATAACTGCATAAGAAGCTCTTGGGTACCCCATAAAGGAAAAGGGGTTTTGTTTACAACGCCCCCCCAATAACAAATCCTGGCCTATGCCCATGCCTAGGAGCCCCCCCCCCAAATATCCCATGCCCTTTTGAAATGGGGAGCAGGGGGAGGGGGATTGTTGTTGTTTAGGTATTTGGGGGCAACCCTGTCGGATGGGTGGGGCACAAATGAATGATCACAGCATTCACGTATTTATGTTGTGGTTTTGTGGTGCAACCGCCCCCAGGGCTGCGGGAGTAGGCGGTGTGCAAATTTTATGAATGAATGAATGAATGAATGGATAATATATTTGAGGGGGGGTCGTGCACCCACCCACACCCAAGTCAATGGGCATTGCCATTCAGATAGTGTGAGCGCACTATGTCTTGTGATCAATTATACAGGGCAGGGCTTATCTGCCTCCCCCTCCCATATTTTATTCAAGTTCGCACCCTTGGTTGGGGGGCAAGGAGGGAGGGACAACCCCCCCCCACTGACCTACTTAAAGGGGCGTGGAAAGAGGGGGATGGCCATGGGGAGTAGGGACCTGTTACAGAGCCATGGGCCTTTTTCAAGGGGGAGGCTGAGAACAGTTAAATTTGGTGGGCTCTTAAGGGCAAGTTATTATTGGGGGGGGGCAGGTTACAGTGGGGTTTTGAGTATGATTGGGGGGTGGAGAGAACTGTGCTGTGCACATACCCCCCCCCCCCGGCCGTCATTCTTTGGATGTGATGGACTTGGCTGTTCTTTATACCAGTTGTTGTTTGTTATGAAAATATGGATAAAGTTATGGGGCAGGAAGCTGGGGAGAGGGGGGCAGTTGTGGGTCCGAGAGAGGGGGGGGTGACTGACGTGGGGCGGCTGCTAGAGGCTTTTGCTGCTGAGAAGGGCTATGGGGTGGAAGGGGGCTTCATAGGGACAAATGGCTGTGCAACCCGCAAGGGAGCATCTGTGGGATGGGGTTTAAAGAGGATGCCGAGGGTCCTGGGTTCAATTCCTGACATCTCCAGGTAGGGCTGTGAATGTTCCCTGCCTGGAATCCTAAAGAGCCGCTGCAAGCCAGTGTAGGCCCTACTGAGCTATAAGGCTGATTCTTAGGTTCCCATGAGGTCGCAAATGCATCCTTGCTGGACTGTGTTGTTGTCTTATGCTATTGATTTTTTTTTTTAATGAATTATGTATCTCACTAGGATTTATCAGGTTGCACTATGCTGTGGGATTATATTTAATGGGAAGCAGACTAGAAACAAAATGAGTTTGCTTATTCGCAGCTGGCTTTCCTGATGCACCTGCAGGCAGAGCTATAAGCTAGCAAGGAGTGAACTCCAATTCTGGCATGTTAGAGGTTCCGAGTTGTGGCTGGTTACACACTTACTACCCAAAACTAGGGGGAAAGTTGCCCTGGAAATATGCCACCATAATTCTAAATTACCTAGGTCCACTGATAGCTTTATTAGGAGGGCGCATGCAGAAAGGCCCCAGGAAAGATGCAGCCAGTCTGCTTTCGGCTTTTCGGGTTGCTTGCTTTTGTTACAGAACTATTTGTTATTGGGCAGATAAATTGGTTGATTTCGAACCACAAGGATGTTCATTCTGAGCATCTGGTTGTTCCTGGCTACGGGGGAAAAAAATGATCCAGCCTTTAGGTGGAATGGATTAATTTCTACAAGCGTTTTACGTCATGCGTTCTCTGAGCAAGCATGTCTCCTAATTGGTTGCTGTAGCAGTTAAAAGCATATCTGTTTGCAAATAGAGCTTTTGTAGTACCCAGGAGCGTAATAAAAAAAAACCATCTGATCTTGCAAGCTCCTGTGCCCTTTTACACTAGGGAACTGATATCTGCTTAGTGTCAGGGCAGCAGTTGTGGTCTGAAAGGTTCTCTCTCCCTCTCCCTCCGCGTGTTAAGGACACTAAACAAGACCATTGCCTTGAAGGTGGAAGGTCCAGAACTTTGCAGAAGCAAAGGCTAGTAGCTGCACATGGCAGATGGATGTTGCTCCCGTGCTTAGATGAAGTAAAAGCCTGTTGGGCTTTACTTAAGTTCTTAATGCAGTCTAAATACTCATAACTTGCACTGTAAAACAAACAATTTATTATGCCATTAATTACAATGCCTGAATTTGGAAGTCATGTTTTTATTCGTGCTTCGTTCTTTTATGTTGAAAAACACCTTTTGACAGCCGGTTTGAAGGGCTAAAGAGCGTAGTTTTCAATACATTTGTGTAACATCCAGGTATCACATGGTTGTTAGGGTGCCTGATAAGTTGATAACAACCACAGTGTAAAGAAACCTGATCTAAGTCTGTTCCTTTTTTTTAAGCATTGTTTTTATGGCTCTGTTGTGTGAGCTGTGCACCAGAGGTTCTGAGGAGGAAGAGTAACTTCAGGGCAGCGCACTGTGCAATACGGTTATAGCAAAATCTTAATTTGTGGCTCTTGTTGTGGGGAATGGACAAGATTCAGAGTGCAATCCAGTCAATGCCGGAACCTTCTTGTTTCTTCTTTCCCAATGTCAGATTTGTGCTGGCGGTGGGCAGTGCGGTCTTTGATGCCATGTTCAATGGCGGGATGGCTACAACGTCCTCCGAGATAGAACTACCCGACGTGGAGCCGGCTGCCTTCCTTGCTTTGCTGAAGTAAGCCCCCGCTTCCTCGGGAGGAACACAGCTCTCCAAAGAAACACCAGGCAATCGCTCTCCAGGGGCTGGATTCTAACAGCGGAGCGCTTGCTTCCCTTCTGCTTTTTTAAAAATTTATTTTTTAAAGGCACTAGCTCTCATGGTTATATAGAAATTTTGGGGGAGGATTCTCCAGACGCCAAGCCTTCAGATTTTGTGCAACACCTTAAAGTGGCCTCCTGCCCCACGGCCGGCCTTTGCTTTTCTGTTGAAGTTCTCTTTTCCATCTCCCTCCTTCCTGTAAGTCCTTGAGCAGATTAAACCCTTTTCTCTTACGAGGCAGCAGGGCTGTGCTTCTGAGACCAGGGCAGCCTTAAGAGACCGGGAGATTTGTCTTTAAGGTTGTCCCTTTACCCCTGGGCCTGCCTTCGCCAACATGGTGCCCTCCAGGCATTGGTTGGGGCTGATGGGAGTTGTAGGGACCCCAAAGGGTCTTCCATTCTGACCCCCTGCAGTGCAGGAATCTCAACTAAAGCATCCAGGACACATGGCCATCCAGCCACCACCTCCCTAGGGAGACCGTTCCACTGTGGAGCAGCTCTTAACCTCAGAAAGTTTCTCCTGATGTTGAGTCGGAATCTCCTTTCTTGATTTGGGTCCTCCCCTCCAGAGCAGGAGAAAACAAGCTTGCTCCCTCCTCCTCCTGAAATATTGGAAGATGGCTCTCCTATCTCCTCTCAGTCTCCTCTTTCCCAGGCTAAACATCCCCAGCTCCCTCAACCGTTCCTGATAAGAGAAGCTCCCTGATTCACCCCATGGCATCTACAGCCAGGGGGTGAGGAAAAGACCCCGAGTCTGAAATCCTGGAGAGCTTCCAGTCAGTGTAGACAATGCTAAGTTAGACAGAACCAGCCTTCTGACTTGGTATGAGGTACAGTGGTGCCCCGCAAGACGAAAAACCCGCTAGACGAAAGGGTTTTCCGTTTTTGAGTTGCTTCGCAAGACGATTTTCCCTATGGGCTTGCTTCGCAAGACGAAAACGTCTTGCAAGTCTTGCAAATTTTTTTCGCTCCCCCCCCTTTTCCTAAGCCGCTAATAGCCTTTTAGCCGCTAAGCCACTAATTCTTTAATAGCCGCTAAACCACTAATAGCGCTAATCCGCTAAGCCGCTAATAGGGTTGCTTCACAAGACGAAAAAACCGCTAGACGAAGAGAATCGTGGAACGGATTCTTTTCGTCTTGCGAGGCACCACTGTATCTTCCTGCTTTACTAGAACGGGGATTTTTGTGGGCGAGAGAGTTTTAATGAACATTTCAGCTCCAATGTTTTTGGCTGCAGTCCACAAGGAGTTTGTTTTATTTCATTTATTGTTTATTTCTGCAGCCTGTCGGTCCTCCTTTGTCATGTCGACCTGACCCCCTAGGGCAGTTTCCAACAGCTCACTAAGTACAATAAACACCTAAAAATGTAACAGTTGTTAAAAGCAATCCAACTAATAAAACAAGCATAGACGTACAGCATAAAAGCAAATAAGAAGAGTAAGTTACTCCCAGGGGGTGGATTGTGTGTGTGTGTTTGTGTAGCTCGTGGAAACCGAGCTTTTAAATAACCCATGGAAAGCCAGACTGAATCAAGTGAATATACTTTTTAAAAACAAACAAAAATTGAAGGTCCAGGTTTGTTTGAGATGCAGTATGGTGTAGTGGTTAGAGTGCCAAACTCGGTCTGAGGATAGCCAGGTACAAATTGCATCGCACCCTTTTAGTCACAAAGCTTGCCAGGTGCAGTTTGAGCAAGTCACTACCTCTCAGGCTAACATTATCCTCACACCCAACCTTGAGAGTTGAAATGGGAGTACAATATTATGCTCTTTGGAAGCAGCCATTATTATTATTATTATTATTATTATTATTATTATTATTATTATTATTACCCGCCCCTATGGCTGGGTCTCCCTAGGCAGCTTCCAGCACATACAAAAACATAGCAAAACAAGCTATAAATGTTATTTAGCAAGTACGCATACCTGCCCTGCCCAGCCTAGCATGCTCTCCACTCAGAGAGGTCCCTATTTAATTTTTAAAAAGAGGTTTCTAGTCCTCCTTGTGCCTGAAAATTGCAAGAAAGAGGAGGCAGACACCCCCAGGCTTCTGGTGGTGTGCTATGACTGGGCTGCTGCTGAGTCATGTGCAAAATGGAGACCCCCCCCCAATCTCCCATTTATGGGCACAGAGAACCTTTCATACCTAACAGCTAACTTATTCCATGCTAGTGCTGTATCTTAAGTCAAAATCCTTGTTTTTAATTGCAGCAGTGCTTTCTTCCTGCCCTCCCTGCTCTCGCTCCCAGGTTTCTCTATTCGGATGAGGTTCAGATAGGGCCGGAGACCGTGATGACGACCCTTTACACCGCTAAGAAGTACGCCGTCCCCGCGCTCGAAGCCCACTGTGTGGAGTTCCTCAAGAAGAACCTCAGGGCAGATAACGCCTTCATGCTCTTAACGCAGGTATGCTTGCACAGGAGGTTCTGTGCTGGCAGAGGCTGTCGCGAGTGGTGGTCCCAACTGATCTGGAGGGCACCAGGTTGGAAAAGGTGGTGTAGGCCATGCCGGCTGACCTCAGCTGACCCCCAGTTCTTTGCTGAGACAATGCCTTTCAAACTCTATGGGGAAAGGTTGCACCATTGGGAACTTCTTAGTTCCGAGAAGATAATGTCAATTATTATTATTTTATTATTTATACCCTGCTCATCCAGCTAGGTTGCCCCAGCCACTCTCGGCGGCTTCAAACACATATGAAAACATAGTAAAACATCAAACATTAAAAACTTCCCAATACAGGGCTGCCTTCAGGTGTCTTTTAAAAATTGTGTAGTTCTTTTTCTCCTTGACATCTGATGGGAGGGGCTGTTCCACAGGGTGGGTGCCACCACTGAGAAGGCCCTCTGCCTGGGTTTCCTGTCACTTCACTTCTTGCAGTGTCTGGGCTGAGTGATGGGGGTAGAGACTCTCTTTCAGGTATACAGTGGTGCCCCGCAAGACGAATGCCTCGCAAGACGAAAAACCCGCTAGACGAAAGGGTTTTCTGTTTTTCAATGCGCTTCGCAAGACGATTTTCCCTATGGGCTTGCTTTGCAAGACGGAAACTTCTTGCGATTTTTTTCGCTCCCCCCCCCTTTTTCTAAGCCGCTAAGCCTTTAATAGCCGCTAAGCCGCTAATAGCCTTTTAGCCGCTAAGCTGCTAAGCCTTTAATAGCTGCTAAGCCGCTAATAGCCTTTTAGCCGCTAAGCCTTTAATAGCCGCTAAGCTGCTAAGCCTTTAATAGCCGCTAAGCCGCTAATAGCCTGTTAGCCGCTAAGCCTTTAATAGCCGCTAAGCTGCTAATAGCGCTAATCTGCTAATAGGTGTGCTTCGCAAGACAAAAAAACCGCTAGACGAAGAGACTCGCGGAACGGATTATTTTCGTCTTGCGAGGCACTACTGTACTGGGCCGAGGCTATTTAGGGCTTTAAAGGTCTACACCAACACTTTGAATTGTGCTTGGAAACGGACTAGGAGGCATTGAAGATCCTTTAGGACCAGAGTTATATGGTCCGGGCGGCCGCTCCCAGTCACCAGTCTGTCTGCCGCATTCTGGCTGCTGCCCTCCATAGAGTTACCCCACACACACATTTTAATTAACCTTTTATATTTTTATTTCATTTGCTGGCTGATGGCTGTCTTTCAGGCCAGACTCTTCGATGAGCCCCAGCTGGCAAGCCTTTGCCTGGAAAACATAGATAAGAACACATCTGACGCCATCAACGCAGAAGGCTTCACAGATATTGACCTTGGTGAGTCGTCTACTTTGCAGGCTCAGTGGGGATCGCAGCGTTGGTCGGTTGCTTGGATAATTCTCTGTACTGCTCGGGTTCTGGCTTCCTGAAGGGCTGGAATTGAGCCTGTGTAATAAAGGAAAAGGCAGGGGACGCTGTACTATTCACAGAACCCTCCTTGAGCATTTTCAAATTCATGATAAGTTGCTAGTCCCCATGGCTGCAAAGTATGCTGCCAAACAGTTCATGCAACACCCAGCAGGGAGAAGTAGCAGAATAGGACTTCCAGCAAAGGGGAGGGAGTTCTTGCTGTGCCCCTGGGCAGGTGTGCATAATTACAAATCTGATTCCTGCAGATTGGCACAGCAGTTCATGGTTGTTGTGTTGTTTGCTGGTGTGTGTGCATTTGCTGTTTTGGATACAAGCCTTTGAGGGTCCCAAGTTGATCCCAGAAACAACCGATTGAGGCTGTGCCAATTTGCGTCTGAGCTGAAGCGCCCCTTTGGGCTGCCGGTGGGGAAACTCAGCATGATTGAATGCTCCACCGTTGTTTTTAAGATATTCCTGCACATAGAAAGCTTGTGCATCAAGGCTTCTGGCCTTGCCATATCCCTACACCCTACTTTTCTATGTGCATTGTGTGTCTTGTTTATTATTTATTTTAAATGCATGCAGGAGCATTTAAGCATGCAAGTTTGAAGCAAAACGACACGTAAGCCAGGAGACAAGCCCCATTGGTCAGTATTTTGTGTCCCAGCTAAGTCGGTCTCTGCGTCAGGCGGCAGAGAGGACATTCTGTCCTTCCGTCTTCCACCAGCCGAGTGCCACAATGCCCATTGTCTGGCACACACAGGATGCTTGCCAACAGAGGTCTCGTATGTGCTGCTACATTCCTCCCAAGCCTCGCAGGAGGAAAAGGGCGAGTGGGAACAGGGCAGGGCAGCCAACAGTAGCAGCGGGGGCTGGCTTGCCCCACGTGCGGCCTTCCTCCTTCCGTCACGGCGTACCTCTGCATACGTGCAGAGACTGAGCAGTGCAGATTTGAGCCCTGGTTCTTCATCTGTGGCAGCGATCGTCAGGCTGCTATGGGGGAAAGTTCTGGTCTTCTTGGCAAGGGGATCAGATTGAGAGAGCCAAGCTCCCCGCTAGAACAGCCAGCCTTTGCTGTGTGGGGAGTGTTGCTGTTGCAACTCTCTGAGCTTCCTGTCCCACTGACCTGGTGATATTTCACCCAACAAGGTGCTTAACATGTTAGCTCGGGTATCCCTGGGTGTTGCTGAACTACAACTCCCATCGTCCATAGCCAGCTCAGGGATGGCAGGAATTTTACCCCCAGTGGGGTTTTGGAACTGGTCAGGAGAGTACGCGTTCAGGTCTGAGCACTGAGATTGACAGGACCTGGCCTTTGCCCTTATGCGAGAGCTGCATTTGCCCCAGAATTCTCTGCGACTCAGAGCAGTTGTTTCAGTTTGTGAAACTTTTCTCAAAGCTGTCTTTCAAAAACCAGTGAACCTCCCAGGTTCCTTCCTTTCCTGGATGAAATGGCAATAAAAACAGCTCCACACCGTCCCCGTTTGCCCTGATGTGTGGATAGGGGAGCCTGTGACCCTTCAGGGGGTGCCAGCTCCCAGAAGCCCCAGCGTTGTCAGTGGTCGGGATGATGGGAGTTGGAGTCCCGTCAGCATCTTAGATGCTGCAAGAAAGATATAGCATTCCTTCTGTGTGCAAGAAATGGGAGCATGCCTCTTCTCAGATCAGGGATGAGGATCAACCGTGAGCTGGCAGCTGGTGTGGCTGATGGAAATGGCTGCCCAGCAACGTTGTGGAGAGCTGTGGCTGCCCCTCTTCCCTGCCCTCAAGCCCTATATCACCGGGGCCTGCAGCTGACGCCCCACTCTCCTTGCCCGACAGATACACTCGTGGCTGTCCTGGAGAGGGACACCCTTGGCATCCGCGAGGTGCGCCTCTTCAACGCGGTGGTCCGGTGGTCCGAGGCCGAGTGCCAGCGGCAGCAGCTGCAGGTGGTCCCAGAAAACAAGCGGAAAACCCTAGGCAAAGCCCTCTCCCTCATCCGCTTCCCCTTGATGACCATCGAGGAGTTCGCAGCGGGTAAGCGGGGAGCCCTCCCTTGAAATCCAGGGGGTCTGGAGACTTAGCAGTTGAATGTCACAGGACCCTAAGCGGCTGCCGTATCCCAAGTCCAGGGTGTCCGCCCTGGAGCCCTTTCAAGCCCTGCCCGGGATTGAACCCAGGACTTTCTGTTACTGAAGAGCCGAGTCCCCTTTTGGACCACTCCAGGGAGTATCATAGCTGAATGAAGTCGCAAGCAGGATTCAAAATGTAAGCACCAGAAGGGAAAGACGCCAATTGCAATAGAGGAAATAACTGTGGGGTGTAAATGTGTCACGTAATGCAGCAGAAAGAAAGGGTGGGAACAAAAACATCATGGAGTTAAGGGTTAAGGAAAATAAGTATTAAAGTTGAAGGTTTTTTTTTAAACAAAATTCTGAAATTTAATAAAAAAGTAATATGAAAAAGAGCCTTGGACCTTCTGGAAAGCAGGTGCTCTACTGCCAAGCTCTAGGGTCCTTCCCCAAATGTGAATTAAGATTCTAGTCCTCATGGGGGGGGATTGTCTTACGCCAAATCAGACCTTTGGCCCATCTAGCTCAATATTGTCCACACTGACTGACAGTGGCTCTCCAGGGATTTGGGCAGGAAGTCCTTCTCAGGCCTACCTGAGGGTGCCTTCGGGGATTGAACCTTCTGCACGCAAACAGGGTGCTTGCTCTCTTTCACAGAGCAATGGCTAGTCCTGAGTCACCCTGTGGATTATTTCAGTGGAAGCTTTTTCGACCCGCTCCCCTTCTCTCCAAGGCTGCTTGCGGAGAAATAAAAGCCATTAAAATAAATGTGCAGAGTTACGTGTGCTGCCAGTTCGCGCAGCCCCACAAATGTCTCCTGGGAACAAAGAGGCACTTTTGCCGCTTGCTGTGGATGGCAAATATCGAGGGGGAAGCCAGGCAGTGATGCGGAGCAGGAAATATTCCTCTGCTGCCGCCGTTTTTTCCCCATGGGAAAATTCAGTTTCTGAAAAAACGGATTAGTAACACAATGGGAACTACAGTAGTCAAACTGGTTAGTTTCCATGTTACAATGAACGGCATCTTTTAAAGATCTCTTGTGGGCTTCTCATGAACACCTGGTTGGCCCAGCGTGAGGGCAGGATGCGGAATCAGGTCCCAGCTGATTTTGAGGCAGCATCGGGAAGTTTTCCAATTTATTCCCCCCCCCCCCTTGAAAACCCACATCAGTGGGGCTGGCTCTGGAGGGCAACTTGAGGTGCTGTGACAGAAGGGCTTGGGATACTTACAAGAACCAGAGGGTTCAGCGGATTGGGCGTAGCGCCCCCTTCTCTCTCTCTCTCTCTCTCTCCCTCTCCCTCTCCCTCTCCCCCCCCCCCAAAAAAATCTCTGGTTGTTGATACAAGTTCATTGACTGGTTCATCACAAAAGTGAAGGGGTTTGTGGCTGGAACATGTAGGAATGTGTAGGACACTTGGTGTTGATAACTCCCAATGTTGCAGTTTTGATCCCCCTCGTGCTCCCTTCCAGCTCTGCGATTCTGTTGTTCTATTTATTGCATTTACATCCCACATTTTCTCCCAAGAAGCACATGCTTCTCCTTCCTAATCCCACAGGGGATTAACTGCAAGGGAGGTTAGGCTGAGAAGCAGTTACTGGCCGCAAGGTTGCTCTGTGAGCTTCATGGCCAAGCGGGAATTCAAACCCTGGTCTCCCAGATCTTATGCCACTAGACCACAGTGGCTGCTGCGAGGAAACTCTTAGCAAACCACAGTTCCCAGGATTACCTGGGGGAAATTGTGATGGTTCAAAGTGGTATAGGTAAAAGGTAAAGGGACCCCTGACCATTAGGTCCAGTCGTGGCTGACTCTGGGGTTGCGGTGCTCATCTCGCTTTACTGGCCAAGGGAGCCGGAGTTCAGGTTCCGGGTCATGTGGCCAGCATGACTAAGCCGCTTCTGGCGAACCAGAGCAGCGCACGGAAACACCATTTACCTTCCCGCTGGAGTGGTACCTATTTATCTACTTGCACTTTGACGTGGTTCCGAACTGCTAGGTTGGCAGGAGCAGGGACCGAGCAACGGGAGCTCACCCCGTCGCGGGGATTGGAACCGCCGACCTTCTGATTGGCAAGTCCTAGGCTCTGTGGTTTAACCCACAGCGCCACCCGCGTCCCCAAAGTGGTATAAGAGTGCTGTAAATGTATATTGTGGATGCAGCAGCCGCTGGCTTGGCTCTGACCGGGTATTTTGCCAGCACGCGATGAGGAGTCCTCAGCAGCCATTCTCCAGCCAAACATTCACACACACTACTTGGGGGCGGAGAATCCGGCCTCTGCAGCCACAGTCTTTCTGAACAGAGTAACAGCTGTGCTGCCGCCACACCTTTCCCTCCAGAGCAAATATTTGCTGAAGGGCTTTGCGGCCAGGAACTGTTGGCAGCAGGCAAAAGCTGTGAAGCAACTGCCCCCCCCCCCAGGCGGCGGATTTTGGATAAAGTGTGAGAGTGTATGATGTGGGCAGGAGGACACTGTCCATCATAGAATCACAGAATGGTAGAGCTGGAAGGGACCCCCAAAGGTCATCCACCCCAGCCCCCTGCAATGCAGGAATCTCAGCTAAAGCTTCCGGGACAGAGGGCCATTCCACCTCTGCGTTAAGAAGGTAGAGCGTTGAGGGGGAGGGCCATTGCTCAGCGGCAGAGCATCTCCAGGTGGGATGGGAATGCCCTCTGTCTGAAGCAAAGTTGGAAGGACATCTAATTCAGGGATGGATAAGGCCAAGGGCCACATGACCTGAGGCACATGACAGTGGTGGGCGGGGCCAGAGGCTAGTGCCTGTAAATACTACTACTACTACTAAGTTTGTATGCCACCCATCTGACTGGCTTACCCCAGCCATTCTGGGCAGTTTCCAGCAAATTAAAAACACAGTGAAACATCACACATTTAAAACTTTTCCTATACAGAGCTGCCTTCAGATGTCTTCTAAAAGTCAGATAGTTGTTTATTTCTTTGACGTCTGCTGGGAGGGAATTCCACAGGAGGTGCCACCACCGAGAAGGCCCTCTGCCTGCTTCCCTTTAATCTCACTTCTCACAGTGAGGGAACCGCCAGAAGACATTCAAGGTGGACCTCAGTGTCTGGGCTGGACGTTGGGGATGGAGACACTCCTTCAGTGATTCAGGGCTGTTTAGGGCTTTAAAGCTCAACACACAACGCTTTCAGTTTCATTAGATGACTCCAATTTCTAGCATTGCGGGAAAAGGAGAGGGTTGTTTCTCCTGTCCTTATCTTCTTCATGTTGTGTGTCAGCTTTGTGAGCTCTTTCCTAGAAACAGGGAATTGTAGTTTTGGAGTGGAGAGTTATTATTATTATTATTATTATTATTATTATTATTATTATTATTACTATTAATTGTATATTGCCGTATGCCTGCAGGTCTCAGGGCAGTTACGACTATACTTGGGTTTAGCTTCCCATAGCAATCTGCTCTGTGACCCTGAACAGTTGCCCAGACGTGTTCTCCCTCTTTCTCTCTTGGGTAAGAACATCCTAAAGAGTCCTGCAGCTGGATCAGGGTGACAAGGGGCCCGCCTCGTCCAGCCTCCTGTTCCCACGTTGGCCAACCAGGTGCCTCAAGGGGAGCCCTCAAGCAGGATCCGGGCGCAAGAGCAACTCTCCTCTTTCGTGATTCTCAAACCCTGGTATTCGGAGGCATTTACTTCCTCCGAGAGTTGGGAGAGAGTATGGATGCAGGAGCTCGTAGCCATGAACCGCCTTCTCCTCTGTGAATATGTCTAACACCCGGGTTGGTGACCATCCCTGTTCCTGGCAGGAACAAATCCCATAGTTTAAACTGCACAATTAAACTACAAAATTCCCTTCCGGAGTAACCTTGGCCGGGTGTGACTTGGTTGTGACAATTCAATATTTTTACAGGTTATTTTAAAAAATGGTAGTGCTTGGTGTCTTGCGACTTGCTGTCATCTTAATCGCTTATAGTCTAGTAATGATTTGTTGTAATCATTGAAGGTGATTATTTGGTGAGAGTTTGAGAGTTCATTTTGCTGCGTAATGTTATATTCCAAATGGATTATCAAACATTAAATTATTCAGTAGTAGCTGTTTGTTTTTCACTACGACCTGCTTGCATTGGACGGGGTTGCTATAAGCCGCGTGAGCCTCCTTGTGCATTTTGTTGTTTCTTCAGCTTGTAAATGGCCTTGTGCAATATGGAAAGGCAGCGTACAAATGAAAAGCGAAATGAAATTAGAAGAACAAGGGAGGGACCAAGTAAAAAAGCCAGTAAACGTGGCATTGAATCTCACGCTGTCCTTCTTGACGTTTCCTGCTGCCTTTCCCCAGGGCCAGCTCAGTCGGGCATCTTGACCGACCGCGAAGTGGTCAGCCTGTTCCTGCACTTCACCGTCAACCCCAAGCCGCGGGTGGAGTTCATCGACCGCCCCCGCTGCTGCCTGCGGGGGAAGGAGTGCAGCATCAACCGCTTCCAGCAGGTGGAGAGCCGTTGGGGGTACAGTGGGACCAGCGACCGGATCAGGTGGGATCTTGGGACCCTGACGCCACTCGCCTGCTCCCCAGCAGAGAGCCTTCTCCCGCGGCTTGTCCAGCTGGGTTGGGAGGGAGGCTTCTGGGAGAGCAGGCACCGAGGTTCCCCAGATCCTGGCGCCTTCCAGGCATTGCCAGACTACGACTCCTAGCAGTCAAGGGTGATGGGAGGCAGGAGTCCCAACGTCTGGAGCATCTGAGGTTCTCCATCCCGGATTTAAAAAGCAGCATTTCCCTCAAGGTCCATAAATAGCAACACCCTAGTGGTCCCGGGCCCTAAGAAAGTCAGATTAGCCTCAACTAGAGCCAGGGCCTTTTCAACACTGGCCCCAGCCTGGTGGACCGCTCTGTCTCATGAGACCAGGGCCCTGCAGGATCTGATTTCTTTCCACAGGGCCTGTAAGACAGAGTTGTTCCGCCTGGCCTTTGGCTTGGAATCAACTTGATCCCCTCCCCCTCTTTCCTTTCTCCTTCTATGATGGAACTCCTATTGGGAACTTCCCTGGCTTTTTTCTGGCCCACGTAGGACCAGTCTGGATAGTTGGCCTAGGTGAAGACTTGATGTTTTCATCCCCCCAAAAGTTTTTGATTTGAATTCTTCCTGTAATGAGGCTGCATTTTAATGTTGTATTTTAATCTCGTTTCTAAGTTTTATTTCAATCAATTGTTTTTATACCGGTGTTAGCCACCCTCACTGGGGAGGGCGGGGCATAAATAAAAGTTAATAATAATAATAATAATAATAATAATAATACTGCAGGCAAGAGGTGAAAGAGCACCTCTCCTGAGAACAGGGAATGCATCTTAGACCAGGGGAGGGGAAACCTGTCGCCCTCAAGGCAGTGTTCGAAATTTGTGAGGTGCCCGGCACACTTTGCACCTGGATATCGGCCATTTGGAACCAAGTGAAGATGCCTGGGCACTAGGATGGCTCCTGACATCTCCACCATCCGGGGATCCTTGGATCAGGACCTGTTTTCACACACTAAGGCTCCATCCTGTAGAATTCTATCGGTTATATTTTATCCACCCAATTGGAATGAATTTCAGCAACCAAAATGCTTTTTTCTGTGCGTCCTGAGCAGGAGCAGGGAACAGCGTTATAGCAAATTGTTGTCACTTGTCTTTGCTTCCCGCCCCCTGCCTTGCTCACAGTTGTGAATAATATCCCCACGTCCATGTCACCATTAGGAAAAAGAGGTCGGAATAGGCCAATATATATGTGGACTGTCCCTGGGTCAAGGGACTTTTCTTCTTTCAGTTCTCAAAGTTTTTAAGATAGCTCCGAACCAGCCAGATGTTTAACTGAGAATCCACAGTCAGTCCCTCATTTTAAAAACAAGACCTTATAGCTGTCTTGCTCAAAAATGGCAACTAGACATTCCATTTTGGCGACTGTAACCTTGATTTAAGGAGCCTTTTGGCACCTGGCTTATATAGGTGAGTTTCTAACACTGCCTCCGTGAGTTGCTGGGTTCCTCCTCGCGTTGGTCCCCGGCCACCTTGGCTGCCGTGTCAGGGATGCTGCGAGCAGGAGTCTGGTATCATCTGCGAGACCCCCAAGCCCACCCACCCCAACCTTCGCTTGACTGTATCCAGCAGGATTCTTCTGTGCTTGATCTTCTGTACTTTCCCTCTCCAACCCTCCAGGTTCTCTGTCAACAAAAGGATATTTATCGTCGGATTTGGGTTGTACGGATCCATCCACGGCCCAACAGATTATCAAGTAAATATACAGGTAGAGAACTCTCCAGGTTTTGACTTGGGGCAGGGGCGGGCGAGGTGGGGCAAGGACGAAGATCCGCGAAAGGGGCCAGGCAGGAAGGGAGAGGGGCGTAACTGGCTCCCATCTGCTTTTCCGTCCATCCAGCAACCGATGGTTGTTGTGGAAATGTGGTACCCAAGGATGGGAGGCAGTGGAGGGAAGTTTTCCCACTAATACTTTTTAGGTGCTTGTTTTTGAAGAAAGGTGGGGCACCCAGTGGCTATGTACCTTGGAAGATCCCTGTGTTAACCCCTCCCCGCCCCCTGTTGCAGCCGAAAAGGGACTTTGGCCCTTTGAGGGAGGGGAAAGCCTCTTCTCCAAGCCTGAGACTGTGGAGCAGTAGTTGGGGGGTGGACAGCAGAGAGCTCAGCAGACCCCCACAGCACAGCTGTGGCCCGAAGGCAGCTGTACCTGGAGCCTCCATAGCAAAGGAAAAACCCCGGAAAATCCAGGGTGGCTTGACTTTTATTTTTAAAAGTATTTCATGTTGTTAAAAACAACTGTGTGTGTCTGAGCGCAATACTGCAGAGCAGGACAGCATTGGCGAGATCAGTGTTTCCAAAAGCTGTGGGTCTCCAGCTGCTTTTGCTCCCGTCCTCCCTAGCTAACAGGATCCGTGGTCAGGGATGATGAGAATCGTAGTCCCAAAACAGCTGGAGGGCCAAGTTTGGGAAGCCCAGGGCTAGGTGGACTCGGAGTTCTGGTTCCGTAGGCCAGGGAGAGGAGTTTACATCTTCATTTGCAAAGGTGTCGTGAGTTTAAAAGGTTTCCCTTTCTTTCTCTTTTTCTCTTCCTCCACTGCCTCCCCCCAGATTATTCACACCGACAGCAACACAATCCTGGGCCAGAATGACACCGGCTTCAGCTGCGATGGGTCTTCCAACACTTTCCGGGTCATGTTTAAAGAGCCCGTTGAGATCTTGCCCACTGTCAGTTACACAGCCTGTGCCACCTTGAAGGTAACTCTGCACGGGGGGCTGGGCGGGGGGAGCTTTTTCTGCCCTTTTCTGCCCTGCAAACATTCCAGGTCCTTTTATATTTGGTTTTGAAGACGTGCTTTGTCCTGGCTGGGGAAGGTGAGGAGGAGGGGGACCGCCACAGTCCACCAAGGCTGGTCTTGCGGCTCACTAGATGCCTGTTCCTTTATTTTATTTTAAAATTCCATTTATTATTCCATTTATATCCCCATCTTTTGTACAAGCTTCTTGCTCCTCTCCATTTTATCCTCACAACAAACCCGCAAGGTGGGTTTGGCTGAGAGACGGTGACCAGCCCCAAATCACCCATTTCTGTGGTTTTGTTCTTGTTTTCGTAGTCTTGGGCGAGTAGAATGGCAAGTGGGCTCCTAACGGTGTTAGAAACTCGAATATATAAGCCAATCGCCAAAGGGTACCTTAAACTGAGGTATGTCTAGGTGCCTAACCCCCTCCCCCCGATGGTGTTTGTATAGTGGTAATAGTTGTTTTCATTTCATATCTATACCGCTTTATATTGTAAAGTAAAAATCCCAAAGCGGTTGACAACACATTAAAGCATCAAATAAAACATTCCAGAATAAAACAAATTCAAATTTCAAGGAAAATCTTTCAGATCCTTCTGTAAGTGACATTTTGCTTTCCGTCTATTTATTTACCTACTTAATTATAGAGCTTCCCCCTAGCAGAAGGGCTCTAGGAAGGCAGGGTGGCAGAGTGGTTAGAGTGTCAGACCTGGGAGATCAGGGTTCAAATCCCCACTCAGTCCTGAAGCTCACTAGGCCGACCCTGGAGTCAGTCCCAGCCTCTTAGCCCACCTCACAGGGTTATCGTAAGGATTAACATGGGGGGGGGGTTAAAGCATGCAATCCTTGGAGAAAAAGGTGGGAGTTAAATGCAAAAAAAATCAGCTCTTCTGCTGACCTGCTGAAGGAAGCTGGAGGGGGGGCAGCCAGGTGGAGATGTCAGTAGCCCACCTGCTGCCCAGAGATCTCCATAGGGTCGCAGCTGGACTTGCACCAGTCACAAAACGTGCCTGGTGCCTGGGTAATTTCTAACAGTGGTTCCTAAATGTTCCCCCCTCCAACATAGGCCACCCTTTACAGCTAGTGGACTGTTCAGCCCCAACATCAGCTGCAAGTCTCTCTTGTGTGTGGGGTCACCAGTGTTGTAATTGCTCAGGTCAAAATCGCAGCTGTGGAGCTCACTAACCTAAATGGCCTCGGTCCAGTATACCTGAAGGAGTGTCTCCACCTCCATCGCTCTGCCCGGACACTGAGGTCCAGCTCCAAGGGCCCTCTGGCGGTTCCCTCCCTGCGAGAAGCCAAGTTACAGGGGAACAGGCAGAGGGCCTTCTCAGTAGTGATACCCGCCCTATGGAACGCCCTCCCACCAGATGTAAAAGAGAAAAATAACTACCAAACTTTTAGAAGACATCTAAAGGCAGCCCTTTAAAGGGATGCGGGTGGCGCTGTGGGTAAAAGCCTCAGCGCCTAGGACTTGCCGATCGTCAGGTCGGCGGTTTGAATCCCCGCGGCGGGGTGCGCTCCCGTCGCTCGGTCCCAGCGCCTGCCAACCTAGCAGTTCAAAAGCACCCCCGGGTGCAAGTAGATAAAGGTAAAGGGACCCCTGACCATTAGGTCCAGTCGTAGCCGACTCTGGGGTTGCGGCGCTCATCTCACTTTATTGGCCGAGGGAGCCGGCGTACAGCTTCCGGGTCATGTGGCCAGCAGGACTAAGCTGCTTCTGGCTAACCAGAGCAGCACACGGAAACGCCGTTTACCTTCCCGCCGGAGTGGTACCTATTTATCTACTTGCACTTTTGACGTGCTTTCGAACTGCTAGGTTGGCAGGAGCAGGGACCGAGCAATGGGAGCTCACCCCGTCACAGGGATTCGAACTGCCGACCTTCTGATCAGCAAGTCCTAGGCTCTGTGGTTTAGACCACAGCGCCACCTGCGTCCCCAAGTAGATAAATAGGGACCGCTTTCTAGCGGGAAGGTAAATGGCGTTCCGTGTTCTGTGCTGGCTCGCCAGATGCAGCTTGTCGCACTGGCCACGTGACCCGGAAGTGTCTCCGGACAGCGCTGGCTCCCGGCCTCTAGAGTGAGATGAGCGCACAACCCTAGAGTCTGGCAAGACTGGCCCGTACGGGCAGGGGTACCTTTACCTTTACCTTTAAAGGCAGCCCTGTTTAGGGAAGCTTTTAATGTTTAATAGGTTATTGTATTTTAGTGTTTGGTTGGAAGCCGCCCAGAGTGGCTGGGGAAACCCAGCCAGATGGGCGGGGTATAAATAATAAATTATTATTATTATTATAACCTCAGCTTCGGGGGGCTTTAAAAAGAGGATTGGACAAATTTGTGGCAAAGAAATCTATTGATGGCCTCGGAAAATGCCTCCGAAAACCCCAGGAGGGGAGAATTGCTCTTGTGCTTTGAGTCCTGTGGGAGGGTTTATCCCTGGGGCCTCTGGTCGGCCACTGAGAGCAGGGTGCTGGCCTGGGGCCTGACTGCAAGACTGCTTACATGCTCTCTCCCTTCTCTCTCCCAGGGCCCCGATTCCCACTACGGCACCAAAGGGCTCCGCAAAGTGATCCACGAGTCGCCGACGACGGGGGCCAAGACCTGCTTCACCTTCTGCTACGCCGCCGGCAACAACAACGGCACGTCCGTGGAGGACGGACAGATCCCCGAGATCATCTTCTACACATAGGGGCCGCCGCGGGGGGATAGCTCGCTGCCGGGCGGACGGCCATGTGCTGCCCCCCTCCTCCCGCCTCATCTCCCCCCCTCCATGCGCACCCCTTGCGTGTCCTTCCCAGCTGAAACCGCAGGCTGTCCTCTGCCGTGCTGGCAGGAGGGCTGCTAGCCGGGGCTGGGGGCCCAGCAGGGCCGACACCGGGATCCCACTGTCGGGACGATTCGCTGGCCTGAGTCGGGCCGGGGCGGCAGCTAGCAGTTCCTTCTGCCCAGGCCGGCAGCTCGGCTCTACCATTGCATCGTGAACGTAGCCGCTTCTACATCCAGCTGTTGCAGTGGGGAGGCAGGGGCAGGCTCGCTCTTGCGGATGGACAATCCCTGCCAAAGGAAGCCCCCCTCTGGGCCAGGATCAGGCCGGACAGGGGGATGCGGCAGGGCAAGGAGGAAATGTGTTTCTGACGGCTTCTCACCTGGCAAGGCTTGACCCAGAACGCCCTTTCTGCAGGACCCTGGCCAGCCCAGGTGGCTCCTGCCCTCGCCGGACAACTACCTTATCGTGTCACGGGACAGATTTTTTGGGGAGGGACTCGTCCCTGAACGCGAGGCAGTGAGGGTGATTCGCAGCCACAAAAAAACTTGCCTTGTTTGAAGAGTGGCTGAAGTCCCTGGACTCTGATCGTCAATATGTTGCTTGCTGCTAATAATAATAATAATAATAATATAGTGCAACTCAACAATGCATTTTACTCTTCTACGGTCTCCTTTTGAGTCTGGTTCCCATTCACAAGCTGGTGCCGTGACTGATTTGCTCGTTTGGGGGTTGCTTTTCGAGCTGGGAGATGTCTCGCTAGGGCTTCGATGAGCTGAGTTTCCCGAAAACCCAGCAGCCAAACAGAGGTTTAAGAATCCCCACCCCTAGAAAACCCTGGGCGTCTTGGTGACCTGACAGAAACGCATCAAACCTAGGCGGCTTTTGTGCTAAAGGTGGGATCCCCACCAGCACTGATTGGACAGTTCATTTTCCCTTCCCACCCCGTGAAATCTCCTGCCTGTGGAAACCTGCAAGCAATTTGCCTTAGGTACGCAGCTGTCATCACCTGAACCCTAGCTGTGCTCGAAAGCTGGCGCTGCTGGGCTTCTTAAAAATAAATGCAAAAAGTTTATTTGTGGTAGACCACCCAGTGCAAGTCCCTATGTTCGTTACCTGCACTTGTGAGCCTCAATATGGCCAGTATGGATAATGGAGCCATTCCTCAGCTACAAGCTTCTCATCGGTGCAAAAGCCTTGGTGTGTCTCTGGCTTCTTCCGAAGAGTGCGCTAGTGCATGTTGCTGCAGCAGTGGCGCATCAATTTTGGAGGGGCTTTCGACTGCCTCTCCTCTTCCATTTGCTCTCCACCCCCACCCCCCTTCTTGAGCTGTGTACATAGACGCCCCCCCCCCCAGTCTGTATATAGAGATCACTGAATAGGTTCCAAACACAGCTACTGACTTTTTGCGTGGCTGAGTAGCTTAAATTTAACTGCAGTTGCAGCCCTCTCCCCCAATTGGAATCTCACTAATGCACCCTTCTTGGTTATAGGATATGCTGGGGATGGTGGTGTTTGTTCACACCAGTCGAAGGCAGAATCCTATCCAGTCGATGGTTCTTGGGCCCTGGTGCGAATCCTGCCCTTCACAAACTCGCTTGCCCACCACGCCTAGCCCCCAACCTCTTGGAAGGTCCGACGCGCCTGGAAATTTGCTCATGTTAAATAAGACAGAAATATAATGAATGTATCAGATGTGCTATATATACATATTATATATATAATTTTCAGTGTTCACCCTGGTTTCTCTGATTTGTAAATAGGAAATCCAATAAAAGGCAGGTTGTCTTTCAGCAAGGGATTCTTTGTGATTTGAAAGGAGAAAGGGGGCTGTATGCAAAAGCGGGAAAATTTTAAAAACGCAGAGGGCGATTCTTTCGCAGACCAGGCCTGCTCCTTTGCGTATCAATAGGGAGAGGGAAACGTCATGCTGAATAGTTTGCCGCCTTCTCCTGCCACTTATTTTGGACTACCAATGTCTGCACCCAGCACAGCGACTTAATAACTTCCTCTCCACTATTTGGGTTTCCCCAGTGCGGCTTTAAAGGTCGGTTGCAATTCCTGGCAAGCGACGGAAGACGTGTCCATTTCTTTTTTAAAAAAGGAAACCTCAGCCTCAAAAAACTCCTAAGCCCAGTGGGCAGGGTATAAATAATGAAATGATTGTTTTAAAAAGTATTTTTTGCCACATGTTTTTGCTTTGTCCTGTGAGCTGGAAAGCATGATCCAGGATTTTGCCCACATGCGCACAGGCACTCCTACTCTTGCCACCCTGGAAGCAAAATAACGGCGCCTGCACATCTTGGCTGGCGGGGGCTCAAGGTGCACTGCTCCCTGTCTTGATAGCCCTTAAAAACATGAGGAATCGACACTAAAATGAAGAGATGAAAATGGTGTTTCTGGAAAAATTGGAGGCCTTTTTGGGACTGTCTCAAATGTATTATAGCAATATGAAATCATGAGGATTTGAGGGAGCAGCGGGGGGAAATTGACAAGACGTGGGTTAGTAACAAAAATGTAAGTGAATATATATTGTGCGTAAATTTGCTACCACCTTTGAAAAACCTTAATAAAAATTTATATATTTTAAGAAGCCATGGGACTGCTCCCAGTTGAGTAGATCAACTGGGGCCTAGGTGGGAGAGGAGAAATGTTCCTTTTGGCAATGAATATGGGTGAGGGGGAAAGGAGTTTCACAGTAGTGGCTCACTTTCAGCATGGACTGCAAGGGAAGTCCACTTTGCTGGGTGTCACTGTCCAAAGTGGGCAAGCTTCAAGCTTGCAGGATCTAATCTTTGGGGTTTTTAAAAATCAAAACACAGGTCTACCAACCAGCTTTTATGAACGTACAGTGGTACCTCGCAAGACGAATGCCTCACAAGACAAAAAACTCGCTAGACGAAAGGGTTTTTTGTTTTTTGAGCTGCTTCGCAAGACGATTTTCCCTATGGGCTTGCTTCGCAAGACGGAAACGTCTTGCAAGTTTGTTTCCTTTTTCTTAACACCGTTAATACAGTTGCGACTTGACTTCGAGGAGCAACTCATAGAACGCGGTGTGGTGGCCTTTTTTGAGGTTTTTAAAGACTTTGGTGATTTTTGAAGCTCTTCCAAAACTTTCCCGACACCGTGCTTCGCAAGACGAAAAAAATCGCAAGACGACAAAACTCGCGGAACGAATTAATTTCGTCTTGCGAGGTACCCCTGTACAACGCACACCAGGATCAATGGCCTCTCAGATACTTTAACAGCCAAGGAGCATTTCAGCCTTCACAAAAGTACCCAGATTTTTGCCCCGTCTGCAAACGTGTGTTGGAAAACCTGGTGGAATAATTCCCCCCTTTTTCTGCAATTGGAGCTCTCTTGATGTTACTGGACCCCCAACTTCCTGGCCAACGGGAAGCAGCGATGGCGGCATGAGGCCAACCATTCCTCTTGCAAGCAGCTCAGACGTGTGCTTTGCTGGCGCACCTCCATGTGCAAGCACAGTCTACCTTGGATTGCCACCAAGTGCAAGACTGGTTCATGCACAGTGCTTGTGGGCTTCCTACTTGGGAGGAGAGTTGTGGTTCAGTGCTTAGGAGCACCTCCTTTGCAAATGCAAGATCCCAGCTTCAGTTTCCAGGCAAGGCTCAAAGAGACCTAAAACCTTTGCTGCTGCCGATCAGTGTCGACAATACTGAACTAGCTGGACCAATGCTGCAACTCTTGGTTGCTGCTAAATCAGCCCTTTATTTAGAATCATGAAGACTAGCATAGCGAGGAATGTCTGCTGCCTGAAACCCCAAACAGTGTGGTCTTCTACGTCCTGGTATGACACTGTAAACCAGGGTTTCCCCAAACTTGGGTCTCTTGCAGCTTTTGGACTACAATTCCCATTATCCCTGACTTGCTAGCTATGGATGATGGGAGTTGTAGTCTTAACAGCAGCTGGAGCCCCAAGTTTGGGAAAGTGCTCTAACCTACACTACACCCTGGGTTATAGGAACTTCCGGGAACAAACATTAAGAGTACCACACCCTCCTGTTTCAGCCAAAACCCAAAGAAACATCTTTGCAGAATTTATTTTTCAAGTTTTTTTTTAATTTTTTTGTTTTTCAGGGTTTTTTTGCTCCTTGTTTTTTGAATTTTTTTAATTAAAAAAAAAAGCCCCTAAACCTCTATGGCTTTCAAAGAAGCTTCAGAGAAACTTTTATATGCCATTTACCTGTGTACATTTTTGTTTTGCTTAAAGCAGTTAAACTAAAAACTGACAACGCAAAAGTGTCTCTCGCCGCCTCGAGTTTTTGGAATCACATTGGCAACAGATCTCGTCTCTGTGCAGACTCAAATCGATCACAACACCCCCCCCCCAAGTTTTGTTAAGCAAAAAAAAAGCAATTTTATTTTCTAAAAAACCAAACAAACCACCATTGCTGGGTCTGCAAGATTCATTTTGATGCAAGCGTCTGACAATCTGGGCCCAAACGGCAAAAACCACACCTTGATGTCGACCTCTGTCAAGGTAAATCATTTCAAAGTCTGCCCTTTTTAAAAACCAGAATAATCCACATTGCAACTGGTAATCCAAGCACACTCACATGCACTCTTTTTACATAAACATTTTAATTTTAATTTCTCTTTTACACCCTTCCTGGGACTGGAACTACATTACCACACCCCCCCAAGCATATCGTTTAAGGCTGAATTTTTTAATTCCCTCCCCTCCTCTTTTGCACTGTTTGGGGAACAAGCTCAAACATTGCACGTATCTAAGGAACCCTATTTTTAGTGAAAGTCGCCAGAATCGAGGATTATAATTTTTTCCTGCCCTTTACCTTAACGCCTCCTCCCATTCCAATGCCCCCTTTCCCCCCCCCAAAACCCACACACCCATCTTTTGAGGCACTGAGTTTATAAACCTAAGACCAGATAGAGCAAGACGATAATCTGAATTTTTTTTTAGTTCTTTCTCCTCCCCACGCCCTGCCTTTACTTGCCATAAAAGAAAAAAGGGGGCAATCCCCCCCCCCAAATCCCATCTTTAAAAGCACACACAACTGAAAACTTAATTTCGGCTTTTTGCAAGGGGTCCGATGTAGAGAGAGAGGCATGGGGTGGTCGGGGGGCCTTGCATTCTGGCACTAATTCCCTCCAACACAACTTGGGGTCGGGGGGGGGGTCTGCTGTCCAGGAACGAGAAGGACTAGAACCTTAGATCCCACTGTTAACCAATTTGACTCTAGCACAATCAAGTGAACAAGACGAGGGCAAGCATACACAGCTTTGGTGGGTATTTTTTTCCCGTGGGGGGGGGGAGAGACAGGTAGTGGGAACCGAAGCAACGGGGGGGGGGAGTATTACTAGTGAGGAGGTGCGGCAGTTTTAAGACACGTAGAATTTGGGCGACGTGGGTGCCATTTAGTGCAAGAGACCAAGGATCCCCCCCCCAAAAAAAACTTCCCTGCCTGTCTAAGCACAGCCCCCCCGATAGCCAACCATAGCCTGACATTAACAAGTGTCGTGATTACAACATTTGTAGGTGGGGGGACGGGACGACAGGCTTTTTAAATTTTATTTTAAAGGAAGCAGAACATGCTACTCTGAAATAGGTGCAAAGGAAGGCAGTGCCCTCCCCTTCTCTGTATAAAAATATATTTGTCTATAAAGAAGCAGCAAGGCTTCTCAGTCCTTGTTTGGAAGCAACGGACCCTCCCCCCCAAAAGTGTGCCCGGAAACTTTGCGGGGTGGGGGGTGGGGGTCCGGTTGGCTGGAAGAGAGGGGGGCACAAACACACCTTCACCAAGGTGTGGTCCTAACTGGCGGTCCACCCTTGGTGGGATTTAAAGATGGCCAAGAAACCCAGAAGGAAAGGGGGGGAGTGCTCCCCACCGCCCCAAAACAACCCCCGAGGAAGAAATCTGCTTCTACCCATTTCCTTGCTCCCGGCAGCAAAATGCACAAGATTTAAAACTGTAGCAGAGAGCCGGACTTTGCAAGACAACATCCTGTAGCTGAGCAGTTTAGCAAAAACTGGAATTTTTCACTGTGTCTGATCTGTATTTGGAGGGGGGGACACAAAAACAACAGGGTGGATTGTCCTCACATGAATTTGTTCAGCCAAAGTTTTCTTTTCACCCCCTCCCATGGAGCTTTCGCCACAGGTCTGTTCTGGTTGGAAGTTTTAGGGGACTAGGCTTGACCCCTGCAGATCAGATTTCGATTTTTGGCTTTGGCCACCCCAAACCCTCTCCATTCTGAACCCCCCCCCAAAATTTTCTCATAGCAACGGAAGTCGTTTTGGGGTTCATCTTGGCCGGCAGCTGTTCCTGAGATCCAAGGCCCCCCCACCCCCAGCGAGTCAGTGGGTTTTTAAAAAAATTAAAGGAGAATCTAGCTTTCCTCAAAACGAACCCCAAAGAATTCTCTAAAGCCCGGTTAATTTCAGGACACAGGTGTATTGCTACCCAAAAAAAGTGCATTGAGAAATGAAGATTCGGAAGTGTAAACGAGCTGCTTTCCTCCCCAGACGCGAAACCCCCACTTTGCCCCCCCCAGCCGTGCTCCAGACCGGGGGGGGCACCCCAGGGACTTCCCTCTGTCTCCCCAAAAAAGGACCTTGGCCACAACTAAATCGGCAGGGGTTGGGGGCAGAAACTTAAGAGAGTTGGGAAGGGGGGGGCACAAATCTAAAACAAGATACTTTATGAAATTAAAAAAAAATATGATGCAAAAAACGTTTGCATCGCTACAAAAACAGAGGGGGGGGGAAAGAAAATAAGGAGACCGTCCCACAAACGCAACGACTAAGATGCAATTTTTAAATTAAGTTAAAGAGACAAAGAAACAGCAAAAGGGGGGGGGAGAGGAGGGATAGGGGGGGAATATTAGCTGCAGCTGACATTCCCAGCATCGTCCCAGCAAATCTTCTGCAAAGAACTGATTCCCGGGGTTCTTTTTTTGCTTCCAAAAAAATAATTCCGTGAAACCAAGATGAGGAAGGGGGGAGAGAAGAGTCCAGACAAGTGTGGGGTCCCCCCCCCCTTGGAGGGGGGCAGCTGCATAAATAGTTAATGCTTTTTTCTCTTTGCAAAACCAAGGAGGGGCGCGGGCACTTCCAAAGAAAGTTCAGCGACGTGCTTTTTCTTCCTCCTCCTGCCGGTTCCGCTTCCCTCTGTTGCTGTGTCTCTTGGAGGAAGGGGAAAGAAAATAAAAGAAATATATATATATATTCAGGCTGAGAGTGGGGGAGAGGCTTCCCCTCCTCTCCCCGGGTGAGCCTGCGAGTGGAGTCAAAGGCGGGTTGCACGCCACACGGACCCCTTGCGACTCTGGAGTAGGCGGAGGGGGAGAAGGCCCGTCCTCTCCCATCCGACCAAAGGATCAAGATCCATTATCCACAGACAGGAAGTGAAAAGGAAGAGGGGCGGAGGCTGAAAACCTAGCCCCGAGGGGACGCCGGCCTCGGCCAAAGCAGGGAAGGGGAGCACGTCACTTGTGGCGCTGGATGGTTTTCCTCTTCCGCCTCTTGAAGAAACAGCAGCACCTGAGAATCGAGGAGAGGAGGGCGTTAGGAGCCTTGCAGGCGGATCAGGCCCAAGCGGGGCACCTCGGACGGGGCCGGAGCACAAGAGCAAAACTCTCCTCCTGCCGCTTCCAGAAAGAGGCCCCCAAGGAGGCAAAAGCACTTGCCGAATCAGAGGACGGCAGAATTCGAAGGGTCTCTCCCCCCACCAGGGTCATCTAGTCCAACCCGAGCTTCCTCCCCCAGGCCAACCGCGACTCTGGGTGCCCCCCCCCGCGCGCGCAAGAAGACTTGGCTTACTCACTTAGTGTCATCAGCCACCTCGACCTCGGCGGGGGCGGTGATGGGGGCGTTTGAGTGGCCGGCAGTGGGGTCATCTGTGTTCAGCTCCCCATTGGTCGAACTCATGACCTGAGGAGGAAGGGAGAGGAGGCAGGTGAGGTGGGGGAGAGAGATGGGGCGCCCAGGGCTTGCACCCCTCTGCCTCTGGGGTTTTGCACAGAAATGCAAAGGTCAGGGTGCATTGGCCCCAAGACAGGACTCCCCCAAACACAGTGCATTGAGCCTGGCATTTGGAGCCGAATCCCTTCCAGGGAAAAGCAGTAAATAAAATAATAATAATAATAATAATAATAATAATAATAATAATAATAATAATTACTCTGGGTGGCTTCCAATGGAATATTAAAATACAAAAACCTATTAAACATTAAAACCTTCCCTAAACACGGCTGCCTTCAGATGTCTTCTAAATGTCAGGTAGTTGTTTATCTCTTTGAAATCTGGTGGGAGGGAGTTCCACAGGGCGGGTGCCACTACCGAGAAGGCCCTCTGCCTTGTTCCCTGTAACTTGGCTTCTCGCAGGGAGGGAATTGCCAGAAGGCCCTTGGCACTGGACCTCCGTGTCCCGGCTGAACAATGGGTGTGGAGAGGCTCCTTCAGATATACTGGACCGAGGCTGTTCAGGGCTTCAAAGGTCAGCACCAACTCTTTGAATTGTGCTCAGAAACGTACTGGGAGCCAATGTAGGTCTTTCAAGACCAGCGTTATGTGGTCTCAGCGGCCACTCCCAGTCACCAGTCTAGCTCCACATTCTGGATCACCTTCAAAGGCAGTCCCACATAGAACGCATTGCAGTAGTCCAAGCGGGAGATAACTAGAGCATGCGCCACTCTGGCAAGACAGTGTGCGGACAGGGTGGGTCTCATCCTGCGTACCAGATGGAGCTGATAAACAGCTGCCCTGGACACAGAATTGACCTTCGCCTCCATGGACAGCTGTGAGTACAGAATGACCCCCAGGCTGCGCACCTGGTCCTCCAGGGGCACAGTTACCCCATCGAGGACCAGGGAATCCTCCACACCCGCCCGCCTCCTGTCCCCCCAAAACAGTACTTCTGTCTTGTCAGGATTCAAAGTAAAGAATTCAAGGGTAGATGCTGAGCCCTTTTTGGTTCGGAGATGAGCAGCGACCCGATTTGGGTAGAACCATGGGGTGCAGAGTCAAAAAGTCCAAAGACATTTTCCACCAAAGCAATCGCACAAGTTTTCGAAACCGCTTGCACTGCAAGCCACAGGGTTTGGCTACTCCCTGCAAACTGTGGATCGGGGGAAGAAATCGGAGTCGAGCGCTCTTCCTTCCCGAGGCTTCGCTTCGATGCCTGGTGCAAGGAGAGCAACCTTGCTGCCCTCGAATCCATCGTTTGCAAGCCAAGCCAGGGTTTCTGATTGCTGGGGGGGGGGGCGGCAGGAGAGCGGTCACTTTGCACAGACCCTGGTTGATGTTGAGCCAGGCTGGGCAGATTCAAGAGTAAACCGTACGTGGAATGAGTCTGCCCCTGCGGCTTGATGGAGGTGGAAACTGTCTCTCTCATCTTGTTACGCTGCCGTTTCTACGGGGATCTACGCTCGGTATTTATCACTCCTGTTACACAAAAATCTCCAAATGGGTCCGAAATTTCAATGTCTAAAACTCCTGGTAGAGGACAAGGATCTAGAGATCACGCTAAGGGTGGCCACATTCTGTGCGACTGCCATAAAACTTAGGGAACAAGCTGTGCTACCAAAATGATTAAGGTTTTAAATGACAAGTGATCAAGATTTCATATATATTTTTAACTGCCGCTATATCTGTATTGTCTCTGTTATTCCCAATTGCAATTCAATGTATTCCTGTTGTGTTTTATGATTTTCCTGATATCGTAAGTGAGTCGGAACTGGTCTGTGACCGTAATAATAAAATTCAATTCAGGTTGAGCCAGGCTGCACTGGGCAAAATGTGCAAGCAGCCCAGATCTGAACCTGAGGGATGTAAAAGGCCGGCTCATTTTCAAATAATTATTCTTAGTACCACACAGGGGTTCGTCAAAGAACATACTCAATCACAGGACGGCTGCAGCCAGCCAGGTTTAAAGTCCACTTTTTAGAGAGAATTGTGTGTGGTTCAAATCCCTCTCAAAGCTGGGCATTGAACCAGCAACACCACCTTGCTATTAGCTTCATCCAGAAAACATTTTTGTGGCTCTCGCTGCAGTGCATTACATGGTTCTGGCTTTTAAGAACGTCGGAAGATGAACTGAAAACCAAACGGAACCCCAAGTTTTCAATCTTAACATTAGAAATTCTGAATTTCATGTGCAAACCTGTAAGGATTAAGAAACCACTGCCAGAAACCAAGTTTAGCACTTTCTGGGTGTTCACGAATATTTCCCTGCCCCCCCAAAAAAATATTCCATTACACGCCCCAACTCCTCTTCTATAGCCCCTCGTCTGAGAACAGCTTCCTTCAGTCTCTAAAATTCCTTTGCAGAAACAAACAATTAATGTCCCAAAACATTGCAATGGGACAAAGCTTGTGCAATTTTAGTTTCCCGTTTACGAAATTCCAGAGCTCTCGCCTCTTACATAAAAGGCCGTGCCGACAGTGGGATTCTGCAGGACCGGGATATTATTATTGTGGCTGTTAAATATTATTATTATTAACACTGTTATTGTTAATACTATTATCAAATAATATCATTTATTATTGTTGTTGTTGTTATTTTTTGTTATTGTTATTATTATTATTCATGGTGTGATAAGAAAATGAAATCTTTTTCGTATGTATTCGGTAATAAACGGCAAAAGCTGGAAGGATATCTCGCTGAACTCTTGAAACCACGATCCTGGAAGAAAATCAACCCTGTCGATAGTGAAACGTTATCCCCCATTCTGGGTTTGCTGATAGAAAATAGTGGCTTTTTTCTGAATCATGCCTTGCTCAGGGAACAAGTTGCTGTCACAACAGGAAACCCGCCTTCAAAAAACCCTGCTGTGGATTTGCAATGACAGAGAGAGAATCCCTGAATTCTTGGGGGGGGGGGTGTAAATATATACCGTATTTTTCGCTCTATAAAATGCACCTGAACACAAGGCACACCTGGTTTTTGGAGGAGGAAAACAAAACAAAAAATATTCTGAATCTCAGAAGCCAGAACAGCAAGAGGGATCTCTGCGCAGCGAAAGCACCAATCCCTCTTGCTGTTCTGGCTTCTGGGATAGCTGCGCAGCCTGCACTCGCTCTATAAGACGCACACACATTTCCCCTTACTTTTTAGGAGGGAAAAAAGTGAGTCTTATAGAGCAAAAAATACGGTATACATAATTTTATTCTGTTTCTAAACAGTTTTGTGAAGTTTTTTTTTTAATTATCAAATGGTATGTAGGTTTTATGAAATAAGTAAAACAGACAGGAGAGTGACCAAGGTTTTCTTTAAATATAAAAAATACCCACACCCACGCACCCCGTCTTCACCAAAGAAGCTTGCCATGGGAGGGGCGGGGAGGACAGACGCCGGGCTGCATCCAACCTTAGTCCTACTCAAGAGTAGACACACTGGAGTCAACAGGCACGAGTCCTAGTAATTTCTGCGGGTGTACTCCAAGTAGGATTTATCGGTGTAATGCGCCCCCCCGGTAGGCTTGCAATATTTCCACTAGAGCTCCGAAACATTTCGCACTAGCCCCCTCCCCAGAAAAATGAGGGGGGGCACATCATGCGTGGACACAGGCAGAGACAGGGGCGAGCACATAGGCGGACCCGATTCACCATCAAGGGAAGAAATGTGCACTCCTTTTCTCCAAGCAACACTGGGGGGGGGCACAGGCGAGAGAAAGCTGCAGGGCCTAAAGAGAGGGTGGTAGCCCATGCAAGTCCTACTCAAGAGTAGACCCACCGCCATGGACGAACCGGTGAAAGCCGAGTCCCAACAGCAGAGCCATTGAAGTGAATGGGGCCAAGTCAGTTGCATCTGGGACGGTGGCAATGTTTGCAGGTGCCAATGGGGCTTGGACAGCGGTTTGCAGGTCATGCCCACCCCTGCCAGCCCCCACCCCACCCCATACGCCCCTCTAATGTACCTGCACGGACCCCCCAAGCCTGCTGGCCGCAAGGTGCGTTCCTAGGGCTTCCTCAGCAGGCTGCTGGCCAACCTGAGGGTCCCACACCTCCGTCCCCTCGGGGGACTGCTAGCGACGGGGGGAGGAGACGAAAGGGGGGGTGACAAAGGCGAGAGGGGGGTCAGAAAAAGATGGGGGGTTTGTGGGGAGAGGCGACAAAGGGGGGAGAGGGGAAGAGAGAAAGGAAGAGAAAAACAAAACGAAAAAGCATGCAAAACGAAAGAATATAAAACAGGCCTGGACGCAACTTCCCCCGGAAGAGGGGCAGGGGGCGTGTGGGGCACTGGGGGCGGCTGAACTACGACTCCCAACCTCCACCGCCCACTGGGCTCAAGGTCACCTGGGGGTCTTCCACCCTCCTCCACCCCTGAATTGAAAAGAGAAGTCCCCCACTTTCTCGGAAAGGAAGGCACCTTTGGAGGGATAATGGTTCTGCCCCCCTGCTGCCCCAAACTGCCCCTTCTTGTCTTGCGTGGGGGGGTTCCCAGCCTGGCTGGACTCCAGCTCCTAGTGTCCCTAATGGCACCCCAACACCTGCAACGCCACAGGTACCCCAACCCTGAGAGTGACCAGCCCCGTCCAGAAGGGAAAGGGGACGGCAATCGGAGCCCCCGTGACCAAACCCTGTTGGATTCACTGCCGCTGCCAAGTTTCACTAAGCGCACGCAGGGCAGGTGTGCCTCCAAATACAGGGTTTACCAAACACAGGTCTCTGGCTGTTTTGGGGGGGACTACAAATCCCAGAATGCTTTGCTAGCAGGGTCATGGATGATGGGAATCGTAGTCCCAGAAAAGTCGGAGACCCAAGTTTGGGAAACCCTTGACAAACGGCATGGCCTTCGAGAGATGCCAGGGGTGTGTGTATACACACACACACACACCAGGTCACATTCAAAACACGCATTGTGAATTCCTGCATTTCAGGGGGTTGGGCTAGATGACCCCTGAGGGTCCCTTCCAACTCTACAATTCTATGATTTAATGAAATGGCACAAAGATCCCCAAAGGACTGTGGATTTAGAGCACCAATTCCCAAACTTCGGTCCTCAGCTGTTTTTGGACTACATTTCCCATCATCCCATCATTGGGATGTTGGGAGTTGTAGTCCAAAAACAGCTAGAAACCCAAGTTTGGGAAACCTTGTTCTAGACCAGGCATGGCCAAACTTGGCCCTCCAGGTGTGTTTTTGGACTACAATTCCCATCATCCTTGACCACTGGTCCTGTTAGCTAGGGATGATGAAAGGGTTGAGAATTCCATTCCACTTTAAGGAACAGACAAAGGATTGTTACGTGTCACATGTCTGTTTACATTCCAGCACAGCTTGCTGGGAACTTCCGTTGTGTGTATAGCTTATGCTTTTCTCTCTGAGACGACATGAGAAGAGAGACGACATGTTTCTTTGTCCTGCTTCATGATTAATAAATCTGTAGTTGTATTATGCTCCCCCAAGCCTCACACCTATCCTGTGTGCGCAGTTCAATCTGCTGATAGCTTTGAAGCCCGGGTTGCTGATTTACGTCGGAGCAGAAGGGATGGTCTTTGCCCCAGGCCGCTGGAAGGAGACAGCCCAGCCTCCCGGCCCTCTGCATGCCGCCTAGCTAGGGATGATGGGAATTGTAGTCCAAAAACAGCTGGGAAACCCAAGTTTGGGAAACCTTGTTCTAGACCAGGCATGGCCAAACTTCTTTTTGGACTACAATTCCCATCATCCCTGACCACTGGTTCTGTTAGCTAGGGATGATGGGAGTTGTAGTCCCAAAACAGGTAGCGGGCCAAGTTTGGCCATGCCTGGTCTAGACAGACCCAAGGGCTGACTCAGAATAAGGCTATGTCCCTAGCAAATCAACCCAGGGGTCAAAGCACCTGCTCAGCATGCAGAAGGTTGCAGGTTCAAACCCCTGGCATCCCAGGTTAAGTCTGTCCCTGTCTTGAAGCCCCCGAAACTTTGCTAGGAGGCAGCTCTGCACCTTCCCATTGAATAAGCCCATCGTTCAACACCCTGAGGACTAGAATCTGCCTTTAGTTTTTATGGAAGGAGCCACCAGCTCGCCTGCTTGGCGTGCAGAAGAACATGGGATCAATCCTTTGCATACCCGTTAAAAGCAAGTAATTAATTCCAGTTGTTGAAAGGGAAACGGCCCTCTCTATCTGCAGAGCTGCTGCCAGTCAGTGTAGGCAGATCTAAGATCTATGGACCAATGTTTTTCCGCCACACCCAGGCAACCATCACGCTCACTCCTATTCAGGAAGGACTTTTCCTCAGATGCCGAGGCATCCCCGTCTCTTCCCACCAGGTGGCGCCAAGCCTCTGCTCCGGCCTCCGCAAGGAGCTGGCCCTCATTGTTCACCCAAGCCCCATGCAGGCCCAATTTGGCAGCCTGACCCCTCTGTGATCCCCATTCACTCTAGTGGGGGATCTAAGAGGAGATTAAACATTCCCTGTTTTGGCAGAAGGGGAGGAAATTTGCAAGCACGCCCACAACTCACTCAGACTCTGGCTGGCCTCCTCTCCCACCCCATCGCCACCCCTCTAACTGCCCCACACCTCAATATGGGCCCCATGCAGGCCAAATTTGGCATCCTGACCCCTCTGTGATCCCCATTCACTCTAGAGCGGATCTAAGAGGAGATTAAACCAGTGTTTTTCAACCACTGTTCCGCGGCACACTAGTGTGCCGCGAGATGTTGCCTGGTGTGCCGTGGGAAAAATTGAAAAATTCGAAAGATTTAAAAATTAAGTATTTTATAATTTTTCATATTTCTGTTTACTTACTATTTCATAATAAAGTAATTATAAACTACTTTCTTTGTGTTTATTTGATTCCTATTCAAGAGAATTACTTTATATATAGTCAATATAGGCACAGAGTTAAATTTTTTAACATTTTCTAATGGTGGTGTGCCGTGTGATTTTTTTCATGAAACAAGTGTGCCTTTGCCCAAAAAAGGTTGAAAAACACTGGATTAAACATTCCCTGTTTTGGCAGAAGTGGAGGAAATTTGCAGGCACGCCCACAACTCACTCAGACTCTGGCTGGCCTCCTCTCCCACCCCATCGCCACCCCTCTAACTGCCCCACACCCCAATATGGACCCATGGGGCATGGGGAGGGGAAAGAACCCCACTTACCTGTTGTTTAATGTACTGCTGAGTCTTTTCCCTGTTTGGAGCCTGGACTTGTAAATCGCTCTGAATTGTGCCAATGGGGGTCGGCTGCAAAGAGGGGAGGAAAAGGAGACGGGAGCGTGAGATCGGGAACGTCGACGGTAAATCGAAGGCTTGGAAGGGGTCCCGAGGGTCATCCAGCCCAACCCCTTGCGGTGCAGAAATCTTTTGCCCAAGATTCGAACCCAGGACCTCAAGATTAAAAGCCTGACAGTCTAATTGATGGAGCTACATCCAAAATGTTTTCTTCTGTATCGGAGGGGGGTGGCATTCTCAGCCAGACTTGGGAGAAATCAGGGGTTGGGGCTTTCTGCATTCAAACAGCTGGTCTGCCACAGAGCCCCTCCGAAACGGGTGGAGAACTTTGGGGAAAAGGTGAATAGGGGGGGGGGAGGATAGAAGTTTGAGAGAGGTGTTAAGAGGTGATGGACTCTCTTTGCTTCGACATCTTGAGGCAAAGGTCCATTCGGAATTCGATAATTGCTGTATTACGGGGGGTTGGGATAGATGACCTTTGGGGGTCCCTTCCAACTCAACAATGATTTAAAAAGAGATATATTTCTTTTCCCTCACTCCACCCACCCGCTTGAGATTTCGAAGAAATCAAACAACCTGCGCAGCTTCAAATCACCACCATTTCAAAAGGTTCCAACACATACAGTGGTACCTCGCAAGACGAATGCCTCGCAAGACAAAAAACTCGCAAGACGAAAGGGTTTTTTGTTTTTTGAGCTGCTTCGCAAGACGATTTTCCCTATGGGCTTGCTTCGCAAGACGGAAACGTCTTGCAAGTTTGTTTCCTTTTTCTTAAAACCGTTAATACAGTTGCGACTTGACTTCGAGGAGCAACTCATAGAACGCGGTGTGGTAGCCTTTTTTGAGGTTTTTAAGACTTTGGTGATTTTTGAAGCTTTTCCAAAACTTTCCCGACACCGTGCTTCGCAAGACGAAAAAAATCGCAAGGCAACAAAATTCGCGGAACGAATTAATTTCGTCTTGTGAGGCACCACTGTATAGGAAAACTCCTACTCTCTGATCTCAGGAACCACCGTGCAAAATCTGGTGGACATAATTGCCGTTTTGAAAGGCCCGCAAAGGGAGCCTTGATTCAACATGGTGTCCACCTGTGTCCAGCAAAATTTGGCGGCGATATATCCAGAGGTGTTCAAACGCAGAATGAACAACTTTTCAAAATTATTATTATTATTATTATTAATAATAATAATAAATTTTATTTATACCCCGCCCTCCCCAGCCAAGGCCGGGCTCAGGGCAGCTAACAACCAATAATAAAAACAAGTTGAATGAATACAACTTAAAAACAAGATTAAAATACAAATTAAAACATTAAAATGCAGCCTCATCACAGGAGAAAGGAAAAAAATATAACTGATTTTTTAAAAATCCCCCTGTGGTTTTTAAGGGTCAAGATCTGCATCTGCCTGCATTTGCTCCGGCCCTCAAAAGGGCTGCCTATGAGCAAATACGGCCCCTCAGTTCCCCAACCCAAAGCCAGCCGCTCCCCCCCCAAAAAAGCCCCCCACTCACTAAAGGCTTCCCTGCCCAGTCGTATTCATAATCAAAGACGTAGCCGTTCCGGTCAAAGAGGTCCGTGAAGAGTTTCCTCAAGTAGTCGTAGTCCGGCTTCTCAAAGAAGTCCAGTCGGCGGACGTAGCGGAGGTACGTGGCCATCTCCTCTGCGGAAGGGGAGGAAGGCGGAAGAGGCAGCGGTTGCCCAATGGTCAGAGCACACGCAATCTCACCAAGGGTAGCAAAGCCAAAGGGCCAAAGTGGAACGGCAGGGCAATCTTGTAGGGCAGGATTTCCCAAACTTGGTTCTCCGGCCGCTTTGGTGCTACAATTCACATCGTTCCTGACCTGCAAGCTAGTTCAAAAACAGCTGGAGACCCAAGTTTGGGGGAATTCTGTTGCAGGGAGAGGGGAAGCGGGAGGTCTGTGTGCTAGGTAAAGGGTAAAGGGACCCCTGACCGTTAGGTCCAGTCGTGGCCGACTCTGGGGTTGTGGCGCTCATCTCGCTTTATTGGCCAAGGGAGCCGGTGTACAGCTTCTGGGTCATGTGGCCAGCATGACTAAGCCGCTTCTGGCAAACCAGAGCAGCGCACGGAAACGCCGTTTACCTTCCCGCTGGAGTGGTACCTATTTATCTACTTGCACTTTGACGTGCCTTCGAACTGCTAGGTTGCCAGGAGCAGGGACCGAGCAACGGGAGCTCACCCCTTCCCCGGGGATTCGAACCACCGACCTTCTGATCGGCAAGTCCTAGGCTCTGTGGTTTAACCCACAGCGCCACCCGGGTCTGTGTGCTGGGTGGCGCTTAAATCAGACTTTTGCCAACGGGATATTCCAAGCAGACTTTTACGGGGTTGCTGGGTGGCCTTCTCCCAGGGGTATTCGGAGGGTCTCTCCCAACATCCCTTGCCGTCAGCGATGCAGGTGCTGCTGAGAGCTTGGCGTCCGGCAACACACCTGTAGGGGCATCATGGCATCTTGTGGCCACCTGGATGCACCTGAGGAAGCCTTACAGAGGAACCCAAAGGCAACACCTAACATATGCCACCCTGAAGAAGCAGGGATTTAATAAATAATAATAATAATAATTTTTTATTTATACTCCGCCCTCCCCAGCCAAGACCAGGCTCAGGGTGGCTAACAACCAATAATAAAAACAAGTTGATTAAAATACAATTTAAAAGATTAAGATACAACATTAAAACAATTAGGGAGCAATCTCTTCATAGGAGGAGAAAGGAAAACGGAAGAGGGGAAGGGGATCAAGTTGATTCCAAGCCAAAGGCCAGGCGGAACAACTCTGTCTTACAGGCCCTGCGGAAAGAAATCGGATCCCGCAGGGCCCTGGTCTCAAGAGACAGAGAATTCCACCAAGTCGGGGCCAGTACTGAAAAGGCCCTGGCTCTGGTTGAGGCTAATCTGACTTCCTTAGGGCCCGGGACCTCTAGGGTGTTGCTATTTGTGGACCTTGAGGCTCTCTGTGGGGCATACCAGGAGAGGCGGTCCCGTAGGTACGAGGGTCCTAGGCCATGAAGGGCTTTAAAGGTCAAAACCAGCACCTTAAATCTGACCCTGTACTCCACCGGGAGCCAGTGCAGCTTGAAAAGCACTGGGTGAATATGCTCCCATGGCAAAGACCCCGTGAGGAGCCTCACTGCAGCATTCTGCACCCGCTGGAGTTTCTGGGACAGCTTCAAGGGCAGCCCTGCGTAGAGCGAATTACAGTAGTCAAGCCTGAAGGTGACCGTCACATGCATCACTGTGGCCAGGGCGGGACGGGAAAGGTAAGGGACCAACTGCTTGAATGGTGGTTGAGTGTTCCTGAACATGGAGGTTCTATTCAGAGGCTGGTTTTTGTGGCACGCCTGTCTCCTCCCACTCCCTCCACGATGTTACTCTAAGAAAGGTTGCAGAATCAAAGGCTGTAGACTCAGAAAGGGGGACACCCAACCCAGGGGGTCATCCAGTCTGACCCGCTTCGACTCAGGAATCGCACCCAAGCTAGCGGTCATTCCTCCCCCGGCCCAGTCCTTACCAGGGAAGTTTTCGCACAGCACTTCGACGGGGGTGGCTCTTTTGGTATCGCCAATCTTCTGGTATCGCTCCTTCAGCGTGTCCGCCTGCAATGAGAATTTGGGGTTGGGAATGAGAATTTGGCGAATGCTTGTTGGAGATGGGGAGGAAATAACGGTGGCATGATGCACATGTGGTGGACGTGTGAAAAGATTAAGATTCTTTGTGGGGGAATATGTAAAGTAAAGGTAAAGGGACCCCTGACCAATAGGTCCAGTCGTGACCGACTCTGGGGTTGCGGCGCTCATCTCGCTTTACTGGCTGAGGGAGCCGGCGTACAGCTTCCGGGTCATGTGGCCAGCATGACAAAGCCGCTTCTGGCGAACCAGAGCAGCGCACGGAAACACTGTTTACCTTCCCGCCAGAGTGGTACCTAGTTATCTACTTGCACTTTGACGTGCTTTTGAACTGCTAGGTGGGCAGGAGCAGGGACAAAGCAACGGGAGCTCACCCCATCGCAGGGATTCGAACCGCCGACCTTCCGATTGGCAAGCCCAAGAGGCTCAGTGGCGGTTGAGAAAAGGCTTTTCCATTTCCACAGCGAAACTCACCTTCAGGCCCTGCCAGGGCAGGCTGCCCCGGAGGAAGTACATGAACATATGACCTAACGCCTCCAGGTCGTCCCTCCGACTTTGCTCTGCGCAAAAGACAAGAGCGGACATTTTCAGTTGCGGCTTTGTCATCATTTCAGCAACTTCTTTTCTTTTTAAAACCCAAAGAACAAAAGAAGATTGGAGGGTGAAATTGATGGACCATGCAGAATTAGATAAATTAACAGGAAGAATTCGAAATCTGCGGGATCAGAGATTCACAGAAGACTGGTATAAATTTACGGATTATTTTGATGATCAGATTACGCTTGTAGGTTTGCAATTAGTTTTGTAAGGTGGACTGTTTGAAATACTGCAAGAAAAAAGGTAACGCGGGGGACTGTTAGTTAAGATAATTAAAGGCAATAGGAATTTAAGAAATGCAGAATAAGTGATAAGAACAGAGGGCCATCAGAGGGGATGATGGAAGTCCAAAAAGATTGTATAAGAAGTTTTGCTGTATGAATGATAATATGTTAAAATTAATAAAAAATATTTTAAAAAATTAAATAAAACCCAAAGAACAACACGGAATACAGTGGTACCTCGGGTTAAGAACTTAATTCATTCCGGAGGTCCGTTCTTAACCTGAAACTGTTCTTAAGCTGAAGCATCGCTTTAGCTAATGGGGCCTCCCACCGCTGCCGCACTGCCGATTTCTGTTCTCATCCTGAAGCAAAGTTCTTAACCTGAGACACTATTTCTGGGTTAGCGGAGTCTGTAACCTGAAGTGTCTGTAACCTGAGGTACCACTGTATCTTTACACTGGCTGCCTGGGCTTCCCTCCACACACACCCCTTTTAAAATAACAGTTTCTGTGTCCAGGATGCATGCAGCGATTCAGATTATTCATAGAGTAATGCTCTCTTCAACATTCTCTCTCTTTCTGTCTCTGCCACACATACCCATTCTGCTTTTCCTTGCCCCCCCCCACATCCTCCCCCTCCCCAAGGGCTGCCTCCTCCTGCTCACCTTTCCCCAGGTGTGTGTTGATGCTCATGTACCGCGCGGTGCCGGTCAGGCTCTTGTGCTCTCGGTACGGGATGTGCTTTTTGGTCTCAGGGTCGATGAACTCTTTGGCCAGGCCGAAGTCAATGATGTGGATGACGTGTTGGCGCTTGCTCCCAGGGCGACCCACCAGAAAGTTCTCCGGCTTGACGTCTCTGTAGATCAGGCTTTTGGTGTGGACGTACTCCATGCGGGTGATCTGCGGAAGGAAAAACCGCCAGAGCCTCTGTGCCATGCGCAAAGTAGCACTTGAGGTTCTGCGTCCAGGGAAACTGGGGCTTCTTGTAGGTTTATGAGTTTCCTCCCGGTTATATTTTATTAAATGTTCAAAAGTTTCACATATGCACTCTGATACATAACGTATTTTTCGCTCCATAGGACGGACCTTGTTTTAGAGGGGGAGAACAAGAAGGAAAAAAATCTCCCCCTCTCTGCTCAGCGCCCCTTCAGCGAAGCGGCAGGAGAAACGGAGCCCCTTCCATTTCTCCTCCCGCTTGGCTGAAGGGGCGCTGCGCAGCTCTCCCTCTCTGCTGAAGCCAGGAGAGTCTCGCTCTCCCGGCTTCGGCAAAAGGAACCTGAAGCCTGCGGAGCGCAGCGGTAACTCACGCTGCGCTCCAAAGGCTTCAGGTGGCTATCCCTGAAGCCTCGAGAGCGAGAGGGGTCGGTGCGCACCAACCCCTCTCGCTCTCCAGGCTTCAGCGAAAGCAACGCGAAGCCTCCAGAGCGGGGAGGGAGCGCTCCCTCTGCGCTTCGGAGGCTTCGCGTTGCTATCGCTGAAGCCAAGGAGCCTGCATTCGCTCCATAGGACGCACACACATTTCCCCTTAATTTTTGGAGGGGGAAAAGTGCGTCCTATAGAGCGAAGAATTTGGTACGTTTTTCTTTTCTTTTTGTCAACCTCCCCTCCTGTTTTCCTTCGTGTACTTTAGGGGTCAGTAACTTTTTTCAGCCGTGGGCCGGTCCACCGTCCCTCAGACCATGTGGTGGGCCGGACTATATTTTTTGGGGGGGAAATGAACGAATTTCTATGCCCCACAAATAACCCAGAGATGCATTTTGAATAAAAGGACACATTCTACTCATGCAAAAACACGCTGATTCCTGGACTGTCTGTGGGCCGGATTTACAAGGCGATTGGGCCGGATTTGGCCCCCGGGCCTTATCTGCCTACCCCTGGTGTACTTCATTTCTCCCATCTTCTAACTCCCATATCATAAAAACAATTCAATAACCTTCAATTCCTTCTGCGGCTTATATCTCATGTCCGAAAAAGGATTCCATTCTTCCACATGTATACATTTTCATGGGGAGGCAAATCTGTTGTTTTTTAGACTGGGCAACATCCCAGGGGTCGCATGTCTGCAACGGCTCCCCGTTTGCAGAATCCTCTGCATGAGAGCCAATAGGAAAACGGGGCCTTATCTGCAGTGGCTCCTCGTTTGTGGAATGCTTCCCCAGCGAGGCTCACCTGGCGCCTTCATTAGACACCTAAACTTAAGATGAACTTGCAATGTCTGGTTTCAACAGATTTTTCAAATGCTTAACTCAGTGTTTTGTTTTCTTTATCTTTTTAGGTAAGTTCATGAAGATACCAACAAAGGGTAAGATCGGTGTTGTTCACAATACAGTGACACCTCGGGTTATGGACGCTTCAGGTTACAGACGCTTCAGGTTACATCCGCTTCAGGTTACAGACTCCGCTAACCCAGAAATAGTACCTTGGGTTAAGAACTTTGCTTCAGGACGAGAACAGAAATCCTGCGGCGGCAGCAGGAGGCCCCATTAGCTAAAGTGGTGCTTCAGGTTAAGAACAGTTTCAGGTTAAGAACGGACCTCCGGAACGAATTAAGCACTTAACCCAAGGTACCACTGTACTGAGAGATTCTAGTGAGGTTGTGGATGGGTGCAGAACGCCGGCACCCTGTCTACAACTTCATTAACATCCATCTACAACCTCACTAGCATCTCTCTGTATTGTGAAAAACACCGAACATACCCTTTGCTGGTATCTTCATGAACTTAACTAAAAAGATAAAGAAAACAAAAGACTGAGTTCAGCCTTTGAAAAATCCACTGAAACCAGACATGGTAAGTTCATCTTAATTCTCTGTGGCTTTACACAAGGTTTTGTATTTTTCTCAGAAGATTGATAAAGAATGTATCATTATTTCGGTAATTATTGTATGTCTATTAGTCGCCAACGTGTTGCATGAGTCGTACTCTACAGAGTTGGCAAGGGCATCGGGGTGTGTTGCACGGGGTCATTCCAAAAAAGGGTGGTGTGGTTGTTCTCGACTCACCAGTTGGATGGCGATCATAAGGACCGTCTTGAGGGTGAAGGTCCGGTCGCAGAGGTCAAAGAGGTCCTCCAGACTGGGCCCCAACAGCTCCAAGACCATCGCGTTGTACTTCCCGCAGGGCCCAAAGTAATAGACCTGGGGTATCCCTTCTGTGGAGAAGAGGGGGAGGCAGTTCAGAGGAGAGCTCTAGAGCTTCTCAAACGAATACCACAAAGTGGGGTCAGGGACAATTTCAGTTCAGTGCAAGATCAGTTGACTTTCCAAGATGCTCCTTGTGGCTGAGAACTTTCTGGTTTTTTGAGCAATCACTATGATGCACGCTTCCTCGTGAGCAGCGTTTGAGATTCATATTTTGCACCTGGCTATCGGCCACCTTGCTAACAAAGGTCCGTATATAGTTCAAGCTCTGGTTTTCCCAGTCGTGATGTATGGAAGTGAGAGCTGGACCATAAAGAAGGCTGATCGCCGAAGAATGGATGCTTTTGAATTCTGGTGCTGGAGGAGACTCTTGAGAGTCCCATGGACTGTAAGAAGATCAAACCTCTCCATTCTGAAGGAAATCAGCCCTGAGTGCTCACTGGAAGGACAGATCCTGAAGCTGAGGCTCCAAGACTTTGGCCACCTCATGAGAAGAGAAGACTCCCTGGAAAAGACCCTGATGTTGGGAAAGATGGAGGGCACAAGGAGAAGGGGACAACAGAGGACGAGATGGTGGGACAGTGTTCTCGAAGCTACCAGCATGAGTTTGACTAAACTTGGGGAGGCAGTGGATGACAGGAGTGCCTGGCGTGCTCTGGTCCAGGGGGTCATGAAGAGTCGGACACGACTAAACGACAACAACAATTGGCCACCAAGTGAAGATGCCTGGGCGCCAGGATGGGGATCCTTGGATCTGGACTGTTTTCAAACACCAATACCCCCTGTTTTGATATTGTGTTTATGGAGGATTTTGCTAATTTTATCTGTAGTGCCCTTGATATAAGGAAGGAGGGCACTACAGATAAAATTAGCAAAATCCTCCATAAACACAATATCAAAACAGCCTTTTGCACCAACCAAAAAATAGCCAATATCCTCAGAAACCCCAAGGATAAAATCCAGTTGGAAAACCAAGGGGTCTATGAAATACCCTGCAAAGTCTGCCCAGCCACGTACATTGGACAAACAAACAGACGAATAAATGCACGTATCGCAGAACACAAGAATGCCGTCAAAAAAGAAGAAAAAACTTCCTCTCTTTTCCAACACATGAAAGAAACAGGACACGAAATTAATTTTGCAGATTCCAAATTGCTCTTTAACATGGAACATCACCACAAGAGAATAATCATGGAAGCCATCGAGATAGAGAAACACCCTCACAACATGAACAAGCGTGACGACACATCCCGCCTGCCAGACATCTGGAAATTAGCCCTCCCCACAAAAACCGACACCAGATCCAGAGGCACACAGAACACCATCACCAACCAACCACACCAGACCCAAACCCAGACCCTCTCCACAGATAAATTACAGACACCATCCAGTAGCCAAACCATGGTGGCACCTCCGGATGCTGCACCCCCCTGCAATCCCTACACAGATCTAGCTGGCACAGGCCACAAAACCACAGCTCGCCCCTATACACGAAGCCAAGCCAGAGCACAACTAAGTGCAGTACAGCCATCTTCTCAGAAAAACTCTTCACAAAGTTCAAGAGGTCAAGACACGAAGGCTTTAGCAACTAATCCACACCTAATGACCCACCTAAGTGGTACTCAGGATATCACTCAAGAAATCACTCAAGATATCCCTCAAGTAATTAAGGAACAAAAGAAGAAAAGGCACACTAGCCTGGGAACCTCCTCTCTGCCCAGAACATTGGAGGCTATACACCACACCTCCTCAACAGTATTTATAGGAACTCAAACACTGAGATCCTGCTCTGTTCCAGTAACAAGAAGCCGAAAGCACCAGCCTGAAGATGACGAGTGAGACCTCGTCGAAACGTCGCCTAGACACCCCAACTTTTACACGGGAAGACACCCGAGAACACCAAAACCTGCATATATATATATATATATATATATATATATATATATATATATATATATATAAAGGTAAAGGGACCCCTGACCATTAGGTCCAGTCGCGGCCGACTCTAAGCCACTTCTGGCAAACCAGAGCAGCGCACAGAAACGCTGTTTACCTCCCTGCCGGAGTGGTACCTATTTATCTACTTGCACTTTGACGTGCTTTCGAACTGCTAGGTTGGCAGGAGCAGGGACCGAGCAACGGGAGCTCATCCCATCGCGGGGATTCGAACCACCAGCCTTCTGATTGGCAAGTCCTAGGCTCTGTGGTTTAACCCACAGCACCACCCGCGTCCCTTGTTATATATACATATAAGAGCTTAGTTCCCCCCCCCCAAAAAAACGGGCGCTAGTCCTTATGATGGTCCAAGGAGTGGCTTGGAAGGGATGTTTTGCAACACAGCCTCTGGAACAGCTGTAAAGATTTGAAAAGACAGGTGTTTTCAGGGTGCCCCTGGAGAAGACGAATACTAAAAGACGATGGGGCTACTTCCCCGCCCCCCCCAGTGTTGATTTTTCGACGTAAGCTGTCCTGCCACCTTGCTATTTTTCTCAGCCTTCACCTTCCCTGTCCGCAGGACGGGCGACAGTCGTGATGGCCTACCTTCCAAGGCGTTTGCTAAGCGTTAATAATATTGACAGACTCTTCTGCTTCTCTTCTTCCCGTCGACGCCAGGCAGGGACGTTCCCTGAATTCATTGCCTCCTGAAAATACATTTGCTTAGGCAAGTCAACCCAGACCCATGTCAGATTTTGACATGTTTCAATCGTTAATTCTGCTGCTAATTATAATGAACCCTTAAAGCTCAAAGCCGACTTTTAACTCTCTTTCTGTCGATAATTTTAATGCCCCTTATGAAACTGCTCAGGTTTCGTTACAGCCAGCGGTGGGTGAATTCTGTTAGGTAGAAGATGTAAGTAAAAATGAAATAAGTCTATACAAATAAAAGAAGTCAATAAAAATGAAACTGTGTGTTGATAGCCCTTAACCTTTTCACAACAGCACTTGGGGAACACACTGAGATATCGGGACTCAATTGTTAGTGAGATTACTATTTAACTTTAGAAATGGGACTTAAAAGCCCGTTCTTTTTACATTGTGGTCTTGTGGGTTGAATCTAGGCAGCGTTATAAACTCAGATATATAATAAGCAAGGTGCCAAACGTCTCCTTGAACCAGGTTACAGTCGCCAAAAGAGAATGTCTTGTTGCCCCTTTTGGTCAAGATGGCTCTAAGGTCTTATTTTCCAAATGATGGACTGACTGTGATGGATTCTCAGCTAAACAACTAGCTAGTTAAGAGGACAACCTTGAGCCAGGTTAATAACTTTGAGAACTTAAAAGACAGTCCGCCTATCTATCGGCCTATTCTGACCTCTTTTTCGTAATGGTGACTCAAACCGTTCATAACATAGGAATATCCTTCCCAACTCTGAGCAGGGCAGTGGGGAAAGCCAAGACAAGTCACAATAATTCACTATAATGCTGTTCACTGCTCCTTTCTCAGGCTGCACAGAAAAAGCATTTTGGTTGATGAAATTCATTCCGATCGTGCAGATAAAATATATTGGAGAGAATTCTACAGGAGGGGGTATTGGTGTTTGAAAACAGTCCAGATCCAAGGATCCCCATCCTGGCGCCCAGGCATCTTCACTTGGTGGCCAATTGTTGTTGTCGTTTAGTCGTGTCCGACTCTTCATGACCCCCTGGACCAGAGCACGCCAGGCACTCCTGTCATCCACTGCCTCCCCAAGTTTAGTCAAACTCATGCTGGTAGCTTCAAGAACACTGTCCCACCATCAAAAAAGCCGTCAAAAAAGAAGAAAAAACTTCCTCTCTTTTCCAACACATGAAAGAAACAGGACACGAAATTAATTTTGCAGATTCCAAATTGCTCTTTAACATGGAACATCACCACAAGAGAATAATCATGGAAGCCATCGAGATAGAGAAACACCCTCACAACATGAACAAGCGTGACGACACATCCCGCCTGCCAGACATCTGGAAATTAGCCCTCCCCACAAAAACCGACACCAGATCCAGAGGCACACAGAACACCATCACCAACCAACCACACCAGACCCAAACCCAGACCCTCTCCACAGATAAACTACAGACACCATCCAGTAGCCAAACCATGGTGGCACCTCCGGATGCTGCACCCCCCTGCAATCCCTACACAGATCTAGCTGGCACAGGCCACAAAACCACAGCTCGCCCCTATACACGAAGCCAAGCCAGAGCACAACTAAGTGCAGTACAGCCATCTTCTCAGAAAAACTCTTCACAAAGTTCAAGAGGTCAAGACACGAAGGCTTTAGCAACTAATCCACACCTAATGACCCACCTAAGTGGTACTCAGGATATCACTCAAGAAATCACTCAAGATATCCCTCAAGTAATTAAGGAACAAAAGAAGAAAAGGCACACTAGCCTGGGAACCTCCTCTCTGCCCAGAACATTGGAGGCTATACACCACACCCCCTCAACAGTATTTATAGGAACTCAAACACTGAGATCCTGCTCTGTTCCAGTAACAAGAAGCCGAAAGCACCAGCCTGAAGATGACGAGTGAGACCTCGTCGAAACGTCGCCTAGACACCCCAACTTTTACACGGGAAGACACCCGAGGACACCAAAACCTGCATATATATATATATATATATATATATATATATATAATAAATGTTCATAAATGTACCAAGCAAACCCGTACATAAATATATAAACCACATGTCTGAAGCAGCATGGGAAAACAGCCCTGAAACCATTTTGACTCCCAAACTGACCAAATGATTTCTCTGCAAGGTCAAAGGAAAATGGAAAAGCCTCCCCATTGTCTTTTCCTTCACAAATCCTGTCTTAAGAGTATGTCTGTGTATGAATAGGGTGTGAGCCTATGACCTGGCTTAGGAACTAAGTATTTGTCATTACAAAAGACTGGCCAGGCTCCCCAGGGTATCCAATCAAGTGAGCATTAGCAGGTAACCTGTCAGATGAGATAAACAACGCACTCAGATTTCTGTTGTAGACCGCCTTTTCTGTGACGTAGGTATGATGTATCTGGGGAGGTGGCCTTGAGCTACACCCCTTCTGTGATGTCGGTATGATATTTCTGGGGGTGGTCTTGGACTCCAGGGCGGGCAATTAAAAATGTATATATAAGGGCGGGCACACCTTGGTTCGGGGTCCTCCCCTTTCCTGTGTGTGAGGGGAGCACCCTGTTGCAACAGATCAATAAAGATCAGGCTTACGAGCTGCTTTCCTTCTCAATATTCTCTGGTTGGCCTCTGTTCTTTTCTCCCACCGATGGAGAACCTGCAAAGGACTCTAGAAGGGCTCTTGTGTCCCCCATAAGGGAACCAGGGCAGATTTTCGTTTATTACAGTTTCTTCCGAAACCCCTCTGGGGAGTGTGTACTGCATGCAAGACCGGCCAGCCTGCTACTCACCTGCATTTCCCAGCTGTTTGTAGAACCGGTATTCCAGGTGGAGCTGAGGAGCTCTGGACTTGATGGGTTCCTGGAGAGAGGGAGAGAGGAAGAGAGAATGGAGAGCTGCAAAAATCCCTTTATTTTCCGGTGCAAATGGGGCAACATCAGTGTCTGCCTACTCAATCAGGCCAGTGTCTCATTTAGTTCCGATTCCTGTTCTCACAGTGTCCAACCAGATGATGATGATGATAATAATAATAATAATAATAATAATAATAATAATAATAATAATAATTTGAAAAACAATGGTCCCTACCTAAAGATGCGGATGGGGAGAAAGAAGAGACAGACCCGTTTAAAAACAGACAAACCCAGAGAACCAACCTATTATCAGAAGATCACTTACCAACTTGATTGCTACATATTCGTTCGTATAGAGGTTCTTCCCTATAAGAAAGGTGTTTTTTAAAAAAAAGAAAGAAAAGAATTTAGTCAAAAAGAGACAATTACACACACACACGCAAATCCTAATTTAGGATCTCCACACTAGAAAATTCCATGACAGTGAATCCCAGAGTTTGAGCCCCACATTGGGTGAAAAAAGTCCTGCATTGCAGAGGGTTGGACTAGATGGACTCTGGAGGCCCCTCTTCCGACTGCATGATTCTTTGTGAGAGACCGATGTCTGCAAAAGATGGTATAAGCCCACTTACGAATGCTTTTTTAAAAAGGGAATTTACAATTCAAGTATCACTGTCTGTTGTGATTGCAGTGGTACCTCTGGTTGCGAATGGGATCCGTTCCAGAGGCCCGTTCGCAACATGAAAAGAGCGCAACTCACAGCAGCGCGTCTGCGCACACGTGGGTTGCGATTCGCCGCTTCTGTGCATGCGCGTGACGTCATTTTGCGCTTCTGTGCATGCGCGAGCGGTGAAACCCAGAAGTAAGCCTTTCCGGTACTTCCGGGTCGCCACGGGACGCAACCTGAAAGAACGTAACATGAAGCGGACGTAACATGAGGTATGACTGTATAATATTCTGTCCACAAATACATTCATACCTCGGGTTACAGCTGCTTCAGGTTGCGTTTTTTCGGGTTACAGACCGCCGAAACCCGGAAGTACCAGAATGGGTTACTCCCGGGTTTTGGTGGTCACGCATGCGCAGAAGCGCTAAATTGTGCTTTGCGCATGCGCAGAAGTGCCGAATCCCACAGAGATCACGTTCGCAACCTGAGTGTCCACTGTACTGTGCTCCTCCCCTACTTTTTTAACATCCGATAAATAAAAAGTGTTCTCTTCCAAACCATGGTTATCATGTACCAATGGCAGAACCATTACATCTCTCTCTCTCTCTCTCTCTCTCTCTCTCTCTCTTTTTCAAAGGAATGAAAAGCCTATTGTACGATAAGGGTGTTGCTGTGCATGTACAGAGTGCCTCTCCCCTTGCGGTTCTGAGGAAGTTTTATTATTATTACCATATTTTTTCCATGTATATATTTTTTATTTTTATTTATTTATTTATTTATTTTTACCATATTTTTCCCATGCGTATTTTTCCATGTATATTTTTTCCATGTATATTTTTGGAGCCCAAAATTAAGAAATAATTAATTGCAACATTCTGTGTATTAAGACGACCCACAATTTTAAACTTAAAAAATTGGGAGGGGGGGATATAGTCTTATACACGGAAAAATACAGTATTTCAGCTTACGAAAGAAGACAAAACAATAAAACCATCGATAAAACACAACGAACAAAAATAATTCGAAACGTTCAAGAAATTAAAATGGGCAACAGACTAAAAAAAAAAAAAACAGATTAAAATCCACAGCAGCATTCTAAAGATTCTGGTGGGCTTGAATTTGTTCCATTGTGTTACGTTTCTTGCCCAAGCGAACAGCTTTGTTGGTTAGAGCGTGGTGCTAATAAATGCTAAAGTCGCAGGTTTGATCCCCGTCAGGGACAGCTGCGTATTCTTGTATTGCACCTCTTGCTAATTACACACAAATTAGCTGATAAATAATGATTAACTTTTAATAATTTAGTACTTTTAACCAAGTTGGGTACGCAGTCTATCAAGAAACAGGCCTTTTTTTCCCTGGCTTTTTATAACCAGGAATGATTTGTTTGCCACTGAATCACTGAATTGTAGAACTGGAAAGGGAGCCCCAGAGTCATCTAGTCCAACCCCCTGAAATACAGCAATCACATCTAATCACAGAAGGTGGTGGCTGTTCTCAAATGCATTTGAAAATAAGCTAAGAAGGAAGATTTTCAAAGGCAGACCCTAAAGGCAGTTGAAAAATTAGCCCATCATCTGCACAGAGGCATCCTTTTAAAAAATATGCAAATTTAATATACTTAAATATACGACTTATCAATAGGTAAAATATACCATGCTAGGATTGTGCCCAACTAAATCCTGCTCAGGGCAAATCCATTGAAACTGGGTAGGTGTGACTCAACTCTAGTCCAATGGGTGTGCTTAGAGCAGGACAACCCATAATTTGCAGCATCACCAAAAATAACCTCATGGAAGTTTATGGGGAAAGATCTTTCATTGCAGTGTTTATCGACACTTAACAACCATTCCAAAAATAAGATAGGTGGTTGAAAATTAAAGCTTTTCAGGACTCGGCTCAAACCTCGTAGCCCAAGTTTGATCGCTGAGACTAGCGCCGTTGGATCATTCCCAGGGTTGTTGAGGTTCATTTGACAACAAGGAACCCAAGCCTTTAGTGTTATCAGCCCAGCCCTGCGGAACTCTCTGCCACTTGAGATTCAACACCTGCTGAAAACCTGTCTATTCTGCCAGGCCTATGTAGGCAGTTAAGAATACATCTTTTCCACAATGGTTAAATGGTGTTCTAGGTGGAACTGATGGATGTTTTAACTGTTGTGGGGGGTTTTTATGCTTTTACTGTATTTTTGTTGTAAACTGCTTTTTATGGGGGGTGGGGAAAGTATAAGTATTTTTTTATAAATAATCTTTTCAAGATCATATAAAGTGCAACACGTTCTCCTGATATTCCTAATTCTTTTTTTAAAAAAGGTTTCCAGTTACCAAATCCAGCTCACATATTTATTCACATTCTGCACCAAGAATACATTAGCGTCATCATATTCAATTGCCTTCATAATTTCCTGATTATATCCAGGTTTTTCTTTTCTTGTTCTTCCGCACCTCAGATTACATAATCCTTGCAAGAGGTAAAGGGTGTGATTGATACCTCTGTTTCATTTGGCCTGTGGCGTAATTGCCTTAAAAGTAACTCGTCAGACGCATTGAGTGTTCTGCCTGAAAAAACTCTTGACATCATGGAATATTTTACAATATTTGGTTGCCATCAAACAAAACGGGCATCTAAGGAACTGGTATGCCAGCCCTGCAACCCATAATACAATCTAAAAGTACACAGCATGAAAGGAAAATGGATTTGGCAGGAGGAGGAAAGAAGCAAACTCAGGATTAAGTTATTTGGCAATTTTATACCAAGCCGTGAGCAGCAGTGAGCAACTATTTTGCAGCATCTATTTTGCGGGGGGGGGGGGGGTTGTCCGTGAAATCCCTTAAACAGAGCTGAGCACAGCACAGCAGAACCCCAGACTTAGAAAAAAGAAGCGTGGGTATTTGAAAACATTCCGGTTTAACCCATGCATCTGGTGGTGGAAGAAAGCCTGTTCCCGGAACCCCCCGAGATCATCCGAGGGGAAAATGCTTTTAACTGCAAGCTGCTTTTGGAATGTTTCCAGATGGCAAATGGCTTTTGCAATGTTTTGAGCGTTTTTCGCTTTTATACGGCGTGTCCGCTTGCCCCAGTTGGGCTCCCTGGGGAGGAAGGGCACAATCTAAATCCCATGAACAATAATAACAACATGTTGTGCTGGGCCCGGGGGTAACCCGAGAATCGCAGTCCAGGTTTGGTCCAGAATCCGAAGGTCCCGCTGGGAGTCAGTCCGACAGGGCCAAGGCTGGACACGAGGCAGGAAACCAGGCAAGGACAGGTACAGGATCTAGAATACAGTAATGTTGCTCCCGCAACCTGGGGCAGGGTCCGACAGCCTTTTGTCTTTGTCGGGGTAGCATCCGGTCCTGATCCCCCGGCCGCTCACCTCCCTGTCTCGCCCGAAGGGGAGCACTCAGGTCTCTCCTTCTCCCAGACCTCAGTCTCTGCAGCTCGGGAGACATCGGTGGGTTACTAGACCCAGGGGCCGCCTCAGCCTCCCCTGACCCAACTGGTAGTGGAGCAGCTGTAAGTGATGGCCCAGCCGAAGGCAACGAGGTCATCCCCGCATCTGGAGCCAGGGCAGGCTCAGGCCCCTGACTCGGCCCAGCTGGTGCTTGTTGCAGGGGAACCTGTGCAGACTAGGACTCTTCAGGATCAGGCCCCAGACTTGGTTCAGGTGATGCCTGAGGCAAAGGATCCGGTGCAGACTGAGACTCCTCTGGTTCCGAGTCCCAGCCCAAGTCCCAGGCCATCACACATGTCCTCCTTCCCCAAGAGGTACAGAGGGTGGCAACACAAAAGCGGAGCCTTTTTGGTGGTGGCTCCCTGTCTGTGGGATGCTCCCCCCAGAGAGGCTTGCCTGGAGCCTTCATTACATGTCTTCAGGTGACAAGCAAAAGCAGTCCTTTTTGGCCTTTGCTTAATCTATGGCCTGTTAAGGCTGGGGAGAGGGTGGTGGTAGAGCTGGGCAATATCTGGTTTTCAACATTGTGATATATCACCAGCTAAACATCACGATAGACCGATATACTGATATATCACAATGTCTGAAATAAGGATGGAGCTACGTAGAGGCATTGGCTGGCTTCACAGTTTTTCCCGCATTGTGATTTTTACATAGCACACACACACACATCATGATTCCATCGTATGTGTTTTTAATGTACACCGTCCTGGGATTTTGTTATATATATAAAAAGGTTGATATATAAATCAATTAAATTATAATAATTTATTAAAGGAGATTTATGTCAAGGAGAAAAGTAACTATACGACCTTTAGACATCTGAAAGCAGCCCTGTATAGGGAAGTTTTGCAATGTTTTATTATGTTTTTATATATGTTGGAAGCCGCCCAGAATGGCTGGGGCAACACAGTCAGATGGGTGGGGTATAAAAAATATCACCATCCAATATTATTAATTATTATTATTATTATTATTATTATTATTATTATTATTATTATTACTATACCACTCTTCATCAAAAGATCTCAGGGTGGTGTACAACATTAAAACCCCATTTTACTGACCATAGTAATCAAAACATGAAACGAAGCATAGGAATAGACAGCACGGCATATTTTTAAAAATTAAAAAAAGATAGTGTATGCACAGTGCAACAAAAAGGAGTCTCCAACCAGTTTACGCCGCTTAAAAAATAAAGTAAAATTAAGAAAATACTTATTAGGCAATTGAAGCTTTTAACGTTTAATA